AATAGAGACTTTTGTTTTAACAAGCCTTCCTAGTCGAATCAAGAGAGCATCATGGTCTCTTTTCGAAACTTTACGTTCTTCAATAAAGTTATTAAATGTTGTGATTCTTAACAGAATTTTCTCTATGTCATCAGTATCGTATTATTTTGTAAGTAGGAAAGTCGATGTTCTCTTAAATGTATCTAAAGACAATGTATTTTACCCCGCCATTACTTCAGCTAAAGCCTCACACACAATTGCATGGTTACACCTTGAGTTCTATACACCAACTGTATATTGACAATAACGATTTCGACTCGTTCGACGTTTAGATTGTCACCGCGCCCTCGGTATGGAAAGCCGTGCAATCCTTGACGGTCAAATTAGTGCCTCGTCACAGTATAGTATACACCACGCCGCTGTTTACGCCAGACTCCACAATAAAGCAGTTCAAAATGTACACCAAGAGGCCTGGGAACCATCAACATCAGACGCAAATCAGTGGCTCCAGATTGATTTGGTGACGCAACACGGCGTGACTCGCGTGGCAACTCAAGGAAGATATAGGATTAATCACTGGGTGACAAAATATAATCTGCTGTACAGTAGCGACGGGTCGACCTTCCAGTACTACAAAGAGCGAGGACAAAGTATAACGGTTAGTCATTGTGCTTAATGGTCTTTACATGAAGTTGGTTTTGAAAATATATTTAGATACTTTGAAATGGGTGGTTATTAAACAGCTGGCAGCCGTGGGCAATATGAAAAAAGTGGGCAATAAGAAAAAGAAAATTTGTCTCGGTCCATGGAAATGCCCAAAAAAACAGAAGCTCGGCCAATACCAAGCCATGTGGACCACAGACTTGGTCAATAACGTATATATGTTGTTTAAAGGAATTATCTGGAAACACAGATGGTACCACTGTGGTGTCCCATGACCTTATTCCCCCAATCATGGCGCGTTGCATTCGTTTCCGACCATTGACTTGGCACGTGTGGATAGCCGTGAGAGTGGAACTGTATGGTTGCCAAGGTATTTTAGAATCTTTAAAGGCCGTAATATCGTGTAACTCTGCCTAAATTTTCTTATGGAAACAGTGACGCTCGTTTATACTGCGTGACAAGCTCGTGACAAGCTAACATAGCAGCCTCGCCTTATACAAATTAGCTTGCGGATTTTGTTAGCGCGCATATTATTAAGACCTGATTTTCGGAGACATTTTACAGTGAGTTATTTGATGTCATAGAAACGTTTTCCACAGTGCTGTGTAGCAAACCTTTAATCATGCTTTTGTTTCGTAACAGGTATCTGAAGCAACAGGAGAGGATTGCCAAACCAGGGAAGGAAAATAAAAATCTCTTTCTGATCTCTTCTGAGTATGCTGTCAATCTTTCACAATGGATCTCAACTGTTAACGAGTGGTTCATGCGTCAGTTTGCGTTAATTGATATACGAAGCACATTGTAAGATTTAATGAAAGATAGAAGATTGCTTGGTGCATTAGTTACGAAGACGGCTTCAAGAAAAACAAGAGTGAATTTCTAAGCGAGGGGAAGAAACTTATGTCTCTCATGGTGGATACTGTTGATCTAACACTATAAATATCACCAATTCACAGCCGTTTCATTCGTAAACTTTTGTTCATTGACATATGAAGCACACCAGAAGATTTAAAGAAAGACGAAAGATTGCTCGAGACGTGGCCGAAAACAACTTAGCTTGGGTTTTGAAAGCATGAAAGATGCGCCAAAGTTACTCGAGGCGTAAGTGAGAGCATCTAAAGCTACTCGAGTGCTGTTAGAATTTACTGCATGCCTCAGTCACATCTTACCTGCTGTGCAGGCGTCTAATTAGTGTGAGCGAACGTTGTAAGCTTTGATTTGGAGTTAGAGTGGACGTTGGAGGTAGGGGGGTAATCTTCACTTCTCCACCCAGCCCGTCTCCTTATTTTTGACCGACGACAGCCCCGTTAACACAAATTTCTTTCCCTCCCCAGCCTTCAGCGGCAATAATTGTTAAGAAAATACTGAGCACTCGCTCGCCAAAATTACGTAAAGATTACTTAGTTACGTCATAACTGGTACTGTAGTAAAACACCTAGCTTAAATAAAACTTTCCATTAATAGAGTTTCATCGCCAAAAGAAATAACACTAAACTGCTGCATTTAAGAAAATAATTCTCGTTGAAGGGCAATACCATCAGGCTTTAACTTGCCCAAACAACAACATAACCTAATACAAAACTGACTTAGAGAAATATTTGAGGACCTCTTCTCGCTCCCTTTCATCGTGTTAAAATGGGAAATCATTCAAAGACTTAGCAGTTCTGAGCTGAAAAGTTGTAATCAAAAAACTCATGAACTCTTTAAGCGAAGAGTTATTCATTTAACATGTGTTAACCGTTTTATTCATTTTTCCCATGAGGTGATTGGAAAGGCGGGTGGGATAGTAGTGTGTTGTGTGTAATTTGGGTCATAGCAGGTATAGTAATAAAAGATAAACATTGCAGATGGGGTGTGATGCGGAATAAATTAATGTGACATGACCTGTAAAAATACGAAATAAGAACCCCGTTAACTGTGAATTCCTTGCTTTTCGCGATACATGAACCTTAAAGTTGTTAATCCGATTTCTCGTGATGGGCTTTTTAAAAGGGGCCATGACGAAAATGTTGAAAGAATGAAGCAAACAAAGGAGTTTTACGCACGCAAGCCTAATGGAGGAAAACAGAGTCAAAATATTGTTTAATTATTAACTGGTAGTCAGCAGGTGATCATTTTTTCTCAAGTTTTCCAAAGAATTGCATTCGCCCTTCGGTCATACTTAAATGTGTAAAAAAGTGTTGTCGTTTCATTATCTCACTTTATTGTTAGGCAGAAAATATCGAATTTTACAAATTCTAATTTGTAAAGGTAGATATTCTTAAAAGGATGATTTTACTTATTCATCATTGTTATTAAACGTGATACTTGGATTCAGGTGGGTTGGCTGATTACGTAACCATGACGATTACTTTTGTCAGTGTAATGTTTTAAGCACTTGCATTGCATAAAGCCATGAACCGTAATCCTCAGTCACCTTCACAATGGTATAATAAAGACACCGAGACGTCTATTACTTTAACAGTGGTTACCCATCTATAAATCTGGTACGATGAAACAGTAATTCAGTAAAAAGTGTGATTGTTGATAAGTACGCAAAATGCTTTAATTAAATTTGGTGATAAAATGTCCAATGACACTCGATAAGCTCCAAAGTATACTTTTAATCCTCACATTATTGTCGGCGCGTGACCACTGTCATGATATTAAATTATTTGCAATGTATAAGTTTCTTCAATAATTTCCTCTGTCACCTTCATAATGGTGCAATTAAGACACCGAAGCAACTGTTACTTTTATTAGTGGTTACCTCTCTATAAATCTGGTATGATGAAACAAAAGTGAAAAATTTGACAAGAATTAGATTTCTCAAAAAAGGGAAAATTAGAAAACCTTGAAATATTGATGAACGAGATGCATATGACAATCATCGGCCAATAAATTATTCACGTCTCTTGCCTTCATAAACATCATTGAAGAATTTAGTGGAGTCATTAAGCTTGTTTGTACCATGATGGTTATTGCGGTAAAAGAAGATTTAGACCAAAGACTTGAACAGTTTTTTGCGAATAAACACCAGTTTTGAAGACTTTGAGATAAAGGTAGGCCTTCACTTTTTTTCGATAAAAAAAATGAACAAAGGTATCTTAAAGCAGTATGTTTACAGAAATGGGTAACACCTTAGATATGAGTAACAAATGAAAGCATGCTCGAGTGAAAAGTCAAAACGTGGCTTGATATGTGCCTTAAATAATGTTATCTTTCGAACAGTTTTCCCTAAGATTGAAAAACACCCGTTGTAAGTAAAGCAACTTGGATATAATAACTTATATAAAGAGAGAAAGTAAAGAAAACTCGATGGCTCGGAGAGGAGCAGGTGTTTTAACTTAGTAGCAAGTTCAGCAATTTTTTAGTGAAAATTTATTGTTATCGCGCCCTCGAAAACGTGTTCATTTAGTTCAGGTGCATGTGCTTTCAGATATTTTTAAATTGAGATTAAATTTCAAATGACACAGTCTCAATTTTGTGAAATTAAATTGATAATCTATGAACTTTTTTTCATAACTGGACTGAGACCGAGCCAAAAGAAAAAGCTATCCTGTGACGCTAACCAACTTGAAATGTAAGTAGAACAGGATATGGTAATTTTAATTTACAGTGAATGGAGTAAAAGGAGATTTGACAGATATCCCTTCAATATAACTAAGAGAAGTTTTGGCTGTCGTTTGTTCCATTGGCTTGATTTTTCACTAAATTTTCCTGCAGCTTGTGACTTTTTATGACTTGTAACTTATTAGAGAGAAAAATTAACCTGAGGGCTGAGGCCAGAGACAAAGATAACCCAAAAAAAGGAGCTGAGTTCAATGAGTACATCGCAACAGGCAACGGGAATCTGAATAAATGGTATTATGAAACGTTTATCAGTCTGAAAACCTCGGCGGTTCTCTTAGTTCGACGTCCTACATGACAGCTGATGTGAAAATAATTCAATATAACATATTTCCTTTTAAAAAAAAACCGCGTTTAAGTTCAGAGTCCGTAGATCGATTTTCTGTGATTATCAAGCACACCCAGCCAGCTTTGAAATCTTCAGAAACGCCGTCCTTTGAAATATTCAAATCAACATTTTCTCCTTAACCCTTTAACTCCCAAGATCTGATTGTTAATTCTCCCATCTAGCTGTTACACATTTCCTTGCAATTTAGTGACAAGAATTCGGTGTTATATCCTGATAATAACCTCTAACTGATAAGTTTTAGTAATCTCATTACCTGTTTGCTGATTGGTGTATGAATATTGTAGGGAGAAGTTACATGGAAATCACTTCTGGAAGTTAAAAAGTTAACAGATAGATTCCATGGTTCCGTGAGTCCGTTCAGTCATCGAACACAGATGACGTTAAAATATTATTATTCAAGATGTTACCCATTGAGGTAAATTTAAATGAAATTGTATCACATCTCAGGGAAATTTGGCCTGCTTGCCTTTGCCACAGCATAATTCCATTGCTCATAACCGCTGGATTAATAATTCCATTCACCACGGGCTCCTGCAGCGACGACAAGTGTCCCGTCTCATTCCACTTCATTATTGGAAGGAACATGGTGGATGGGCACGCCCTAGTTGGTCACGTGTTTGCAAATGTCTCAGTGACCAAAGTGATGGAATGTTACAGAGCATGCCAACCAAACTGTCGTTGTATCTCTTTCAACTTTTTGAAATATTCCAACCAGGATAACTGTCAACTGAATGAGGAAAACCGACACCTAAAGCCCGGTGCCTTGATGGCAAAGGAAGACTCTCAGTACTACGATCTGGTAGTTCGCTACAACATTGCGGTGAGAAATGATGTTTAACCGGCATGAACAGCTTCTTTTCAAAATATGAGAGTATTTTCAAAAGTTTCCAGTCAGGATTTTGTTCTTATTAAAATTCTCAGTCATACCATAAATCAGGTTCGTATATGACAAGCGTATACTGCATATGAATTATCAGAGAGAGTCTTATTCTGTTAATCCATGCTAAAAAATCATATTAACTGATTTCTTGTCTCAGAGCAAGTCTGCAGTTTCAGCATCGTCCGGATGCACTCAGTGTTCCAACAGTTGTTGCAAAGATCAACCGTGTCTCAATGGAGGAACTTGTCGAGAAAACTGTCAGGAGACCGGAAAACGATTCATCTGCGACTGTTCGGGATTTATTGGCCAGATCTGTGAGCAGGGTAAAACAATTTTGATCAATAATGCAACTACAGTCTCACATTCTGTGAGCTATCTTTTTCATGCTGCAAATTAATCGAGTCTTAAATCAATCGAAAGGTTCCCAGTCCTTTCTGCAATCTCTCTGATAGACGAGCAGATGACTGATAGTTGCGTATAATTAAATAATGACTCTTAACGGACTATTTAACCTTACTCATTCATATACCAATTTGAAATGCGGTTCACGTTTAGAGTGTCAGGGCGCCCTTGGCATGGAGAGCCGAACAATAACTGACGGACAAATAAGCGCCTCTACTATATGGAATTCCCGTCATTTTGCCTCTAACGCCAGACTTCACAATCAAGCAAGCGCAAATAGCGGCGGGGTCTGGGAACCATCAAAGAAAAACGCTAATCAGTGGCTTCAGATCGATTTGGTCACGCAACTCAGCGTGACACGCGTGGCAACACAAGGAAGACCAGATGGTCCGCATTGGGTGACTAAATATCATTTACAGTATAGTAACAACGGGTCGACCTTCCAGTTGCACAGAGAGCGAGGAAAACATTCTAGCAAGGTTAGTTATTGAGCAGATATTTGGACTTGCAGTTTATTTTTCACGCGTTATGTGGTAGGTTAATGCGAAAGTTTTTGTTCAGCCAATCACCGCTTCATTATCTGCAAACCTGTTTGAGATTATAATTAATTTGCGTTAGCTTAAGAGTCTGCTTTGGTCAAAGTATGGTTAAGTAATTGAATTTCCAATACAGACTCCAAAACAGTGCGATACATGTTTCATTAAATCAGTTTCGATCAAAAGATGAAACGAAACGAAAGCCTCACACATGTATAAGGTCAACAAGAGCTATTGTTACTATAATAACAATTTTTTCATGGCATCACTATATTCTTTAAGGAATATTCAGGAAACAGCGACAGTACATCTGTGGTGTCACATGACCTGATTCCACCAATCATGGCGCGTTACATTCGTTTCCGCCCATTGGCTTGGCACTGGCAGATAGCCATGAGAGTGGAGCTGTATGGTTGTCATGGTAATAGAGACTTTTGTTTTAACAAGCCTTCCTAGTCGAATCAAGAGAGCATCATGGTCTCTTTTCGAAACTTTACGTTCTTCAGTAAAGTTATCACATGTTGTGATTCTGCGTACAACAGATCTTTTTTCCAGAATTTTCACTGTCATCAGTATCGTTTTATTTTGTAAGTAGGTGAGTCGATGTTCTCTTGAATAGATCTGAAAAGAATGTATTTTACCCCGCCATTACTTCAGCTAAAGCCACACATACAATTGCATGGTTACACCTTGAGTTCTATACACCAACTGTATATTGACAATAACGATTTCGACTCGTTCGACGTTTAGATTGTCACCGCGCCCTCGGTATGGAAAGCCGTGCAATCCTTGACGGTCAAATTAGTGCCTCGTCACAGTATAGTATAAACCACGCCGCTGTTTACGCCAGACTCCACAATAAAGCAATTCAAAATGTACACGAAGAGGCCTGGGAACCATTAACATCAGACGCAAATCAGTGGCTCCAGATTGATTTGGTGACGCAACACGGCGTGACTCGCGTGGCAACTCAAGGAAGATACAGGATTAATCACTGGGTGACAAAATATAATCTGCTGTACAGTAGCGACGGGTCGACCTTCCAGTACTACAAAGAGCGAGGACAAAGTATAACGGTTAGTCATTGTGCTTAATGGTCTGTACATGAAGTTGGTTTTGAAAATATATTTAGATACTTTGAAATGGATGGTTATTAAACAGCTGGCAGCCGTGGGCAATATGAAAAAAGTGGGCAATAAGAAAAAGAAAATTTGTCTCGGTCCATGGAAATGCCCAAAAAAACAGGAGCTCGGCCAATACCAAGCCATGTTGACCACAGACTTGGTCAATAACGTATATATGTTGTTTAAAGGAATTATCTGGAAACACAGATGGTACAACTGTGGTGTCCCATGACCTTATTCCCCCAATCATGGCGCGTTGCATTCGTTTCCGACCATTGACTTGGCACGTGTGGATAGCCATGAGAGTGGAGCTGTATGGTTGCCAAGGTATTTTAGAATCTTTAAAGGCCGTAATATCGTGTAATTCTGCCTAAATTTTCTTATGGAAACAGTGACGCTCGTTTATACTGCGTGACAAGCTCGTGACAAGCTCGTGACAAGCTCGTGACAAGCTCGTGACAAGCTAACATAGCAGCCTCGCCTTATACAAATTAGCTTGCGGATTTTGTTAGCGCGCATATTATTAAGACCTGATTTTCGGAGACATTTTACAGTGAGTTATTTGGTGTCATAGAAACGTTTTCCACAGTGCTATGTAGCAAACCTTTAGTCATGCTTTTGTTTCGTAACAGGTATCTAAAGCAACAAGAGAGGATTGCCAAACCAGGGAAGGAAAATAAAGATCTCTTTATGATCTCTTCTGAGTATGCTGTCAATTTTACACAATGGAACTCAACTGTTAACGATTGGTGCATGCGTCAGTTTGCGTTAATTAATATATAAAGCACATTGTAAGATTTAAAGAGAGATAAAAGATTGCTTGGTGAATTTGTTACAAAGACGGCTTCAAGAAAAACAAGAGTGAATTTCTAAGCGAGGGAAAGAAACTTATGTCTCTTATGGTGGATGCTGTTGATGTAACACTATAAGTATCACCAATTCATAGCCGTTTCATTAGTAAACCGAGTTTTGTTCATTGAGATATGAAGTACAACAGAAGATTTAAAATAAGATGAAAGATTGCTCGAGGCGTGGCCGAAAACAACTTAGCTTGAGTTTTGAAAGCACGAAAGATGCGCCAAAGTTACTCGAGGCGTAAGTGAGAGCATCTAAAGCTACTCGAGTGCTGTTCAAATTTACTGCGTGCCACAGTCACATCTTGCCTGCTGTGCAGGCGTCTAATTAGTGCGAGCTAAGCTTTGATTTGGAGTTAGAGTGGACGGTGGGAGTAGGGGCTAATCTCCACTTCACCACCCCTACCTCTCTCCTCATTTTTGACCGACGACCACCCCCTTGGTACAAATTTCTTTCTCTCCCCAGCCTTCCGCTGCCATTAAAATGGCGGCCATAATTTCGTTAAGCGGAAATTACTGAGCACTTGCTCGCCGAAATTACGCCTGCTCTGCCAGCTAAGTCACATCTCGGTGACCGCACAGCTGACGAAAGAACCAATCGTCTTTAACAGTTCAACGCTGTAGTTAAGATGACGCACAAGAAAAAAAAAAAAAAAAAAGGAATATTAAGAGCCTTTGAGGGGTATCAGGTTAATTTTAATTTTATCGGGACCCAACAAAAATCTTCCTCCCCCCTCCCCCCTCCCCCTCAGGCGGTGGATGGTGGACGGTCCTTAATTTAATTTTCTTAAAATAGTTTAACGTAAAAGTTCTGAGGCATAAGGAAAAAACTGAAAGCTTTTTGAGAAAAGCAACCACAAATCATTTAAATTATTTAATTAGCTGATCATTATCGTCAATGTCGTCGTTTAATAAACAGACTGATGCGACGCTTTTTATCATTGATATCCTTTTTGCCAATTCCGATTGATAGCATATTTTTCAGGATGGAAAATACTAAAATAGTTGTACATATTTTGCTTCAACCACGGCCTAGAAGGCCATAAGACGAAAAACCAGTCCTGAAACGAGTCTGTATTGTTTAAGAATAAAGTGAGAACTTCAATTCTCTGCTGTGGCTCAGTTGTTGTTCAACTTTTCTTCATGCGTCAGCGTCTGTTCATCGAGGTATGAAGTACGTTAGAAGGGTAAACATTCGGTTAACAATTGAAGAACCGTGCCGATGACAAGGAAACCGAAAACTGAAGCGAGGTACGTTATTTTTTTAGGGGAATATTGATCAATTTTGCCGATCCTTGCATGCAGCCGAGTTTGATGTTTAAATCAAATCCTACCCGCCTCTTGGGTACGCTTTGGCAGGCATCACCAGGTCAACTTGGTTCGTAATTTGACGAGAGCAAACAAGCCTGAAATACCGACCGCGGAAGCTTGTCAAACAGGCATGATCACATATTTATATTGTAACCAAATTGAGCCCAAAATGTTAGCTTCATTTTTGCCTCATATCGTGAGGTAACTTGCAACTTCCGATTACAACGTTCATAAAGCCGGGCCGAGGGTAACTGGTACTGTAGTAAAACACCTTGTTTAAATAAAACTGTCCATTAACAGAGTTTCATCGCCAAAAGAAATAACAATAAACTGCTGCATTTAAGAAAATAATTCTCGTTGAAGTGCAATACCACCAGGCTTGAACTTAAGCTTAAGATTAGTCGTCGCCAACAGAGTGGGACTGTTAATTTGATCGCCAGGTAACCGCCCATTAACTGCCAATGAGGAGGAGATCGTAAGAATATCGAGTAAATTTTTAACGTAACACAACCAAATTCCTCCAACTACCCTCCCCTCCCCCCCCCGGCTTTAAATTATGACCAGTCCCTTAGCAACCTTGTGACACGTTTACTTATTTTTACTTAATTCAGTAAAAAGTGTGATTGTTGATAAGTACACAAAATGCTTTAATTGAATCTAGTGATAAAATGTCCAATGAAACTCGATAAGCTCGAAAGTATACTTTTAATCCTCACATTATTGTCGGCGCGCGACCATTGTCATGATGTTCAATTGCTTGCAATGTATAATTTTCTTCAATATTTTCCTCAGTCACCTTCACAATGGTGTAATAAAGACATCGAGACATCTGTTACTTTTATTAGTGGTTACCTCTCTATAAATCTGGTACGATGAAACAAAATTGAAAAATTTGATAAGAGTTAGATTTCTCAAAAAAGGGAAAATTAGAAAACTTTGAAATATCGATACACGAGATGCATATGCCAATCATCGGCCAATAAATTATTTAATGTCTCATGCCGTTTAGGCATTCTGTGGAGCCATTAGGTTTGTTTGACCATGATTGTTATTGCAGTAACAGAAGATTTAAACCAAAGACTTGAACGGTCACTCGATACGTTTTCGCGAATAAACACCAGTTTTGAAGACTTTGAGATAAAGGTAGGCCATCACTTTTTTTCGATAAAAAAATGAACAAAGTTATCTTAAAGCAGTATGTTTACAGAAATGAGTAACACCTTGGATCTGAGTCAGAAATGAATGCATGCTTGAGTGAAAAGTCAACTAACGTAGCTTGTAACGAAACGTGCCTTCACTAATGTTATCTTTCGAACAGTATTCCCCAAGTTTTAAAAACACCCGTAATAAGTTAAGCAACTTGGGTATAATAACTTATATAAAAAAGGGAAAGTAAAGAAGACTCGATCGCTCGGAAAGGAGCAGGTGTTTTAACTTAGTGGTAAGTTCAGCAAATTTATTGTTATCGCGCTCTCGAAAATGTGTTTATTTAGGTTAGGTGCATAGTCTAAAATTGTGATTAAATTTCAAATGTCATAATTTCAATTTTGTGAAATTAAACATAATCTATAATTTTTTTTATAACTGAAGTGAGACCGAGCCAAAAGAAAAAGCTATCCTGTGACGCTAACCAGCTTGAAATGTAAGTAGAACAGGATATTGGTAATTTTACAGTACATGGAGTAAAAGCAGATTTGACAGATATCCTTCAATATAACTAAGAGAAGCTTTGGCTGTAGTTTGTTCCATTGGCTTGATTTTTCACTGATTTTCCAGAAGCTCATTAGTGAGAAGATTAACCTGAGCGCTTAAGCCGGGGACAAAGAAAACCCCCAAAAAAAAGAGCTGAGTTCAATGAGTACATCGCAACAGGCAACGGGAATCTGAATAAATGGTATTATGAAACGTTTCTCAGTCTGAAAGCCTCGGCGGTTCTCTCAGTTCGACGTCCTCCATGACCGCTGGGGTGAAATAATTCAATATACCATATTTCCTCTAAAAAAATACCGCGTTTCAGTTCAGAGCCCGTAGATTGATTTTCCGTGATTATCGAGCGCACCCAGCTAGCTTTGAAATCTTCAGAACGGATGTCCTTTGAAATATTCAATCAACATTTTCTCCTTAACCCTTTAACTCCCAAGCTCTAATTGCTTATTCTACCATCTAGCTGTTACACATTTCCTTGCAATTAAGTTACAAGAATTCTGGGTTATATCATGATAATAACCTCTCACTGATAAATTTGAGTAATCTCAACACCTGTTTGTTGGATAGTGTGTGGATTTTGTAGGAAGAAGTTACACTTCTGATACCTAAAGGATTAACAGATAGATTCTATGGTTCAGTGCATCCGTTCAGCCATAGATCACAGATGACGTTAAAATATTATTATTCAAGATTTTGCCCTTTGAAGTAAATTACACTGAAATTGTATTACATCTCAGGGAAATTTGGCCTGCCTGCCTTTGCCACGGCATAATTCCATTGCTGATAACCGCTGGATTCATTATTCCATTCCCCACGGGTTCTTGCAGTGACGGCAAGTGTCCCGTCTCATTCTACTTCACTATTGGAAGGAACATGGTAGATGGGCATACCCTGCTTGATCACGTGTTTTCAACTGTCTCTGTGACCAGAGTGATCGATTGTTTCAGCGCATGTCAAACCAACTGTCGTTGTATTTCGTTCAACTTCCTGACACATTCCAACCAAGATAACTGTCAACTGAATGAAGAAAACCGATATCTGAAGCCTGGTGCTTTAATTCCTATGGAAGGCTCTCAGTACTACGACCTTGGTATCATATATCATGCGGAGGTAAAATCAAAATTACTCCTCAAAATCATTCAAATTATCATGATTTTGTGCATGAAAATCACATTTGTGCACGTATGACACCAAAATTTACCAAACCAAACGTTCATTTGAACGATTAAGACTTCTTCCTCATCATCATCATCATCATCATCATCATCATCATTAATGTGTCTTGAATATCTAGCCGATGGGGTTCAAAACCCCTCTACTAATAGGGGACACTTAACATAGCTAATAACCTACTTACTATTTTCTGATGAAATATTAAAAAAAACCTAATCAGAGGATTTCAACTGTATCTCAATCAAATTAACTTAAATATCCCCGCCCGAGGCTCTGTCTTATTCTAATGATCCCCCTCATGTGCAGTTAATTTTTTACTAATAGGGACACTTAACATAGCTAATAACCTACTTACTATTTTCTGATGAAATATTAAAAAACCTAATCAGCAGTCCCCCCCTCATGTGCAGTTAATTTTTTGCAGTCCCCCTTTTATACTCTGTTAATGACAACTGATCCCCTCTCCGTTCCCCCCATAAATAGTGACCCATCCCCCTTACCTTCCAGGTATGTACCCAGTGTTTCAACAGATGCTGCATGGCTCAGCCGTGTTTTAATGAAGGAACATGTCAAGAAAATTGTCACGAGACTGGAAGACGATTCTTGTGTCATTGTCCTGCACGTTTTATTGGCAATGTATGTGAGAAAGGTATGTTACTAACATAGTTGAATATAACATCATAGGGTCGGTTCCTGCCCAAAGTCAAACCCAAACCACGGTTATAGGCAATCAAGGGGCTTCAGGCTTTCTCCATAAGAGGGTCGATTTAATTATATAGATTTCCTTCCGCTGTTAGTTGGCGGGCCCACTAGACACTGTTCACCAAAAAAAACGAATGTCCACATAAGAGATTCAGCTAAATTAAAGATTGTTTAGGACACGGTTTTGTAAAATAACGGCTAAATTCTGTTTACTCAGTCAGTAATCAGATCATAGTGTTTCACTGAGAGGATTAAGCCAGTTACTGAAGGAATCGTCAATTCAAATCTCAAGACTGAAAGAAAAGTGGGATAAATATATAAAACGAGTGAAAAGGGAGAGAATAACAGTAAAAAATCTGAACAATATGCAAGGAAGAACAGTTACTAGAAACTTGCGGGGTGGAAAAGACGTATCTAATCCCAGTTCCGCATTGAGTATTTACTGATTACCTCGCAAACATTTTGGTGTTACAATCACCGATTCATTATGTTTCCTTACAGTATTAAACGCTACTTTGACGCCTAATCTATTTAATTAAGACTGTCAGGATGCCCTGGGTATGGAAAGCGGTGATATTTCTGATTCACAACTCAGTGCCTCTACAGAACTGGTTCCAGAAAAAGGAGCAAAGCACAGCAGGCTACAATCCAAGTGGAATGGAGTATCTGGGGGAGGCTGGATAGCTAAAATATCTGACACCAACCAATGGCTACAAATCGATCTACTGGATCAGCACTCTTATGTTGTAACAAAGATAGCTACACAGGGTAGAAATTATTATCATAATCGCACGGTGACCAAATATAAACTTCAGTACAGTGACGATGGAGTTACCTTCCTCTATTACAGAGAAGAAGGGCAAGTTACTGACAAGGTATGAGTTAGTAAAGCAGCAGCAGACTTATCTAATCTCATAAAAATACAGTTGTAAGTCTTCTAACTTAGCATGATTTTAAATACAACCAGGTATACTATCAAATAGTTTTTTTTTTTACCATGAGTGGTTTTAAAGAATTTCTTTAACCCAGTTACTTAGTAAAGAATCATAGCCGAGTAGCTTAAGTTAAATAACAAGAAAAGACAAGTTTTCTTTTCCACGAATATTTCTCTTCCAAACAACAGGTTTTTCCTGGAAACACAGACAGGGATACTGTAGTGTCACATGAACTAATTCCACCAATCAGAGCACGCTATATTCGTTTTCGACCAATAGAGTGGTCTGGCCTCATAGGAATGAGGGTGGAGCTCTACGGCTGTCGCGGTAACGTATTACTGTACAGTATTTAAAAAATTCTGGCTTAAGGTCATAATTTTAAGAGTTGTGAAAATTTCTTTGAAAAATCAGGGGTCTCGCAAACTCTTCATTCGATCTCGAAATCTCGTTATCGAGTTATCGTTGGGATAAAGTATAGTCGCTGTCGTTTGCAAGAACCGGAGTGCTAAAGTCGACTCAACATTTTGATAAGCTTACAAGGGTGGTAGCTATAGTACGGACTTTTATAGCTGAATTTGTTTAGTCTCGTCATCGCACTTATAAACTGGTGTCCCCGTGTCTCCGTAGTTTTTGACTTTACTATTCGCCTGTCCTGATCTCGCTTGAGTTTTCCTGAAGAAGGAAGCCATTTCTAATATCATTATCAACATTAAGTCTGTTGTATCTTTTATTCCCAACAGATAACTGAACGGAAAGTGGATTACCAAAGGCACGTGTATCAAGACTGAACGTGGTCTTAAATGGCTTCTTAGAGTGTTGGAAAAGTTCAGCTACTGACTAAGAAGACTGCATACTCTTCGGTATGAAACAAAAAAATTTCCCCTTAGAGCGGTAAAAATTACTAATAACTTGATATTGCTAAAAAAAAAAACATACTTAGACTACGAGCAGTCCCTCCGTCGCGTGGCCAATCTACAATAAGAACTAGTAACATGTACATCATTAAATTAACCATCTAATTAGCAAAACCTTAGACAGTAAATGATAGAGTAACACTGAAAAAGTGAATAAATAAGTAAATTGTGAATGAACAATTAGATAAATAATTTTAAAAAATAACTAAGAAAATAAAAAGTACATACTTTAAGTAGAATTATTCCAAATATATAGTAGTGAGATGCTTTGCAGTGGTAAAGTACTTAAGGATAGTTGGGTCCATCTACAATAGACCTTGGATAAAAAAGAATTTGTAGACATTGCAGTTGCACTGAATATGGCGATGAGGAGTATAATTTGGAAGCCGAGATACCCTGTTTAGAGGGAAAATCTCAGGAGGAAGCGGGATGAGCATTAGACCTTGCTGGATCTTATAGAACATGGTTAATTGAGACAGTAATCTACGTTGTTCTAGGGTCCCCCCCCCCCGAGTTAATTAATCATATGAGTAACATGACTTAATCTAGAATAATCGTGTAAGACAAATCTAGCTGCCCTATGTTGAACCATATCAATCTTGTTAATATTACGTTTAGTTTTAATTAAGGGTTCCATGCAGAACTGGTATATTATAACTGCGGGCGGACAAGACTAACATAGGCTTTCGATTTCACATCTGTATTGCAGTCACCTAGGACTCTTCTTAGATGGCCTAGTGTTTCATTGGCCTTGCTACAAATGAGGTCACAGTGTTGGTTCCAATCGAGTTTCTGAATTAAAGTGATGCCTTGATATTTGGAGATGGTCTGGTCATTCATTAAATAATCGTGACAAAAAGGAACAGTTTTGCTAGTTACTCCCAAGTGATAGCATTTAGTGATATTAAAGATCATTTGCCAAAGGTCTCCCATTTTCAAAAGTTATCTAGTTTATTGGAGTGCAAAATGATTTTGTTGTGTATTGATTTCTCTATAGATGACGATGCCGTCTGCGAAAAGGCGCATGTGGGCGCTGTTGTCTGTAATGTCGTTGATATAGAGTAGAAATAATACTGAGCCCAGGACTGACCCCCTGGGGAACTCCAGAGACAACTGGTGTGGGGCTAAGAGTGTGTTCCATCGATCGATACCACTTGGGTGCGGTCGGTGACTAAGGCTTTGATCTAGTCTAATGATCTGTTCCGAATACCATTGCAGTTCAGTTTAGATAATAAGCATTGGTGGGGAACGTAGTCAAAAGCCTTGTTGAAATCAAGAAGGATCACATCGGTCTGAGTGCGGTGATTGATGCTCTTTACCCAGTCATTGATGGCTGAAATAAGCTGGGTTTCACAAGAAAATTTTTGTCTAAAGCCATGTTGGTGATTAATAATGATATCTTCGTGGATAAATGTTTGGAAATATGACTTCGCATTATATGCTGCATAATCGTACAACCTACACATGTAAGAGAAATGGGACGGTAGTTAGATGGATTTGATCTTACATCTTTTTTGTGTATAGTAGTAAATAATGCCTTGGACCAATCAGATGGTGGTTTGGTGGAAGATGGAAAAACCTTTTGTTTTTGTGTGAGAGAATTTGTGGTGTATCAAGATAAAGTCCCAACAAGATAGCCCGCAAGGTAGGCGTAATTTTGACGAGCGAGTGCTCATATGTATTTAACAAAAATTATGACCGTCATCTTTGATTTTAATGACAGCGGAAGACTGGGGAGAGAAAGAAATTTGTACTATGGAGTCGGTCGACGGTCAAAAATAAGGAGAGGGGTGGGTCGTCCTCCCCCCTCCTACCCCCACCGTTCACTCTGACACCAAATCCAACATGGCCGATAGGATAAACGATCGCGAGCTTATAACGATAGCTCGCCCTGATGAGACGCTTGCACTGCAGGCTACCCAATAAGATAGTTATCTTGGTTTTCGTTACCTGCTTGTTGGACGGTGCATTAATTAACCCTTTGACCCGTCAGTGACTAGCATTTGACTTTTCTTTACCGTCTCACCTCTGAAAATTAATATTAAGGTCGAGAGAATAAAGGAAATGATCACCTACTAAAGAAGCTCTTAAAAAAAAATAATTCTTGTCAGCTCCTTAGGAAATATCATAAAGAAATGTACAGTACAGACCATATTGTAAGTAGAATCGATGGAGAGGATTGCAAATTTTTATGGTCATCGAAGGAGGAGATTCGTTATTCATCTTGTAATGAGAGTGGAAAAAAAATCTGAGTCCTCTCAATTTCTTGATCGATGCTGACTGACTGAGTGTCTGAGTGTCTGACTGACTGAGAGACAAAGAACTCTATGGCATGTTAGGTTGTTAATAGATTCATATGTGAAATGCGTTCAGCATTCTGCTGAGATCAATTATGTCTAAACTGTGGAGAAAGTAAATAGAGAGATGGAAGACTTCAATTTCAATCCACTTTTTAAGAAAATCGTGCTTACTCGTAGCAGCAGTATTTTTAACTAGTATAGTACACTAGATTATACATTTCAACATTTACATCCGCATTTTAACCCCACACTTCTAGTCTAACTCCATTTCTTGGTAAAATTCAATTCGTCGAGAGTGTGCTAACTCAGCTACTGCAAAATATGACGATATCAACAATTCTTAGCTCGTCAGTGCTTCATGAAGATTCTAACAAACATCTCTATAGCTTTATCAGACTAATTTGGAAATGGTAGTTGATAGGTATTCAATGTTTTAAATGACTAACTTCATGTAAGGAGCACCGGTGCACGCGACAAAGAAATCTGTCACCTTAAATGATGCAGTAATTCAAAGAGCCACTTCAAAGAGAATTCTGGCACACTCATCAGAATTGGTCGCAATTACTTTTACAAGTACTTGTGAAATTGATCACCCTTAGGCCGCTTATAGAGATTTATAGGCAAGAGACTTCATCTAATCAGCAGCAAAGGAGACGGGCGATTACAGACTTTAACAGATCATTACTATGGCACAAAATACTTTTTCAGATGGTTCCTTACAACAAGACTACAGTGTAAGCTACGATGACCTTGAGCCAATGTCGTATTTTCTTTTCCAGCTAAAGAGGGGTACAAAGAACCGCGCTGGCCTGGTACCAGTTTTTACAAATCACCAGATGAACTTCTTTTCAACTGCAGAGCTTTCTTGACATTCCGCGCATGCTCGCTGATTCTCCTAGCTTGTTTTGCACCCGGGGTATTCGAGTCAATCTCCTTTTCTTTCAAAGAGTCACCACAGGACGACTGTTTTGTGGGCAGTGATGTCCTCTCAGATCCCTCTACTATGGAATAACCTTTGAGAGGTGTGCTGCCCTTTAACGAATAAGGAACATCAATAAACGGAGTGTGAAAGAATTGAGAAAAAGTGACACTCCTTTCAAATACTCACCCGTTATTTTCATTGACATCTTTAGAATTTTCTGTTCTTAATGACAACGCCTTATATAGCTCTTCTGTGTTCGGGATTTCCACGGGTCCGTCCCGCGGGATATTAGGAGTGCCTCTGGTTTCGGATGAGATAAGACCTCTTGGTGCAGGTGAAAACGACACGGGGCTGACTTGAAGCCGAGGCCCATTTGGTGCTAAAGAGAAATTATCACTTAAACCTACACGAAACTGACTACTGAAGAAACAGAGTAAAGGAAAAACTTTGACGAACAGGTTACACTGAAATACGTAAACAACCCTTCGAACCAGCTGCAAGATGCACAGCCGACTCTCTATATTGGGCCATTTCCCAGTCAAACGAAGAGACAAACTGAAACAGACATACAGACACAGTCAGACAGCCAGAGGAACAGACTGGCACCGGTCATAAAATGCAGACGGTTTCTGTCGCTTTTTCAACGTTACATTGTTAGGGGTATATCTTTGACTTGAGATATATCGCTGGCTCGTTACTTTTGGGAGTGCTCGCTGGCTCATTGAAATCTTATCCGCCATTTTGAAAAGCACGAGGCATGGAGGACAGTCAAGAGAAAGATTATAGCTTTTTGGGGAACGACACGTTCCCCAACCTTTACCTACATTGAGTGAACCTTCCATCGTAAAATTGATCGAGAATCAAAGCGAATACTTATCAAAGTTAACTTTATATCATCTTAAAAAACGTGCTACAAGGCGATCTAGACGTGCTCGTGAACCCACAGGCGGCCCAAGCTCCAGCTGTGAGATGATCATCTTGCGCAATAACAGTCATGGCGGAATTATAAGAGTTTGTATGGGCATATTTACGGCCGCCCTAAGGAATAAAATAATACGTCAAATTCTCAAAAAAATACCTCACCTTACTTCTACAGCGTAATGCTTGTTATCTGACCGCTTACTTTGATGAAAAGGACGCATTTTAGCGAGTTGTCCATTTCGACGTTTTCAACGTTCATAAGAAAAGCCCTTTTCTTATGAACGTTGAAAACCTCGAAATGAACAACTCGCTAAAATGGGCTCTTTTCGTCAAAGTAAGCGGTCAGATAACAAATGATACACTGTGGAAGTAAGGTGAGGTATTTTTTTTTGAGAATTTGACGTATTTTGTTTATTCCTGAGGGCGGTCGTAAATATGCCCATACAAACTCTTATAATTCCGCCATCACTGTTATTGCGTAAGATGATTATGTCACAGCTGGAGCTTGGGCCGCCTATGGTGAACCGAGCAGAATTCCACTGCATCTAAGCAGGTGTTCATACTTTTTGCTAGAAAAACCTCTACGTTTGCGTCTTAAAAATTATTAGCGAAAATGTAAATATGCGAAAGTTTTCTTAATTTTTGCCTCATCACGTACAATGCCCGGTCACATTCGCTAATTTAACAGGCTAAAGCAGCATTCGAACCACGATTTGGTACTTAAAATATGGAGGAATAATAACACTGAAGCGACTTTTAGAGTTTTTTGTCTCTGATTGTGAATTACGTCAGTATTAGCCTCCACAGAAGAGGGGGGAGCGGTGCGAGAGATTAACTATATTTATGCAATCCCGTGTCCCACTGGGCCCCGGTAAGTTCCAAGTAGTGGTTCTAGTTCAGTAAAAAGTGTGATTGTTGATAAGTACGCAAAATGCTTTAATTGAATTTAGTGATAAAATGTCCAATGAAACTCGATAAGCTGGAAAGTATATTTTTAATCCTCACATTATTGTCGGCGCGCGACCATTGTCATGATGTTCAAATGCTGGTAATGTATAACTTTCTTCAATATTTTCCTCCGTCACCTTCACAATTAAAAATCCGTTACAGAAACATAACGGAAACGAACAACAACGGTAACGTCCTGACTTAAATATGACGGAAACATGACTTGACATTTCCGTTCCGCAGACATGACGGAAACTTGATAGAATCGCTTAGACTTGGTCTAACACGTTTCCGCAAAACGTAAATGCAGCGGAAATATGAAGCTCTATGTTTCCGTCGCATTTAAGAAATGCGGAAACGTGGGATTTCGTCCTGTGATGGCGCAATTAAGACACCGAGACATCTGTTACTTTTATTAGGGGTTGCCTCTCTATAAATCTGGTATGATGAAACAAAATTGAAAAATTTGCCAAAAATTAGATTTCCCAAAAGAGGGAAAATTAGAAAACCTTGAAATATTGATGCACGAGATGCATATGCCAATCATCTGCCCGTGAATTATTCACCGTCTCCCGCCGTCATAAACGTCGTCTAAGAATTTAGTGGAGTCATTAAGTTTGTTTGAACCATGATGGTTATCGCAGTAACAGAAGATTTAGACCAAAGAATATAACAGTCACTCGATAGGTTTTTGCGAATAAATACCAGTTTTGAAGACTTTGAGATAAAGGTAGGCCTTCACTTTTTTTCTATAAAAAAATGAACAAAGGTATCTTAAAGCAGTATGTTTACAGAAGTGAGTAACACCTTGGGTCTGAGTCAGAAATGAAGGCATGCTCGAGTAAAAAGTCAAAACGTAATTTGATATGTGCCTTAAATAATGTTATCTTTCGAACAGTTTTGCCTAAGTTTTAAAAACACCCATATTAAGTTAAGCAACTTGGATATAGTAACTTACATAAAAAGATAAAATAAAGAAGCCTCGATCGCTCGGAGAGGAGCAGGTGTTTTGACTTAGTGGCAGGTGAAGCAATTTTTTTGTGAAAATTTATTGTTATCGCGCCCTCGACAATGTGTTTATTCGGTTTAGGTGCATAGTTTTATATTGTGATTAAATTTCAAATGACTTAGTTTCAATTTTGTGAAATTAAACATAATCTGTGAATTTTTTTTACAGCTGAACGGAGACCGAGCCAAAAGAAAAAGCTATCCTGTGACGCTAACCAGCTTGAAATGTAAGTAGAGCAGGATGTTGGTAATTTTACAGTGAATGGAATAAAAGTAGATCTGACAGATATCCCTTCAATATAACTAAGAGAAGCTTCGGCTGTCGTTTGTTCCGTTCGCTTGACTTATCACCGATTTTTCCAGAAGCTTATGACTTTTTATGACTTGTAACTCATTAGTGAGAAAAATTAACCTAAGGGCTGAAGCCAGAGACAAAGAGAGCCCAAAAAGAAAAGAGCTGAGTTCAATGAATACATCGCAACAGGCAACGGGAATCTGAATAAATGGTATTATGAAACGTTTCTCAGTCTGAAAGCCTTGGCGGTTCTCTCAGTTCGACGTCCTCCATGACAGCTGGGGTGAAAATAACTGAATATAACATATTTCCTTTAAAAAAAATACCGCGTTTCAGTTCAGAGCCCGTAGATCGATTTTCTGTGATTTGGAGCACACTTAGCTAGCTTTGAAAACTTCAGAACGGATGTCCTTTGAAATATTCAAATCAACATTTTCTCCTTAACCCTTTAACTCCCAAGATCTGATTACTAATTCTCCCATCTAGCTGTTACAGATTTCCTTGCAATTAAGTTACAAGAATTCGGTGTTATATCATGATTATAACCCCTAACTAATAAATTTGAGTAATCTCATTACCTGTTCGTTGGATAGTGTGTGGATTTTGTAGGGAGAAGTTACACTTCTGGTAGGTAAAGGGTTAACAGATAGGTTCCATGGTTCCGTGCATCCATTCAGTCATAGATCACAGATCACAGATGTCGTTAAAATATTATTATTCAAGACGTTGCCCTTTGAAGTAAATTTCACCGAAATTGTATTACATCTCAGGGAAATTTGGCCTGCCTGCCTTTGTCACAGCATAATTTCATTGCTTATAACCGCTGGATTCATCATTCCATTCACCACGGGTTCATGCAGTGACGGCAAGTGTCCCGTTTCATTCCATTTCACTATTGGTAGGAATATGGTAGATGGGCACGCTCTGCTTGATCACGTGTTTGCAACTGTCTCTGTGACCAGAGTGATCGATTGTTACAGAGCATGTCAAACCAACTGTCGTTGTATCTCGTTCAACTTCCTGACACATTCCAACCAAGATAACTGTCAACTGAATGAAGAAAACCGACACCTGAAGCCTGGTGCTTTAATTCCCATGGAAGGCTCTCAGTATTACGATCTGGATATCATCTATCATACGGGGGTAAAATCAGTATCATTCAAATTATTATGATTTTAAGCATGAAAATCTCATTTGTGCATGTATCACGACAAAAGTTACCAAACCAAACGTTCATCTGAACGATTAAGACTTCGTCACTTGTTTCAGATGATGATTCTCACTTAGGCTAAAACAAAATTGCTTTCCGAGAGAAACATAGTAAAAACTATCAATCAACGCTATAGCTCATGTATTTTCCTCACAACAGTACCTAATTTTACGTAAACTGAAGAACCAAACTACCAATTATAGTTCACTGTATATTGTATAGCAAATTGGTATCAAGTTACAGCTTGTTTAGATGATTCCTCCCGTTGAATTTGAAATGCCTCATTAGGGATCGGTCTCATTATTTTTCGCCTGAGGGTGGGAAGGGGAGGGGGAGGAGAAGGAAGATCAGAGGATTTCAACTATATCTCAATAAAATTAACTCGACCCCTTCCTCCCCCTCCGAGGCTCTGTATTATTCTGATGACCCCCCCTATGGGCAGTTCATTTTTTGTAGTCCCCCTTTTATACTCTATTAGCGACGACTGATCCCCCCTCCGTTTCCCCCATGATAAAAAGTGACCCAACCCCCTTACCTTCCAGGCATGTACTCAGTGTTTCAAAAGATGCTGCAGGGCTCAGCCGTGTTTTAATGGAGGAACATGTCGAGAAAATTGTCACGTGACTGGAAGACGATTCTTGTGTAATTGTCCTGCACGTTTTATTGGCAATGTATGTGAGAAAGGTATGTTACTAATGTAGTTAAATATGATATCATAGGGCCGGTTCTGGCACGAGGTCTAACCCAAACCACGGTTTTACGCAATCAGAGGGCTTCAGGCTTTCTCCATAAGAGGGTCGATTTAATTATATAGATTTCCTTCCGCTGTTAGTTGGCGGGCCCACTAAACACTCTCCACCAAAAAAAATGAATGTTCACATAAAAGGTTCAGCTAAATATGGATTGTTTAGGACACAGTTTTGTAAAACAACTGCTAAACCTTGTTTACTCAGAAATCAGATCATAGTGTTTCACTGAGTGAATTGAGCTTAGAGTGACTTTTGTCTACTATAGTGATAAAGCAAGTTAGCCGAAAGTAATTCGAATTTTTGATCAACCAGTTACTGGAGGAATCGTCAATTCAAATCTCGTGACTGAAAGAAAAATGGGATAAATATATAAAATAAGTGAAAAGGGAGAGAGCAATAGTAAAAAATCTGAACAATATGTAAGGAATAACAGTTACTAGAAACTTGCAGGGTGGAAAAGACGAATCTAATCCCAGTTCCGCATTGAGTTTTTACTGATTACCTCGCAAACATTTTGGTGTTACAATCACCGATTCATTATGTTTCCTTACAGTATTAAACACTACTTTGACGCCTAATCTATTTAATTTAGACTGTCAGGATGCCCTGGGTATGGAAAGCGGTGATATTTCTGATGCACAACTCAGTGCCTCTACAGAACTGGTTCCAGAAAAAGGAGCAAAGCACGGCAGGCTACAATCCAAGTGGAATGGAGTATCTGGGGGAGGCTGGATAACTAAAATATCTGACACCAACCAATGGCTACAGATCGATCTACTGGATCAGCATTCTTATGTTGTAACAAAGATAGCTACACAGGGCAGAAATTATTATAGTCGCATTGTGACCAAATATAAACTTCAGTACAGTGACGATGGAGTTACCTTCCTCTATTACAGAGAAGAAGGCCAAGTTACTGACAAGGTATGAGTTAGTAAAGCAGCAGCAGACTTATCTAATCTCATTAAAAAATACAGTTGTAAGTCTTCTAACTTAACATGTTTTTAAATACAACCAGGTATGCTATCAAATTTTTTTTTTTTTTTTTTTTTTTTACCATGAGTGGTTTTAAAGAATTTCTTTAACCCAGTTACTTAGTAAAGAATCATAGCCGAGTAGCTTAAGTTAAATAACAAGAAAAGACAAGTTTTCTTTTCCACGAATATTTCTCTTCCAAACAACAGGTTTTTCCTGGAAACACAGACAGGGATACTGTAGTGTCACATGAACTAATTCCACCAATCAGAGCACGCTATATTCGTTTTCGACCGATAGAGTGGTCTGGCTACATAGGAATGAGGGTGGAGCTCTACGGCTGTCGTGGTAACGTATTACTGTACAGTATTTAAAAAATTCTGGCTTAAGGTCATAACTTTAAGAGATGCGAAAATTTCTTTTGAAAAATCAGGGGTCACGCAAACTCTTCATCCGATCTCGAAATCTCGTCAGCCTTTCTGATGAGTCACAAATCTTCGAGTTATCGTTGGGATAATGTATAGTCGATGTCGTTTGCAAGAACCGGAGTGCTAAAGTCGACTCAACATTTTGATAAGCTTACAAGGGTGGTAGCTATAGTACGGACTTTTATAGCTGAATTTGTTTAGTCTCGTCATCGCACTTATAAACTGGTGTCCCCGTGTCTCCGTAGTTTTTGACTTTACTATTCGCCTGTCCTGATCTCGCTTGAGTTTTCCTGAAGAAGGAAGCCATTTCTAATATCATGATCAACATTAAGTCTGTTGCATCTTTTATTCCCAACAGATAACTGAACGGAAAGTGGATTACCAAAGGCACGTGTATCAAGACTGAATGTGGTCTTAAATGGCTTCCTAGAGTGTTGGAAAAGTTCAGCAACTGACTAAGAAGACTGCATACTCTTCGGCATGAAACAAAAAAAATCTCCCCTTAGAGCGGTAAAAATTACAAATAACTTGATATTGCTAAAAAAAACATACTTAGACTACCAGCAGTCCCTCCGTCGCGTGGCCAATGTACAATAAAAACTAGTTTACATGTACATCATTAAATTAACCATCTAATTAGCAAAACCTTAAATAGTAAATGATAGAGTAACACTGAAAAAGTGAATAAATAAGTAAATTGTGGATGAACAATTAGATAGATAAATAAATAAATAACTAAGGAAATAAAAAGTACATACTTTAAGGGACTTGTCAGAAATTAGCAGGGGGGGAGGGGGGGTGGGAATTTTAAATTTGGGTTCGGAAATTAGGTGACCCATCCCTGCAATGGGAGTGAAATTTGCTAACCCTCCCCTTGAGCTTGGCCTAAAATATCATGACCCTCCCCCTCTTGTATAAATGATAAAATCTAGTTCTTGCAATACACTAGGGTGCGTCAGTATTATGAAAACTCAAAATATATTTCTAATCTGTTCTTTGTCATGCTACATACATACATTTTCGATGACAGCATTAAGAGTCCGACTGATCACTCGACTCTCCTATTTCTCCCAATACAAAGTCTTCATCACTAGAACAAGTGGGTAATGCCTCATCCCCTTCATCTACCTCACATTCATCATGATCATCCACCTCTTCCAAATAAAGAACTTCCTTTTTCTTCTGTGGGTGAACCTCTACATGATCACGGGCATATATTTGCATGACCCTCCCCCTTTTAACTGCCCATTTTTCATGACCCCTCCCTTTTCTGAGGCTCAAAAAGGTTATGACCCCCCCTCTGTTTCCACCCTCCCTCCCCCCCTGCTAATTTCTGACAAGTCCCTAAGTAGAATTATTCCAAATATATAGTAGTGAGATGCTTTGCAGTGGTAAAGTACTTAAGGATAGTTGGTTCCATCTACAATAAACCTTGGATAAAAAAAATTTGTAGACATTGCAGTTTCACTGAATATGGCGATGAGGAGTATAATTTGGAAGCCGAGATGCCCTGTTTAGAGGGAAAAAACCTTAGGAGGAAGCGGATAAACCTTAGACCTTGCTGGATCTTGTAGAACATGGTTAATTAAGACAGTAATCTACGTTGTTCTAGGTCCCCCCCCCCGAGTTAATTAATCATATGAGTAACATGACTTAATCTAGAATAATCGTGTAAGACAAATCTAGATGCCCTATGTTGAACCATATCAATCTTGTTAATATTACGTTTAGTTTTAATTAAGGGTTCCATGCAGAACTGGTATATTATAACTGCGGGCGGACAAGACTAACATAGGCTTTCGATTTCACATCTGTATTGCAGTCACCTAGGACTCTTCTTAGAAGGCCTAGTGTTTCATTGGCCTTGCTACAAATGAGGTCACAGTGTTTTCCAATCGAGTTTCTGAATTAAAGTGATGCTTTGATATTTGGAGATGGTCTGGTAATTCTTTAAATAATGACGATGTCGTCTGCGAAAAGGCGCATGTGGGAGCTGTTACCTGTAATGTCGTTGATATAGAGTAGAAAAAATACTGAGCCCAGGACTGACCCCTGGGGAACTCCAGAGACAACTGGTGTGGGGCTAAGAGTGTGTTCCATCGATCGATACCACTTGGGTGCGGTCGGTGACTAAGGCTTTGATCTAGTCTAATGATCTGTCCCGAATACCATTGCAGTTCAGTTTAGATAATAAGCATTAGTGGGGAACGTAGTCAAAAGCCTTGTTGAAATCAAGAAGGATCACATCGGTCTGAGTGCGGTGATTGATGCTCTTTACCCAGTCATTGATGGCTGAAATAAGCTGGGTTTCACAAGAAAATTTTTGTCTAAAGCCATGTTGGTGATTAATAATGATATCTTCGTGGATAAATGTTTGGAAATATGACTTCGCATTATATGCTCCATAATCGTACAACCTGCACATGTAAGAGAAATGGGGCGGTAGTTAGATGGATTTGATCTTACATCTTTTTTGTGCGTAGTAGTAAATAATGCCTTGGACCAACCAGATGGTGGTTTGGTGGAAGATGGAAAAACCTTTTGTTTTTGTGTGAGAGAATTTGTGGTGTATCAAGATAACGTCCCAACAAGATAGCCTGCAAGGTAGGCGTAATTTTGACGAGCGAGTGCTCATATGTATTTAACAAAAATTATGACCGTCATCTTTGATTTTAATGACAGCGGAAGACTGGGGAGAGAAAGAAATTTGTATTAAGGAGTCGGTCGACGGTCAAAAATAAGTAGAGGGGTGGGTCGTCCTCCCCCCCTCCTTCCCCCCACCGTTCACTCTGACACCAAATCAAACATGGCCGATAGGATAAACGATCGCGAGCTTATAACGATAGCTCGCCCTGATGAGACGCTTGCACTGCAGGCTACCCAATAAGATAGTTATCTTGGTATTCGTTACCTGCTTGTTGGACAGTGCATTAATTAACCCTTTCACCCGTCAGTAACTAGCATTTAATTTTTCTTTACCGTCCCACCCCTGAAATTTAACATAAAGGTCGAGAGAATAAAGGAAATGATCACCTACTAAAGAAGCTCTTAAAAAAAAAATTCTTGTCAGCTCCTTAGGAAATATCATAAAGAAATGTACAGTACAGACCATATTGTAGTAGAATCGATTGAGAGGATTGCAAATTGTTATGGTCATCGAAGGAGGAGATTCGTTATTCATCTTGTAATGAGAGTGGAAAAAAAATCTGAGTCCTCTCAATTTCTTGATCGATGCTGACTGACTGAGAGACAAAGAAGTCTATGGCATGTTAGGCTGTTAATAGATTCATATGTGAAATGCGTTCAGCATTCTGCTGAGATCAATTATGTCTAAACTGTGGAGTAAGTAAATAGAGAGATGGAAGACTTCAATTTCAATCCACTTTTTAAGAAAATCGTGCTTACGCGTGGCAGCAGTATTTTTAACTAGTATAGTACACTAGATTATACATTTAAACATTTACATCCGCATTTTAACCCCACACTTCTAGTCTAACTCCATTTCTTGGTAAAATTCAATTCGTCGAGAGTGTGCTAACTCAGCTACTGCAAAATATGACGATATCAACAATTCTTAGCTCGTCAGTGCTTTATGAAGATTCTAACAAACATCTCTATAGCTTTATAAGACTAATTTGGAAATGGTGGTTGATAGGTATTCGATGTTTTAAATGACTAACTTCATGTAAGGAGTACCGGTGCACGCGACAAAGAAATCTGTCAACTAAATGATGCAGTAATGCAAAGAGCCACTTCAAAAAGAATTCTGACACACTCATCAGAATTGGACGCAGTTACTTTTACAAGTACTTGTGAAATTGATCACCCTTAGGCCTCTTGTAGAGATTTGTAGGCAAGAAACTTCACTCAATCAGCATCTAAGGAGACGGGCGATTACAGACTTTAACAGATCATTACTATGGCACAAAATACTTTTTCAAATGGTTTCTTACAACAAGACTACAGTGTAAGCTACGATGACCTTGAGCCAATGTCGTATTTCTTTTCCAGCTAAAGAGGGGTACAAAGAACCGCGCTGGCCTGGTACCAGTTTTTACAAATCACCAGATGAACTTCTTTTCAACTGCAGAGCTTTCTTGACATTCCGCGCATGCTCGCTGATTCTCCTAGCTTGTTTTGCACCCGGGGTATTCGAGTCAATCTGCTTTTCTTTCAAAGAGTCACCACAGGACGACTGTTTTGTGGACAGTGACGTCCTCTCAGATCCCTCTACTATGGAATAACCTTTGAGAGGTGTGCTGCCATTAAACGAATAAGGAACATCAATAAACGGAGTGTGAAAGAATTTAGAAAAAGTGACACTCCTTTCAAATACTCACCAGTTATTTTCATTGACATCTTTAGAATTTTCTGTTCTTAATGACAATGCTTTATATAGCTCTTCTGTGTTCGGGATTTCCACGGGTCCGTCCCGCGGGATATTAGGAGTGCCTCTGGTTTCGGATGAGATAAGACCTCTTGGTGCAGGTGAAAACGACACGGGGCTGACTTGAAGCCGAGGGCCATCTGGTGCTAAAGAGAAATTATCATTTAAACCTACATGAAACTGACTACTGAAGAATTAGAGCAAAGGAAAAACTTTGACGAACAGGTTACACTGAAATACGTCAACTACCCTTCGAACCAGCTGCAAGATGCACAGCCGACTGTTTATATTAGGCCATTTCCCTAGTCAAACTAAGAGACAAACTGAAACAGACATACAGACACAGTCAGACAGACAGAGACAGACAGAGTCAGACAGAGGAACAGACTGACAGGTGCACAGAATGATGGGAAGATAGATGTACAGCCAGACGGTTAACAAAACCAAAAATACTGCTATGCCATGGTGAAACAATTAGCACTCAAAGTTCATATAAAGCCTTACATTTTGATTTCCTTCCCCCAAGTGACTGATTTCTTAACGGGGTCAAAAGCTGTTGCTTGTAAAATGAAGCTCGTTCCTCTTCAAACTTCTTTCTCTGAAAAATTAAAATAATAATTATCGCTAAAAATAATATAAAGGAATCAGTGCACTGTGTACAAGTATATGCATTCTAAGAATATTCTCCATTCTCCATCACCTTTGGCTTGTAAAATATTCGTGTTGGTGTTCCAATATCCCAGCCTTTTGTTTGGCCACTGAATATGCAGCAACCTTCTTATAAAGTTAGCACATACAGTAGTACTATTTCTCTCTAAAATAAGGGTTGCTGCCATCCTTTGGAAATGACTATAAGCGTTTATAGAGAAATCTCTACAAATTTGATTTTTTTATGCCTGTCTATGTAAATCAAAGGAATTTTGTTTGCTTATTGTATTTCCACTTGGTTATCACCTCATGCCCAAGTTTTACAGCAGCATCTGTCAGCTGTTTCCTCTCATTCTCTAACGCTACTCTTCGCTCAGCAAAGAACTGCTTGTCAGATTCAAATTTTTCTTGTTCCTCATACAACTGTGAGTCAACCTGTTACAAGAAGGAAGAAAACTTTTATGAAATATCATTCAAGAGCTGTCTTTAAAATAGCAATAAAACCATAATTTTCTTTTATTAATGAAAAAGAGCTGAATCACATTACGGCTGAATAATAATTCAAAATACTTACCAAAAGAGTTGAATCTTTTGAGGGAGAATCAACCTTTGACTGCAAGGACTAAAGAAAAAAATTGTGTCAGCTATGAGTAAACAGTAAGTTAGATCACAAAGAAAAGGTCTATTGACTTTCTTAAAAGTTCTCAGGTTATTGGGTCAGTAAGGTTAAGTCTGTACCCAACCCAAATGGCCCATTCAGCCAGAGCTAACCCCAGTTTCCTTAGCATGAAGCAACTAGAAGTATTTCTACTCCCCCCTAGAAACAATGCTTGTCCATTGCAAGGTTACCCCCTCCCCCCCCAAAAAAAAAAAAAATTTCATCAGGCTTCCCTGACAATTCATCAGCACCTATCAGTACTCCTGGGTAGAGAGATGAAAGTAATGAGTGTTTTGCCCAAGAATAACACAATGTCAGGTCTTAATCCTTTACCTCCTGTGAGTGACTAAGAGGGAATTTCTCCTTACATTATTGATACACTATCAAGCAATACCAAATTCTCCAAATTGACATCATAAGAATTGTATGACAGACGGCAAAGAGAATCACTAATGAGATCTTGGGAGTTAAAGGTCAAACCAGGACATCTTGGCCCAGAGTCCAGTGCACAAACCATTGGACCATTGTATCTCCCAGGTTAAACAATACATTATAAGCAATCATTTTCACATACTTCTATTAGTTGTTCCTGTTGTTCCACAACATGTCTGTAATTCTCCAACTGCCTTTCCAACCTTGAAATTTCCTCTGCTTTAGGGGAAGAGGGTTCTGGTGCATAAAGCAGATTTAAAGTAAACTAAGACAAAGTTCTTCACTTTATTCTTGGGAGTCTACAAATGTCTATTCTTACCATTTGAAGAGCCTTTGTTTGCTTCCTCTAACCTTGACTTCAGCAATCTCCATTTTTCTCTTAAACTACTTTCAATTCCTGCAAAGGACATTGCACTGTGATTTATTTAAAATAAAGCACCTTCACAAAGCCCCTTCACTCCCAAGATTTCAAAGTCAATTATCCTTCATGTCTGTTATCGTTTTTTTTTATATTTACACTGAAAGAATTATTTATTCTTATCATCTTGCTGCTTGAGAATATACTGACACTGCAGGGAGAAGTTACCCATTGGTCGCTCTTAGGAATGGATGGGTTAATAAATGTCTTTATATCTGAAGACATAAATCAAACTTTTGGCAGTTTTCATAAGTGACCCATGTAAGAAAACTATAATCTTAAATGTAATCAATACATACTTTACAGAAGAAAATGCAGCTACAAAGTAAGTGCTGATGCAAAAACATTCCCAAAATTTTGATACTAAATAGACTGACATACCCTCTCTAACCATGTCACATGGCATATTGAAATGTCCTGTTGATAATTCCTCAACTGATCCAGACTCACTGATTTCACCAACCTATAAATGTTAATGAAAACAAATAAGGTTGAATCTTAGAGAGCAAACATGTCAGTGGTGGCTCTGAGAAGATTCCTTTTAGAAGGGGCAGGACCCAGGTACTGGTACCAGAACAAAGAAAAAGCGCCCAACACTATTTTCAAATACGACAACTTTACTTCAAGCTATCTTTTATACATGTGCCTGCCTTTTCTACTAAGTCTACACATAACAAAGAAAATGGTTTGTTTGCCTAAGGAAGCATAACAATGCATAACTTAGTTATGCACCATACTGTAAAAAGTAAATATTGAGGTGAATGTAAATAAAAAATTCATGCAAACACTATGTACATTCAAATTAAATACCAACCTCTGTGTTGCTTTCATAATCTTCATTCTGCTGATTCAGCAATTTTATTAACTCGGCCTGAATGCTTTTTAAAATGAAAATGTTGATCCACCACGTTTTCATTCAGTCATCAATTTTTTGAAATTGAAGTTTGCCATCCTTGTTATATAGGACCAAGGGTCAGTAAAAGTTTCCTGCCCGTGGAGAGGAACTTGCGCTCGAAAGAGTGGTCGTGGTTGTTGCCCATGCAAAGCAGCAAATAAGAATTGTAACGCAAACTGTCAGTGTCGCTGACGTTCCTGAAATGGAGTGACTAAACGCAAAATAATTAATCGTCCGGCAGTCCAATATTTTTCCATATTTCTCTTCGAAATCCAAAATTATTCATACGAAAATGTTCCACCTCTACCTACAATCCTCAAGCGCTTCCAGGCAGCCTAAAATTTCGAACTTGATGTTTCTCGCTAACCCTGTATACAGAGTACGAAGCCATCCAAGCGCTTGACACTTCTTTCAATGACACGGCTGGACTCGGTCCTCAAATAACTCCACATTTCTCTGCGAAATATACCAATTTTTCGTTGGAAAATGTTCTATCTTCATTTACAATCCTCAAGCGCTTCTAGAAAGTGAAAAAATGCAAACGTTATCCGTTTCGCTGACCTTGTACACAAAGTGCGAAGAAATTAGAGATTAGAGTGACACTAAGAAAATTTACATCGGACACTACCGGACACGGTCTTCGAATAACTAAAAGTCCGGCAGTCTGATATTTTTCCATATTTCTCTTTAAAAAATACCAATTTCTATTGGAAATATTTTATCCTCATTTAGAATCCTCTAGCACCTCTAGAAAGTGAAAAAATTTAAACGTTGTCCTTTTCGCCGACTCTGTTTACAGAGTACGAAGAGATCCAAGCGTGACACTTAAAAAAGATTTTCTTCGGATTCTTCCAGAAAAAATTCAAAATACTGTAAGGAAACTGTAAAATAACGAACGGCGAATGTATTTACCGTAAAATAGTTGACTACATCTCCAGGATGGCTCTTGAGAAAGACGATTTTAGAAGGTTTTCAGTGATGTAGGAATTTCGTGTTACAGGAAATTAGGTCGCGGCGCGCGTTGCATCAAGGTTGGAAATGGGCCTTTAACTGCTAACTAGACCCTGTGAGCAGGGTAACTGGGATACCTGGATGGTACTGGATCCGTGGAATCAAGTGTAGTGATACTACGCGTGTCGGACTAGTATACTGAAATAGTGAGCTCAAGTCTGGCCAAGGGCATACACCTGTCTCAAAACATAGGCATGCTATGCATGCAAAAGTTATTTTTTCTAGGGTGGGTGGATTACTTGAAACATTGTAAGTGGTCTACATTCTTACAAAAGGAAAGAAGATTATTAACGCGGGAAAGAATGAAAATGTCGAATTACCTCACACACAGGTATTTTGTGGTAGATTATGTGTGTTGTGCGAATAAATGTAACCAAAAATAAACTGTATTTGTGCCACGGATACCTGTTAGTACAAAATGTAGACAGCAAACTGCAGACCGGATACAAAATATAGACTGCAAATTTTTAACTTGACACAACCAGATTCCTCCAACTACCCTCCCCTCCCCCCCAGGCTTTAAATGATGACCAGTTCCTTATCAACCTTGTGACACGTTTACTTATTTTTACTTAATTACCGGGGCTCAGCCGAAGGCTGGCACCGCTCATAAAATGCAGACGGTTTCTGTCGCTTTTTCAACGTTACATTGTTAGGGATATATCTCTGACTTGAGATATATCGCTGGCTCGTTACTTTTGGGAGTGCTCGCTGGCTCATTGAAATCTTATCCGCCATTTTGAAAAGCACGAGGCATGGAGGATAGTCAAGAGAAAGATTATAGCTTTTTGGGGAACGACACGTTCCCCAACCTTTACGATGCACTAGTTAATGAGCGAAAATTTAAGAGTGAATATTTGGAGAGACAAATTTACGAGCGATTACTTAAGAGTGAACCTTCGAATGTCAGACAACTCGCCCCCTGGACAATTAGCCCCAGACGATTAGCCCCCAGTCTCTGGACGATTAGCCCCCAGTCTTTGGACAATTAGCCCCCAGTCCCTGGACGATTAGCCCCCAGTCTTAATTTATGTAAAGGAGAAGTTACGTTCATCTGTTGGTCATTGACTTTTATGAGTGAAATTACATGGGTTGTACGAGGTGAGCACAGGCCTCCAGAAGCTCCTTTGAATTCCTTAGGCCGTCTTCGTATTGACTCCAGAGGTCGAAGAGTCTTCTCTGCATGGTCCGGTAGCTTGACCGCTGATGTCTCTTCAGCTTTTTGTCTGAAACCAGACGGATCTGCATGCTGACCAGTGTAGCTTCCCGGTGAAGTACCTGGATAAGGATGTACAGGGGCAGCTGTGATCGTCCTTTGGCGCGCCGGTTCAGTTCATTGTGCCAACCCTCTAGGTCGTTATTCGTTCTGACCGCTTCTAGGAACACGCTCCAGTTCTGTGGCGGGAAGGTCTGACTGATTATCCAGTTTTCATCTATGTAACTGCAGAAATCCTGCAAGGGTCTGACAGTTGCTTGCTGCTGGAGTCGACGGAATCTGCGTTCGATCTTGTCAGTAGGGAGGTACGATAAAGCCATCAGTTGCTTTATTAGCTGGTGGGTGCTGCGGTCATTTCTGTAGGCATTCTGGAGTCCAAGCCCTTGTACCTATAAAAGAAAAGCGAAATTTAATATTTTGTTAGCTAGATGTTAAACTAGTTTCGGTTTGAACATTGTGCGAATTAGTAAAAGTTCGCGCATTGTGCGTGGCTTTGAAATAAACAACAATAAATAAAATTTCGCACCTTGCGCATGGGTTTGAAATAAGCAAACAACAATGAGTAAACGTTCGCACATTGGCGTGGGTTTTCAATAAACAAATAAATAAAAATTAGTAAAAGTTCGCACAATTCGCGTGGCGCGTTTGAAATAAACACCGACTGACATTAACAAGTAGTCGCCAATAAGTTAAAGTTTCGAAGTTTCGTCCCTGGTTTCTTTCCTTTCCTATTTAAACAACATGACGGAGAAACATTCGTAAAGTATGTAAACAGAAAGAACACAGTTCATTTTTGTAGAATATATAAACCGAAAGAACACAGTTCACTTTATAATTCGATACGCACGGCAGAGAAATGTTCATAACAAGCAAACAACAAGACAGCAAGAACGAAGTTTACTTTATAATTTAACACGCATGGCAGAGAAATGTTCGTAAAAAGCAAATAACAAGAACATTGTTTATTTCATAAGATATGATAGGGAAACGTTCGTAAAAAGTAAAGGGCAAGAACATAGTTTATTTCAAGGTTGGTGGGTTGGGGGCTAATAGTCCAGAGACTGGGGGCTAATCGTCCAAATACCGGGGGCTAATCGTCCAGAGACTGGGGGCTAGTCGTCTGGGGCTAATTGTCCAAGGGGCGAGTTGTCCGGATACCGAACCTTCCATCGTGAAACTTTTTTTGAGAATTTGACGTATTTTGTTTATTCCTGAGGGCGGTCGTAAATATGCCCATACAAACTCTTATAATTCCGCCATCACTGTTATTGCGCAAGATGATCATGTCACAGCTGGAGCTTGGGCCGCCTATGGTGAACCGAGTAGAATTCCACTGCGTCTAAGCAGGTGTTCAAACTTTTTGCTGGAAAAACCTTTACGTTTGCGTCTTAAAAATTATTAGCGAAAATGTAAATATGCGAAAGTTTTCTTAATTTTTGCCTCATCACGTACAATGCCCGCTCACATTCGCGAATTTAACAGGCTAAAGCAGCATTCGAGCCACGATTTGGTACTTAAAATATGGAGGAATAATAACACTGAAGCGACTTTAAGAGTTTTTTTGTCTCTGATTGTGAATTACGTCAGTATTAGCCTCCACAGAAGAGAGGGGAGCGGTGCGAGAGATTAACTATATTTATGCAATCCCGTGTCCCACTGGGCCCCGGTAAGTTCCAAGTAGTGGTTCTAGTTCAGTAAAAAGTGTGATTGTTGATAAGTACGCAAAATGCTTTAATTGAATTTAGTGATAAAATGTCCAATGAAACTCGATAAGCTGGAAAGTATATTTTTAATCCTCACATTATTGTCGGCGCGCGACCATTGTCATGATGTTCAATTGCTGGTAATGTATAACTTTCTTCAATATTTTCCTCCGTCACCTTCACAATTAAAAATCCGTTACAGAAACATAACGGAAACGAACAACAACGGTAACGTCCTGACTTAAATATGACGGAAACATGACTTGACATTTCCGTTCCGCAGGCATGACGGAAACTTGATAGAATCGCTTAGACTTGTTCTAACACGTTTCCGCAAAACGTAAATGCAGCGGAAATATGAAGCTCTATGTTTCCGTCGCATTTAAGAAATGCGGAAACGTGGGATTTCGTCCTGTGATGGCGCAATTAAGACACCGAGACATCTGTTACTTTTATTAGGGGTTGCCTCTCTATAAATCTGGTACGATGAAACAAAATTGAAAAATTTGACAAGAATTAGATTTCCCAAAAAAGGGAAAATTAGAAAACCTTGAAATATTGATGCACGAGATGCATATGCCAATCATTGGCCCATGAATTATTCACCGTCTCCCGCCGTCATAAACGTCGTCTAAGAATTTAGTGGAGTCATTCAGTTTGTTTGAACCATGATGGTTATCGCAGTAATAAAAGATTTAGACCAAAGAATATAATAGTCACTCGATACGTTTTTGCGAATAAATACCAGTTTTGAAGACTTTGAGATAAAGGTAGGCCTTCACTTTTTTTCTATAAAAAAATGAACAAAGATATCTTAAAGCAGTATGTTTACAGAAGTGAGTAACACCTTGGGTCTGAGTCAGAAATGAAGGTATGCTCGAGTAAAAAGTCAAAACGTAATTTGATATGTGCCTTAAATAATGTTATCCTTCGAACAGTTTTGCCTAAGTTTTAAAAACACCCGTATTAAGTTAAGCAACTTGGATATAGTAACTTACATAAAAAGATAAAATAAAGAAGCCTCGATCGCTCGGAGAGGAGCAGGTGTTTTGACTAAGTGGCAGGTGAAGCAATTTTTTTGTGAAAATTTATTGTTATCGCGCCCTCGAAAATGTGTTTATTCGGTTTAGGTGCATAGTTTTATATTGTGATTAAATTTCAAATGACTTAGTTTCAATTTTGTGAAATTAAACATAATCTGTGAATTTTTTTTACAGCTGAACGGAGACCGAGCCAAAAGAAAAAGCTATCCTGTGACGCTAACCAGCTTGAAATGTAAGTAGAGCAGGACGTTGGTAACTTCACAGTGAATGGAATAAAAGTAGATCTGACAGATATCCCTTCAATATAACTAAGAGAAGCTTCGGCTGTCGTTTGTTCCGTTCGCTTGACTTATCACCGATTTTTCCAGTAGCTTATGACTTTTTATGACTCGTAACTCATTAGTGAGAAAAATTAACCTAAGGGCTGAAGCCAGAGACAAAGAGAGCCCAAAAAGAAAAGAGCTGAGTTCAATGAATACATCGCAACAGGCAACGGGAATCTGAATAAATGGTATTATGAAACGTTTCTCAGTCTGAAAGCCTCGGCGGTTCTCTCAGTTCGACGTCCTCCATGACAGCTGGGGTGAAAATAATTCAATATAACATATTTCCTTTAAAAAAAATATCGCGTTTCAGTTCAGAGCCCGTAGATCGATTTTCTGTGATCATCGAGCACACTTAGCTAGCTTTGAAATCTTCAGAACGGATGTCCTTTGAAATATTCAAATCAACATTTTCTCCTTAAACCTTTAACTCCCAAGATCTGATTACTAATTCTCCCATCTAGCTGTTACACATTTCCTTGCAATTAAGTTACAAGAATTCGGTGTTATATCATGATTATAACCCCTAACTGATAAATTTGAGTAATCTCATTACCTGTTCGTTGGATAGTGTGTGGATTTTGTAGGGAGAAGTTACACTTCTGGTAGGTAAAGGGTTAACAGATAGGTTCCATGGTTCCGTGCATCCATTCAGTCATAGATCACAGATCACAGATGTCGTTAAAATATTATTATTCAAGACGTTGCCCTTTGAAGTAAATTTCACCGAAATTGTATTACATCTCAGGGAGATTTGGCCTGCCTGCCTTTGTCACAGCATAATTTCATTGCTTATAACCGCTGGATTCATCATTCCATTCACCACGGGTTCATGCAGTGACGGCAAGTGTCCCGTTTCATTCCATTTCACTATTGGAAGGAATATGGTAGATGCGCACGCTCTGCTTGATCACGTGTTTTCAACTGTCTCTGTGACCAGAGTGATCGATTGCTTCAGCGCATGTCAAACCAACTGTCGTTGTATTTCGTTCAACTTCCTGACACATTCCAACCAAGATAACTGTCAACTGAATGAAGAAAACCGACACCTGAAGCCTGGTGCTTTAATTCCCATGGAAGGCTCTCAGTACTACGATCTGGATATCATCTATCATACGGGGGTAAAATCAGTATCATTCAAATTATTATGATTTTAAGCATGAAAATCACATTTGTGCATGTATCACACCAAAAGTTACCAAACCAAACGTTCATCTGAACGATTAGGACTTCGTCACTTGTTTCAGATGATGATTCCCACTTAGGCTAAAACAAAAGTGCTTTCCGAGAGAGTTATAGTCAAAACTATCAATCAACGCTATAGCTCATGTATTTTCCTCACAACAGTACCTAATTTTACGTAAACTGAAGAACCAAACTACCAATTATAGTTCACTGTATATTGTATAGCAAATTGGTATCAAGTTACAGCTTGTTTAGATGATTCCTCCCGTTGAATTTGAAATGCCTCATTAGGGATCGGTCTCATTATTTTTCGCCTGAGGGTGGGAAGGGGAGGGGGAGGAGAAGGAAGATCAGAGGATTTCAACTATATCTCAATAAAATTAACTCGACCCCTTCCTCCCCCTCAGAGGCTCTGTATTATTCTAATGATCCCCCCCTATGGGCAGTTCATTTTTTGTAGTCCCCCTTTTATACTCTATTAACGACGACTGATCCCCCCTCCGTTTCCCCCATGATAAAAAGTGACCCAACCCCCTTACCTTCCAGGCATGTACCCAGTGTTTCAAAAGATGCTGCATGGCTCAGCCGTGTTTTAATGGAGGAACATGTCGAGAAAATTGTCACGTGACTGGAAGACGATTCTTGTGTCATTGTCCCGCACGTTTTATTGGCAATGTATGTGAGAAAGGTATGTTACTAATGTAGTTAAATATGATATCATAGGGCCGGTTCTGGCACGAGGTCTAACTCAAACCACGGTTTTACGCAATCAGGCTTTCTCCATAAGAGGGTCGATTTAATTATATAGATTTCCTTCCACTGTTAGTTAGCGGGCCAACTAAACACTGTTCACCAAAAAAAATGAATGTTCACATAAAAGGTTCAGCTAAATAAGGATTGTTTAGGACACAGTTTTGTAAAACAACTGCTAAACTTTGTTTACTCAGAAATCAGATCATAGTGTTTCACTGAGTGAATTGAGGTTAAAGTGACTTTTGTCTACTATAGTGATAAAGCAAGTTAGCCGAGAGTAATTCGAATTTTTGATCAACCAGTTACTGGAGGAATCGTCAATTCAAATCTCGTGAATGAAAGAAAAATGGGATAAATATATAAAATAAGTGAAAAGGGAGAGAGCAATAGTAAAAAATCTGAACAATATGTAAGGAATAACAGTTACTAGAAACTTGCGGGGTGGAAAAGACGAATCTAATTCCAGTTCCGCATTGAGTATTTACTGATTACCTCACAAACATTTTGGTGTTACAATCACCGATTCATTATGTTTCCTTACAGTATTAAACACTACTTTGACGCCTAATCTATTTAATTAAGACTGTCAGGATGCCCTGGGTATGGAAAGCGGTGATATTTCTGATGCACAACTCAGTGCCTCTACAGAACTGGTTCCAGAAAAAGGAGCAAAGCACAGCAGGCTACAATCCAAGTGGAATGGAGTATCTGGGGGAGGCTGGATAGCTAATATATCTGACACCAACCAATGGCTACAGATCGATCTACTGGATCAGCACTCTTATGTTGTAACAAAGATAGCTACACAGGGCAGAAATCATTATCATAATCGCACGGTGACCAAATATAAACTTCAGTACAGTGACGATGGAGTTACCTTCCTCTATTACAGAGAAGAAGGCCAAGTTACTGACAAGGTATGAGTTAGTAAAGCAGCAGCAGACTTATCTAATCTCATAAAAATACAGTTGTAAGTCTTCTAACTTAGCATGATTTTAAATACAACCAGGTATACTATCAAATAGTTTGGTTTTTTTTTTTTTACCATAAGTGGTTTTAAAGAATTTCTTTAACCCAGTTACTTAGTAAAGAATCATAGCCGAGTAGCTTAAGTTAAATAACAAGAAAAGACAAGTTTTCTTTTCCACGAATATTTCTCTTCCAAACAACAGGTTTTTCCTGGAAACACAGACAGGGATACTGTAGTGTCACATGAACTAATTCCACCAATCAGAGCACGCTATATGCGTTTTCGACCGATAGAGTGGTCTGGCCTCATAGGAATGAGGGTGGAGCTCTACGGCTGTCGCGGTAACGTATTACTGTACAGTATTTAAAAATTTCTGGCTTAAGGTCATAATTTTAAGAGTTGTGAAAATTTCTTTGAAAAATCAGGGGTCTCGCAAACTCTTCATTCGATCTCGAAATCTCGTCAGCCTTTCTGATGAGTCACAAATCTTCGAGTTATCGTTGGGATAAAGTATAGTCGCTGTCGTTTGCAAGAACCGGAGTGCTAAAGTCGACTCAACATTTTGATAAGCTTACAAGGGTGGTAGCTATAGTACGGACTTTTATAGCTGAATTTGTTTAGTCTCGTCATCGCACTTATAAACTGGTGTCCCTGTGTCTCCGTAGTTTTTGACTTTACTATTCGCCTGTCCTGATCTCGCTTGAGTTTTCCTGAAGAAGGAAGCCATTTCTAATATCATGATCAACATTAAGTCTGTTGCATCTTTTATTCCCAACAGATAACTGAACGGAAAGTGAATTACCAAAGGCACGTGTATCAAGACTGAACGTGGTCTTAAATGGCTTCTTAGAGTGTTGGAAAAGTTCAGCAACTGACTAAGAAGACTGCATACTCTTCGGCATGAAACAAAAAAAATCTCCCCTTAGAGCGGTAAAAATTACTAATAACTTGATATTGCTAAAAAAAATATACTTAGACTACGAGCAGTCCCTCCGTCGCGTGGCCAATGTACAATAAAAACTAGTTTACATGTACATCATTAAATTAACCATCTAATTAGCACAACCTTAAATAGTAAATGATAGAGTAACACTGAAAAAGTGAATAAATAAGTAAATTGTGAATGAAAAATTAGATAAATAAATAAATAAATGACTAAGGAAATAAAAAGTGCATACTTTAAGTAGAATTATTCCATAGTTGGTTCCATCTACAATAGACCTTGGATAAAAAAAATTGTAGACATTGCAGTTTCACTGAATATGGCGATGAGGAGTATAATTTGGAAGCCGAGATGCCCTGTTTAGAGGGAAAACTTCAGGAGGAAGCGGGGTGACCCTTAGACCTTGCGGGATCTTGTAGAACATGGTTAATTGAGACAGTAATCTACGTTGTTCTAGGGCCCCTCCCCCCCCCCGAGTTGATTAATTATATGAGTAACATGACTTAATCTAGAATAATCATGTAAGACAAATCTAGCTGCTCTATGTTGAACCATATCAATCTTGTTAATATTACGTTTAGTTTTAATCAAGGGTTCCATGCAGAACTGATATATTCTAACTGCGAGCGGACAAGACTAAGATGGGCTTTCGATTTCACATCTGTATTGCAGTCACCTAGGACTCTTCTTAGAAGGCCCAGTGTTTCATTGGCCTTGCTGCAAATGAGGTCACAGTGTTGGTTCCAATCGAGTTTCTGAATTAAAGTGATGCCTTGATATTTGGAGATGGTCTGGTAATTCTTTAAATAATCGTGACAAAAAGGAACGGTTTTGCTAGTTATTCCTAAGTGATAGCATTTAGTGATATTAAAGATCATTTGCCAAAGGTCTCCCATTCTCAAAAGTTATCTAAGTTTATTGGAGTGCAAAATGATTTTGTTGTGTATTGATTTCTCTATAGATGACGATGTCGTCTGCGAAAAGGCGCATGTGGGAGCTGTTATCTGTAATGTCGTTGATATAAAGTAGAAATAATACTGAGCCCAGGACTGACCCCTGGGGAACTCCAGAGACAACTGGTGTGGGGCTAAGAGTGTGTTCCATCGATCGATACCACTTGGGTGCGGTCGGTGGCTAAGGCTTTGATCTAGTCTAATGATCTGTCCCGAATACCATTGCAGTTCAGTTTAGATAATAAGCATTAGTGGGGAACGGAGTCAAAAGCCTTCTCGAAATCAATAAGGATCACATCGGTCTGAGTGCGGTGATTGATGCTCTTTACCCAGTCATTGATGGCTGAAATAAGCTGGGTTTCACAAGAAAATTTTTGTCTAAAGCCATGTTGGTGATAAATAATGATATCGTTCGTGGATAAATGTTTGGAAATGTGACTTCGCATTATATGCTCCATAATCGTACAACCCACACATGTAAGAGAAATGGGGCGGTAGTTAGCAGGATTTGATCTTGCATCTTTTTTTGTGTACAGTAGTTAATAATGCCTTGGACCAATCAGATGGTGGTTTGGTGGTTGATGGAACAACCTTTTGTTTTTGTTTGTGTCAGAGAATTTGTGGTATATCGAGATAACGTTCCAACAAGATAGCCTGCGTAATTTTGACGAGCGAGTGCTCAGTATGTACTAAACGAAAATTATGACCGTAATCTTTGATTTTAATGACAGCGGAAGACTGGGGAGAGAAAGAAATTTGTACTAAGGAGTCGGTCGACGGTCAAAAATAAAGAGAGGGATGGGTCGCCCTCCCCCCCCCCCTCCTACCCCCACCGTCCACTTTGACACCAAATCAAACATGGCCGATGGGATAAACGATCGAGAGCTTATAACGATAGCTCACCCTGATGAGACGCTTGCACTGCAGGCTATACAATAAGATAGTTATCTTGGTTTTCGTTACCTGCTTGTCGAACAGTGCATTAATTAACCCTTTGACCCGTCAGTGACTAGCATTTGACTTTTCTTTACCTTCTCACCCCTGAAATTTAACATAAAGTCGAGAGAATAAAGGAAATGATCACCTACTAAAGAACCTCTTAAAAAAAAAAATTCTTGTCAGCTCCTTAGGAAATATCATAAAGAAATGTACATTACAGACCATATTGCAAGTAGAATCGATTGAGGAGATTACAAATTTTTATGGTCATCGAAGGAGGAGATTCGTTATTTAACTTGTAATGAGAGTGGAAAAAAAAAAACTGAGTCCTCTCAATTTCTTGATCGATGGTGACTGACTGAGAGACAAAGAAGTCTATGGCATGTTAGGCTGTTAGGCTGTTAAATTCGTATGTGAAATGCGTTCAGCATTCTGCTGAGATCAATTGAGTCTAGACTGTGGAGTAAGTAAATAGAGAGATGGAAGACTTCAATTTCAATCCACTATTTAAGAAAATCGTGCTTACTCGTAGCAGCAGTATTTTTAACTAGTATAGTACACTAGATTATACATTTCAACATTTACATCCGCATTTTAACCCCACACTTCTAGTCTAACTCCATTTCTTGGTAAAATTCAATTCGTCGAGAGTGTGCTAACTCAGCTACTGCAAAATATGACGATATCAACAATTCTTAGCTCGTCAGTGCTTCATGAAGATTCTAACAAACATCTCTATAGCTTTATAAGACTAACTTGGAAATGGTAGTTGATAGGTATTCAATGTTTTATATGACTAACTTCATGTAAGGAGCACCGATGCACGCGACAAAGAAATCTGTCAACTAAATGATGCAGTAATGCAAAGAGCCACTTCAAAGAGAATTCTGACACACTCATCAGAATTGGATGCAGTTACTTTTACAAGTGCTTGAGAAATTGATCACCCTTAGGCCTCTTATAGAGATTTGTAGGCAAGAAACTTCATCTAATCAGCAGGAAAGGAGACGGGCGATTACAGACTTAAACAAATCATTACTATGGCACAAAATACTTTTTCGGATGGTTTCTTACAACAAGACTACAGTGTAAGCTACGATGACCTTGAGCCAATGTCGTATTTCTTTTCCAGCTAAAGAGGGGTACAAAGAACCGCGCTGGCCTGGTACCAGTTTTTACAAATCACCAGATGAACTTCTTTTCAACTGCAGAGTTTTCTTGACATTCCGCGCATGCTCGCTGATTCTCCTAGCTTGTTTTGCACCCGGGGTATTCGAGTCAATCTCCTTTTCTTTCAAAGAGTCACCACAGGACGACTGTTTTGTGGGCAGTGATGTCCTCTCAGATCCCTCTACTATGGAATAACCTTTGAGAGGTGTGCTGCCATTAAACGAATAAGGAACATCAATAAACGGAGTGTGAAAGAATTGAGAAAAAGTGACACTCCTTTCAAATACTCACCCCTTATTTTCATTGACATCTTTAGAATTTTCTGTTCTTAATGACAACGCCTTATATAGCTCTTCTGTGTTCGGGATTTCCACGGGTCCGTCCCGCGGGATATTAGGAGTGCCTCTGGTTTCGGATGAGATAAGACCTCTTGGTGCAGGTGAAAACGACACGGGGCTGACTTGAAGCCGAGGCCCATCTGGTGCTAAAGAGAAATTATCATTTAAACCTACATGAAACTGACTACTGAAGAATTAGAGCAAAGGAAAAACTTTGACGAACAGGTTACACTGAAATACGTCAACTACCCTTCGAACCAGCTGCAAGATGCACAGCCGACTGTTTATATTAGGCCATTTCCCAGTCAAACGAAGAGACAAACTGAAACAGACATACAGACACAGTCAGACAGACAGAGACAGACAGAGTCAGACAGAGGAACAGACTGACAGGTGCACAGAATGATGGGAAGATAAATGTACAGCCAGACGGTTAACAAAACCGAAAATACTGCTATGCCATGGTGAAACAATTAGCACTCAAAGTTCATATAAAGCCTTACATTTTGATTTTCTTCCCCCAAGTGACTGATTTCTTAACGGGGTCAAAAGCTGTTGCTTGTAAAATGAAGCTCGTTCCTCTTCAAACTTCTTTCTCTGAAAAATTAAAATAATAATTATCGCTAAAAATAATACAAAGGAATCAGTGCACTGTGTACAAGTATATGCATTCTAAGAATTATTTCTCCATTCTCCATCACCTTTGGCTTGTAAAAATATTCGTGTTGGTGTTCCAATATCCCAGCGGTTTGTTTGGCCACTGAATATGCAGCAACCTTCTTACAAAGTTAGCACATACAGTAGTACTATTTCTCTCCAAAATAAGGGTTGCTGCCATCCTTTGGAAATGACTATACGCGTTTATAGAGAAATCTCTACAAATTTGATTTTTTTATGCCTGTCTATGTAAATCAAAGGAATTTTGTTTGCTCATTGTATTTCCACTTGGTTATCACCTCATGCCCAAGTTTTACAGCAGCATCTGTCAGCTGTTTCCTCTCATTCTCTAACACTGCTCTTCGCTCAGCAAAGAACTGCTTGTCAGATTCAAATTTTTCTTGTTCCTCATACAACTGTGAGTCAACCTGTTACAAGAAGGAAGAAAACTTTTATGAAATATCATTCAAGAGCTGTCTTTAAAATAGCAATAAAACCATAATTTTCTTTTATTAATGAAAAAGAGCTGAATCACATTACGGCTGAATAATAATTCAAAATACTTACCAAAAGAGTTGAATCTTTTGAGGGAGAATCAACCTTTGACTGCAAGGACTAAAGAAAAAAATTGTGTCAGCTATGAGTAAACAGTAAGTTAGATCGCAAAGAAAAGGTCTATTGACTTTCTTAAAAGTTCTCAGGTTATTGGGTCAGTAAGGTTAAGTCTGTACCCAACCCAAGAGGCCCATCCAGCCAGAGCTAATTCCAGTTTCCTTAGCATGAAGCAACTAGAAGTATTTCTACTCCCCCCTGGAAACAATGCTTGTCCATTGCAAGGTTACCCCCCAAAAAAAAAAAAAAAAACAAAAAAACAAAAAAATTTCATCAGGCTTCCCTGACAATTCATCAGCACCTATCAATACTCCTAGGTAGAGAGATGAAAGTAATGAGTGTTTTGCCCAAGAACAACACAATTTCAGGTCTTAATCCTTTACCTCCTGTGAGTGACTAAGAGGGAATTTCTCCTTACATTATTGATACACTATCAAGCAATACCAAATTCTCCAAATTGACATCATAAGAATTGTATGACAGACGGCAAAGAGAATCACTAATGAGATCTTGGGAGTTAAAGGGTTAAACCAGGACATCTTGGCCTAGAGTCCAGTGCACAAACCATTGGACCATTGTATCTCCCAGGTTAAACAATACATTATAAGCAACTGTTTTCACATACTTCTATTAGTTGTTCCTGTTGTTCCACAACATGTCTGTAATTCTCCAACTGCCTTTCCAACCTTGAAATTTCCTCTGCTTTAGGGGAAGAGGGTTCTTGTGCATAAAGCAGATTTAAAGTAAACTAAGAAAAAATTCTTCACTTTATTCTTGGGAGTCTACAAATGTCTATTCTTACCATTTGAAGAGCCTTTGTTTGCTTCCTCTAACCTTGACTTCAGCAATCTCCATTTTTCTCTTAAACTACTTTCAATTCCTGTAAAAGACATTGTGCTCTGATTTATTTAAAATAAAGCACCTTCACTAAGCCCCTTCACTCCCAGGATTTCAAAGTCAATTATCCTTCATGTCTGTTAACATTTTTTTTTCTTACACTGAAAGAATTATTTATTCTTATCATCTTGTTGTTTGAGAATGTACTGACACTGCAGGGAGAAGTTACCCATTTGTTGCTCTTAGGAATGGATGGGTTAATAAATGTCTTTATATTTGAAGACATAAATAAAACTTTTGACAGTTTTCATAAGTGACCCATGTAAGCAAACTATAATCTTAAACGTAATCAATACATACTTTACAGAAGAAAATGCAGCTACAAAGTAAAAAACATTCCCAAAATTTTGATACTAAATAGACTGACATACCCTCTCTAACCATGTCATATGGCATATTGAAATGTCCCGTTGATAATTCCTCAACTGATCCAGACTCACTGATTTCACCAACCTATAAATGTTAATGAAAACAAATAAGGTTGAATCTTAGAGAGGAACATGTCAGTGGTGGCTCTAAGAGGATTCCTTTCAGAGAAGGGACAGGACCCAGGTACAGGTACCAGAACAAAGGGAAATCAGATTCACATCCTTTACTCCCAACACTGTTTTCAGATACAACAACTTTATTTCAAGTTATCTTTTCTATATATGCCTGCCTTTTCTCCAGTGGTTACCTATATCACTAAGTCTACATGTAACAAAAAAAAAGTCTGTTTGCCTGTAAGAAGCATAACAAGGCGTAACTAAATTATACAACATACTTTAAAAAGTAAAAATTGTGGTAGATGTAAATGAAAAATTCTTGCAAACAGTTTGTACATTTAAATTAAATACCAACCTCTGTGTTGCTTTCATAATCTTCATTCTGCTGATTCAGCAATTTTATTAACTCGGCCTGCATGCTTTTAAGAGTTTCCCTCATATCATTATTTTCCACCATAAGTTCCTGAATTTTAATGTTAACACAAATTATTTTAGTATTTAACTGCAAATCCTTATTGACCCTTTACACCCAAACATTGATATCAACATTCTCCATACCATTCTCTATACATTTCCAAAGGCGCTGACAAGGAGAATTTGTTTTACAATCATGAGTTTCTTCAGTTGGTGATTATTTCCTTTATTCTCCTTACCTTAATGTTTGATTCAGGGGTGATACTGTGAGGAGAAATTAGATGCTGGTCACTCTTAGGGGCTAAAGGGTTAATGGAACATTCAGCAACAGTGTACAAGCACATTGAAAAAGCTCCATTATGTTCTTTTTCTCAAGAGTGGAGCAGACACTATAAATTACATGTACACTTTCTCTTAGTTTGGAAGAAAACATACATCAGACTACGTAAAGATATACCTTTTCTCTTTCTTCATAATTTGTGATGAGCATTCTATACATTTCTTCCTCATTTCTTTCAAAAAGAAAGTGAAAAAAGTACTCATTGTAAGATAAGAAAAAAGAAATGTGCAGAGAATTTTCATAACCATGTAGAAAACTACACATAAGTCCTACAGTTCCTATGATGTTATTTTTCTTTGAAAATAGGTCACTTTTTTGCAAGCCTTTTACCATGTTTGTAGAGGTTACAACCCTCAGACACAAATCTTGCCCATAGTTAATCACCAGCTTGGAATGAATTGGTATGAGTAGATAATTCTTAAATATTGCATCTTCATTTTTATCAACTATTTTTAACAATCTTAACCAATTTTTTGATATATCAGTCTGCAACTAATTTTAAAAAATTTTAACCTTCACTAGGTAATAGTGTTTTGATTGAATTGAATAGTATTTAACTTGAGGACCACAAGTTTGTCAGTTATTTTAATCACTGTTGAGTGTTACCCTCAAAACATTAAGTCTCTTACTCACACTGCACTTTCTTACTTACCTGCACATGCACATGTATGTATCTCACATGAATATTCTCACATACAGCTGTAAGTCATGCAAAATACATTTACATGTATCATTTAGATGCATGTCTGAGTATTTTCACCTCTACAAACATGGTAAATTGCTTACAAAAGAAAAGTTTCCTAATTTCAAAGACAAAAAACAATATATGGCCTGTATGAAATTTAAATATCAAATTGTTTCAAAAATCTTCCCTACTTTGCAGATCCAGTCTTCCACATTGCACGTTGTGCTCCTGCAGGTCTGTTTATTAAATTTAAGATGTCCAAGCCAACTTTCTTTTCCTGGTTTTTGTCTGTAAGGAGTTGATGAATCCTTTCCTTGAGTTTACATAGTTCTCTTTCTTTTTTTCTTGTCTCATGGTCAAACTGTTTTTGCAAGTGAAGTGAATTGGCTCTGGTTTTCTTTAACTGTAAAATAAATAATCAAATACATGCAGTAAGATAATTACAGCAATTTGCAGAATAAACTCTTGATTCATAATCTGATGTAACTCTTAATCCTTCAACTCCTATGACCTGATTGTTTATTCTCCCCTCTAGCTGCTACACATTTCCTTGTAAATAATTTACAAGAATTTGGTGTTAGAGCAAGATAACAACTTCTACCTGATAAGTTTGAATATTCTCATGACCTGTTTGCTGAATGATGTTTAGATTTTATAGGGAGAAGTTACATATTAATCGCTTTTGGGAGTTAAAGGGTTAATAATGTTAATAAGTAACAGAAGGTTATGTCTAATACATTCATATGACCATACAATAAATTGTACATAATGAAACTGCAAGAGGAGTAAAAAAGGTAAAAAGGAATTCTCTGATAAAAAATTTTCTTACAAGCAAACAAAGAGTTTTTAGCTCTTAGTCTAAACCCTATTGATGATCTTTTTTTCTTTTTTTTTTAATCTATCCCTTCATAATAGCAATAACATCTAGCAAGGAATGTTTGAGTGTAATCTACATGTACAGACTAATACATGGTTCACACCAAATTACAGTTTTAAATTTAGAATTAAAAATAAAATAGTCATGTAGCATTAGCTGGTCGGAAGAGGTGGCATTAATCCAGTTCTTAGTTTGAAAGGCAGTTAGAAGTTCAACTAACAGCTTATCTCATCCTGTAACCAGGATGAAAATCACTTTCAGCCATACCAGGTTCTTAATAACTGGGAAAATCATTATCACAAGCAGATTTGAAAATCATATCATGAAGAAAATGTTTGGCATGTACAGTGTATGGATTGCTTACTTCCTCTCTCTCTGATTTAAGATCTTCTTTTGCCTTTACAAGTTTTCCTTGAAGTTGTCTTTCTCTCTCATTTCTGACAGCAATCTCTCTCTGAGCTGACTCTAGCTGCTCCTAGACAAAGAAACAAACAAAATTTGAAGCACATGAACAGGTCAATTGGAAATTATGTAAAACTATTAAGTTGCTTAATGAATAAATTAGAGCAAAAAGTATCTCCCTGATCAGATTTCAAACGTGTTATATATCTACAGCTAAAGTACCATATCTTTATAATAAATTAAAAAAAAAAAGAAAATTAAAATAAAAGCAAGGACTATTCAAGAACAACAATAAAGATATAAATTTCAAATGATTTTCATGAAATTCAACAGCTTATCATAAATGCTAATTATCTATAACTGTTTGAAATATTCTAATTATAATAATTGAAAACAATCAAATGATTTTTGCACATCAATTTATATTTAGACCTTTATATCCCATGAGTGACCACAACAGAATTTCTTCTTACAACACAATACAAAATCAAGCAGACAAGTGATGAGAATAATGAAAAATATCAATTTACAGATTATTAGTTGATTCAATAACATCATTAAAATCCCATAAACTAACATCATCAGAATTTTGGATGGAAAGGCTCAGAGAATCGATTTTTTTCGGCCATTGAAATGAGAACTACTTCTGAACACTTTCAAAAATGGCCGAAAAATCAAGGGATCGTTCTTGCTCTGAGCCTTTCAATTGAGATGATAATCATAACAATACCAATTCAATGTGCATGCATTTAATGTTGTACCTTAAGCCTTTTCTGCGTCTGTACAAGGTGCTCATTATCACACTCAGATCGAAGAATCCTTAAAAAAAGGAAGGCATATTGGAGGAAAGCTGCATACTGTACAATGACACCGACTAATCTGGTATATAATCATAATGAAACATGACCCACTGAACACATCTAAATGTACAACATAAATACTAATATAAGCTCAGCATTGGACTCACTTCTGCTCAAGATCTGTTAGTTGTTTTATGTTTCTTTGTTGCTGTTGCAAGAGTTCATAGGTGCTGTTTACCAATTTTACAATATCAAATGTATCTGGAGGTCCATGTCCATTGCGAGAAGGTGTAAATAATGAGGAAAAGCCAAGAACACTGAGTTCCTAGAGAAAGACATAAACACATTTTGACATTGTTAGTGATATATGACTGAACAGTTGCATAGTAACTAAGAATTTATTTGCTAACCCTTTAGTTCCCATGAGTGACCAAGACAGAATTTCTCCTTACAATATCATACAATATCAAGCAGACAAGTAAAAGGAAAAAAAGAAAAACATCAACAAGAGGATTTCTCAGTGATCCAATCTCAAATTCTCCACACTAACATCATAGAATTGTACAAGTGGTACAGTAGACAGTGAGAAAAATTATTTATGAGATTTTGGGAGCAAACGGGTGAAACTTGCATGAAAAGTTATAAAAAAATTGGAACTTGTTTCCTTAAAAAAAAAGACTAGCAGTACAAGGTATGGGTCAAAATATTGCTTAGATGCATGACAGTGACTCAATATCAAGAGACAAACTATTAAATATTTAACCATCTGTATAATTATTAAGGAAAACAAACACATATTCATTGCTTGACCACACAATACTTGTCTCTAGCTTACCCTCTATACAACACATTTTGCAAATTTTTTGAGCACTGATTGCATAATTGGTCCATACCCTTCATAAGTTATGGGTTAAACCATTTCTCTTTGACGCCAACTTAAAAGCTAATTTTTTTACCTTATCCATGTGCAGCAAGAAACATATTCAGTGAGAGGTATTTCATGCATGACACGTCAACAAATATTTCAACGTTGCCATGTACATGTGCAGCCTATAAGAGGCTTCAAGGTTTGTCTGTTTTTTTTTCTCCCCCACTGCTAACCACATGTATGATGCAATTATGAAAAAAGTGAAATAACATAGATTCGAAGTGAAGTATTAATTGGAATAAAATTTTTGTAACTAATATTGCTGCTTTGAATTTCTAATATTGCTGTCAAACAAAGATAGGTCAGTCATTAAATTGCTCTCAAGAGAGACAACCATGCATAAACAGACAGCACTTTCCTTCAATTTCTCAAACTAGGAATATAAATATATCCTGTCTCACATACTTAATCACATTACAATTCAAAGGTATTTGCAAGCTACAAAAGTTTTTGTTCTTGTTTCTCAGAAGTAATATTTTTAAATCTCTCACAATATTCTGACTAGTGTATGTAATTCATGCATTGGACACGAATAATAAAAAAAATTATCATTAACAAAAATTTTAAATGTGACATTTAAATGAGTGCACTCATCTGTATGTCGCAAAACAATTAAAAAGACATCTTCAGGCTGAGGTTAGACTGAGTAGGGGGAAAAATTCATTTTATCTTGAATCAATCCATAACAGCTTCAGTATACACTTGTATTGTCTGTTGGACACATTTCAAAATTTTAAAACTTAATCATTTGAAAAACAAATAGAAATGTTTGCTGCTTTCGGTAAATTACTGACTGAGAAGCCTGATAATCTTAGATCTTGACACAAGACATCCATTTCGTTTTCAAAACCTTTTCAGCTAACCAAATCCAAAGTTTGCTTAAGAGAGCTGAAACTTAAGGTTTGTCAAAGACTTCAGACCAAAATATTGACATCTCATTAGTTATTTAACTGTTTGCTGAAGGAAACAAAAGGAGATGATCACAATTCAAGCTGAGAAAAAAACAAGAAATGAAACATTTAAAATCATCCTAATCTTTTAATTTTGCCTTTTTAAAATTTAACCACAAAAACTACGCCAGAGAAACATGTAATGGCACGAATTGTGGTCGCTAAGAATAAACAAATATCATCTGATATGGTACTTTGCTTCAAGAACTGGGAAATTTAATCTTACCGAGGTAAAACATACGCATGGGTGGAAATACAAGAAAAAGCGAAAAAACAACTAAAATAAAAAGTACGAAATCTTGTAAGATAAATGTTTTGTGGAACCTTGAGAACAATTTAGCGGTAACCCTTCGCCAATTGACGTCTTAATATCATTCACATAATGAAAGAAAACTTAGAAAGCGTACAATAGAAGCAATAATGAAGCTAATGTATATGGACTGAATGCGATACCACAACACGAAAACAAGAATCGAAGGTACAACTCACGCCATCTACAAACCTGGTTCAAATAGGCGATACACTGATCGATGTTATCTCGTCTACAGAACTGCTTATCAGCTGTACTAAACACAGGTGAGATTGGCGAAGGAGTGAGCCTCATATCTCCAAAGTCTACCTCTCTTTCCGGGCTTGAATGCCGCGATGAATGTGCCGTGTAACGGTTTACAAAATCTCCCCAGTCTTGGAGTTTTTCAGTCATTCTCCTTAACTGCGTACATGGGCATCAAGGCGTTGATCGCAAGCCTCCTGCCGGAACCGGATCGCCAAGCTCTGTTTTCTCGTTTGTGGGCTTTACTTGAGCATTAACAAGCGGCGAATGAGCTAAAATTAGAATACTTATCGGAGGGATAAATAATTCAAACCGACCACTTTTTGACACATCCGGCAAAATTCAACCAGGCGTTCACGCATGTCATGTTTAAACTGACGCTAGATATAGCAGACTCAACCTTTTTCGTGCTTGAAGTCTCCTCTGGGTTTAGTTGCGAAGAGAAATCGAGAAACGAGTTAAAAAGTTCAATTTCATACACAGAAGCGAAAACTGTTGGATTGTAATGGGCTCAGCTCCAGAATCTTTATTTCATTATATATTATCTCATTAACAATACACCAATGACACAACAAACGGAAATCTGTTTTTTCTCACTCTTTTGAAGTCCTAAATGGATCAACGATCTAACCACGATGCATTTAGACACGCAAGATGATATTTGCCAGTTTTTCGGGAAAATACAAAAAGCCAAATTCTGAGAAAAAAACGTGAGTCGAGGGCTCCTAAGAGAACCGTGCGTGAATTTCTCTTTCTGGCGCGCCAATCAGTCCATTTTTGGAGATGAAAAAGGATAAGGTTTTCCGGCAATCAGAGGAATCAAAGCTTTCTAGCATAAAAAAGGTATGATGGCGAGAGCATCGACATAAGAAACACCTTAAAGAGATGAAGCCGATTTGATGTTGTTTCCTTGAATTGTAATCTTGTTGAAGTGGCGAGGGCCCGCTTCACTCAAATACGTCTACTCAACATGTGAAGAAGAAGTAAATTCTTATGGAACAGAAAAACAAATTTTACAAAAAATATACTGACCTATAAAACGGGAAAAGTAAATGCAAAGATACCACGAGACAAAAAAAATTCTTTCCAAATGCCGAGGGAACATACAAGACACGAAACAATCGTAGGGAAAAGGTTTACATCGACGCAAAAAAAAAAAAACACACTGGTAGATGGGGCGTGAAACATGATGTATGTAGGGCGGCTTAAGGGCCCGAGCGCACTAGGCTGACAAATTTTATTTGGCTAAACCAAAATTTGTTTCCGCCAAAATTAAAATTTGTTCATTGTGGGTGCACTGAAAATCAGCAAAATGTTTGTTAAGCACAAAGTGTCAATCACGTGAATGTACAAATTGAGCAGTACTTGGACCTCGAGATTCAGCTTAAACGTAACCTTGAGAGCCATAATAATTGTTTTCTGAGTATCCTGAGTACTGATCGTCGTGCACCTTCCCGAGGCACAAATCTTCTACCTTCATTGTTTAATTGCCTTGTAAAAATAAAATATTTTGGCGGCCATATGCTTGGCGTTTTCCTTTAAATCTTGGCTTGTAAACTGAAAAATCTCTCAGATTTTACGCCTGACAAAAGTTTTCCTGCTCAGAGGCAGGACGACGGCGCCTTTGGAGATTGGTAAGGCCAGACAAAATTTGGTAGGAAAAAGATCACCGGGTGCACTTGTCTCACGATACTGTTGACAGATTTTTTCGCAAAATACAGGAAAATTAGCCTAAATGCGCTAGGGCAGGAGCTCCTGGCCGGGGCCTTAATTTACATTAAGTGCGAAAATAATGGTGTAGAAATGCGGATGCGTGGAAAAACGAAAAGAATAAGTGCAAATTAATGGGTGTGGAAATATAACACCTGTTTTGTGAAATCTGAAAAAAAAGTTACACATTCGCCAGAACACTCGTAATATTATACCCTGATAGTTGATAAAATCAACCATACGTGTAGCACATGACCTCGCTCGCTCTGATCCGTCATCGCCGAGAAGACACACAAGCCCTTCTAAATCAATTGTTTCCGTTGGTATTGCGTGACGAGAAGTAGTTAAAAGCTCGGGACAGGAATCATCAAGAAAGTTCGAAATGTTTGGTTGAAGATTTCGTAATTTGTGGGTACGAAATCATAAACCTTTCATCAAAAGTAACCATTGAAAGATCCACTGGAATATCCTGAATTTTTTCAAGATGTTTCTGTTTGCTTTTTTAATGGTAATGTTTACATCTGGTAGTGCGTCGCTCGAGCTTTTCATCTCTCAAAAGCATGGCGTCGATAATTCAAGTTGCCTGCAACGAAACGCGAGCAAACCTTGTGGATCTCTCAGTTATGCACTTCAAATTTTAAACGAAAGTACCTTAAATGAAGAAACAGTCTTTGTGTTTTCTATTGAAGACCGACGCTACAGTTTGCAAGAGAACGTTCAGATTTTACAGCCTCGAATGGACAGATATATTTACATAACGTCTGGCAGTGTTTCTACAGTAATACGTGGCCCTGATACATCAGCGATCACCATAGGGTTGCAAGAAGCAAAGGCCACATCTACTTTTAACATTCATATGTCGAACATCGAGTTTGAACAATTCTCTCCCAATGTTGCGGCCGTCGTTATGGTTTGGCAGTCCAACAACATCTCTTTCAACAACTGTGAATTCCGAAACAACAGTCGATCTGGTTTAAACGCATTTGACAGCGGTGTTAAAATAGAGGAATGTTCCTTTGTCAATAACACCTCCAACATGCAAAAACTCAAGGAATTAGACAATCGGGTAATCCCAACCTCCGTGTCCATCTCTGGAGGGGCAGGGTTTGTGTTTGAACAAGCAGTTGGTTTGACTCTTGTCATACGAAACTCAAACTTCAGTGGTAACTCAGCTGCATTGAACAAGTCAGAGAATTTTATTCCTCCCAGTCCATTGTCGCTTCTTCCTGGCTTGAACTTGATAGGCGGGGGATTGTTGATAGTGTTCAGGTCCGTCGCAAGTTCATGTAGCGCTCTAGTTGAGGACTCATCTTTTGATCGTAACCACGCGACTTTTGGAGGAGGATTATATTACGCCTCCTCTCAGTTGGCTGCAGGCAATTCAATGGAAATAAAAAGATCGAGCTTCTCGAAAAACCGCGCATCGCAAGGCGGAGGCGGTATAAGCCTCACTTTTTCGGATGAAGTATCCGGTAACGCAATCTGTGTCACGCAATGCATTATCAGTGAGAACTGGTCTAGAAGAGGTGGTGGTTTAAATGTATTTTTAATGAGTTACTTTGAACTATTTACTGAATCTCTGATGCAGTTTAAAAACGTTACCTTGGATGGAAACAGTGGCCGAGCTAGCGCTGCTGTTCGTCTTGATACAACTCTTCCTGTTGGATTTCCTATAAATGTTATACCAGAATTTATTGATTGCATAATACAGCATCACTGCGCGAATTACCTGACGTACACGAGCCCGTTTATGAGTCAAAGGGTGAGCGCAAAATTTACTGGACGCAATATCTTCAGAGAGAATCACGGTGCAGGAGCAATAGAGTACCAAGAGGGTCGAATTCTCGTGAATGGCTCACTAGAATTCGTAAAAAACTCAGGATCCTTTGGAGGGGCTGCTCTTTTAAGCTCCAGTCAGATTATTCTGCACCCGAGTAGTCAGATGATTTTCCTTCAGAATTATGCTAGTGGTATTGGCGGAGCAATTCTTGTACTTACGAGGTCGAAGTATGAATTTATTCATGTGTATAATCCGGATTGTTTTGTCACTTACAGCGAAGAGAAGACAGCACCATCCAAATGGAAGGTAAGATCTCTGAATATGTTGTCTTTAGAAAACCCTCAAGAACTGTGGCTCTCATTGATATGTTACATCTCAGCCAATACGATGCTAAGCCCTTACCAGCTCTGTCCTTCAAGTTACTGACTGTTTATAGAATCTTTTAGCGGACCTCGTTTTATGTGGTTGAGCTGCTAAACCAATTGATCCGGGCTTAGGACCAGCTGCATTGCATGCAATGCACTTCAGGCGTAGTTGCACGAAGTGAAACACACACCTGCCAGTGACCATTCTCACAGACGAGTACACTACAAAGATTAAACAAAGAATTTTCATTCAACTTTTCTCGATTTTTTCCCGCGATAATAGCCCACCTCGGAACGTTTTTGAGCGCACACTATTTCCACCCATTAGCGAGCGAGCACAATTATGTGCAGAGCAATATCAGAAAATCAACGTGCACAAGTTAATCACAAAGATAACTAAACGAAAGGTTTTTTTTTCTACTTCGAAAGGCAAAAGTGTCATTCGTAAAGAACAGTGCCAAAGTCAAAGGTGCCGCCGTATACATTTCGACACTTAGTGCCTGTCTGTGGAACGAGAAGTATCCTTTTTACAGTGTCCAAGAAGCAATCCGTTGGAATAATACGTTTGAATATCACGATAATTTCATCCTTCCCGCTAAGGATTTTAAGGCGTTAACTGGACCAGAGTATGACATAGCAACTGATACACACCACTTTCAAGTAGAAGGGAATCAAGACATAAATGTAGAGGTAGGTTAAGCTCAAGCACTCCTCTCTCGTTTAACCCTCTACACCCCAACATCAGAATGCACATTCTCCATACTGTTCTCCATACATTTCTTAAGGTGCTAACTAGGAGAATTTGTTTAACAATCAAGAGCCTCTTTAGTTGGTGATCATTTCCTTTATTCTCATGACCTTAATGTATGATTCAGAAGTGATATTGTAGAGAGAAATTAGATGTTAGTCATCTTAGGGGTTAAAGAGTTAAAAGGCTTAAAGTATAAATTTAGGAAAAACTTTTTCCCAACTTCAAAGCTGTGCGAAGACGAAATTCATTCCAGTCCACTTGTGTCCTAGTGTCCGACTTTAGATACTAGTGTCCGTTCTTAGACACCAGTGTCTGATTAACGATACTGGTGTCTGATTCTGGACACTAGTGTCCGGCTCTCGCCTTCAAGACATGACATGCTGCGCTATCAGTTCTAGCTTTTTTCTACAAACCGAAGCGCGTGTTTCCTGTAGGCCAGGCTAAAGTCAGTACGTGATGTTATTTTTCTTGCTTGTTCCAGCTCTCACCAGGCGAGGATGTGTCGCTTAACGTCCAGGGTTACGATGAACTAAACCACACCATCTTCACCATTGCGACTTTGTCTGAAACGGGTATCTCTGACACTGAACCCAAACTTCAACTGGATAACATCATGCATCTGTTGTCTCCCGTCACCAAGCAATCTTTACCGTTAGCGTATCAGCTGGTTAACAAAACTGTATACAACGAGGTGAAAAATAAGTCAGTACATCATTTTCAGTTGGAAGACATCTTTTCAACACTCAAGAATAGATACATGTTTAACGTGACCGCAGTTCCTTGTAAACCAGGATTCAAGTTTCAAGGGACAAAGTGCAAATGTGACAAAACGATCGAGGGTTTGCAAAGGTGAAGGCTTTCCAGTGTCTGTGTTTTTACTAACTTTGAGTCCGTATTTGGTTTCAATCTCAGTATCTGAGCAACCGCGCACCTACCCCCCCCTCCCCCACCCAAAATGAACCCTAACTTGTTATTAGTTGACTGTTGTTGGGTTAAGGGAGGAGTAAGTGCGCAGTTGCCCAGATACTGACTTTGATTTTCTCTGAAAGGCACTTATTACATGTTGGTAAATTTGCTGACTGGATTCTCATGCATTTCGGACCTCCGCTGTGACATGTGTTTAACGCTATAACTCCCACAAGTGATTAACAAATACCCTCCCCATGAAATTCACACTTTATCCAGGAATTTGGTATTGAGAATACTCAAACTTATCAGGTGGAAATTGTTATTTTGATCAAGCACCAAATTCTTGTTACTAATTTACAAGGAAATGTGTAGCAGCTAGAGGGGAGAATTAACAATCAGATCTTGAGAGTGAAAGGGTTATAAAAGAATATTAACCTTTCTATGACTGACAATGTTCGCTTTTATAAACTTACCGACTTTGATAACAGATGTGATGACGATGACGGTACAATCTACTTGAAAAAGGGGCAGTGGGGAGGAGAAGTCAATGGTCGCCTGGTAACGTACTTCTGTCCTCCTGATTACTGCCGCTGCGAGGAAGAAGGCGACTTGCCCGGATGTGTATTCAAACCGAAGTATATCGATAATCAGTGTAATCATAACAGGACAGGGGTACTCTGTGGCAAATGTCAGCAAGGCCTTAGTGTCGGTCTAAGGTGAGTTCAAACCATATGCATTCTACTGACCATATTCTATTATTTACACCTACTTCAGTAGTTATAGAAGGTGGTTAAATCTCGATATCTATGATCATTGCTGCGGAATTATTGTAAGTGTGAGTTGATCTTTTTATAGCTGAGGGAGTACCAATGCTCCTTGTCGCTTCATGTTAGAAAAACAATGATAAGGTCAGGCAACAATAATGAGCCCACCGTAATTTATCTTTGTATTTTGTCTTTCAGATGGGCAGAGTGTCTTCAATGTGACGGTGCTTATTGGATTATTGTTATTTCCGTCATCGCCGTTGTCGTTGTATGCGTCATCATCATTATACTCAATCCCAGCCTGTCTAGCGAGCTTCGAGGACCCCTGTTTTTCTTCCAGGTCCTCCCTTTCATCTTTAAACCAAACAACCATGTCGGGCGGGTAGTAATTTCTGTCGGAAACATACTCAACTTTGGCGGCCCTTTCTTATACTTCAAGCACATGTGTATTGTAAAAGGGATGACGAATTTGTTCGCTGTTGCCATGGGATACTTGATGCCGCTTGTTACTCTTCTCGTCTTTATTATATCTTACATTCTAAGCGCAAATTTTTACCTCGTGAGATTCAAACTTCGTAAACATTCGAGCCTACAGTCGTTCTGGCTGATGACACTTTTTGTGTACAACTATCTCGCCGTTACGTCTTTCATGTTGCTGCACTGCCCCAAAGTTGGTGGGAAATTGATTTTCTTTTACGATGGTAACGTGGAGTGCTTCCGAGGGGAACATTTAGCAATGACCGTAATTGCATTCTTGGTTCTGTTTGGCTTCGTTATTTCCCTGCCTGTGGTTGTACTTATCTTGACTAAAGGTTATTGGAAGGTTGACCCACAGTATGTCAACACGCTTATCACTGGTCTGCGCCCGCAATGTAGATGGTGGTGGTCAGTGGATATGTTTCGGAGGTTGTTGTTGCTGTTCAGTTACTCGTTCATTCCTCATTGGTTCACAAAGCAGGTGAGTGTCATTAACAAAATATGATTTTTAAACGGAAATCTATTCATATTGAAGAAATCACGATGCTTTAATCGGACATTGAGGCACTACGCAACCATTTTTATTCGCATTTCTATTGGGAAACACTGAAAAAAAAAAAAAAAAAACGCGTTTGATATGACAATTGTCATGTTGCCACAAAAATGAAAGTTCTAGAACTAAAGTCTCAATCATAACGGAATACTTTTTCGGTCGTTGCAAGAATCGGGGTCTACTTTGTAAGCCGAATCCATAAATACATGGCCCTTAGAAAGCAGCACAATTTGAGGCGGATGGTAAATAACATGGAAAGTAACTAATCGTCTGCAACCTACAATGGAATACTTTGGTCTAGTCTCTTGACTTGTCTGGAGTATCCTTGCTAATAAGTATTTCATTTGTTTGCATTGACTAAAAGAGGAAAAGCGATACGTGCACATTTTCCCATCCTCATTTTAGCTTGTGACGTCAACTCACAGGTCAAGATCTAACTCTAACCTGTATTAAAGTTTGGTGCTTCATGTATGCACCAATCAGATATGAACTAAATCGTTCCTGAAATTCATTCCGCACATTTTCACACACAAAATGTCGTTTGCATGTTTTACTATTATTATTATTAGTAGTAGTAGTAGCAGCAGCAGCAGCAGCAGCAGCAGCAGCAGTAGCAGCAGCAGCAGCAGCAGCAGCAGCAGCAGCAGTAGTAGTAGTAGTAGTACTGTTATGTCGATGGGCTGTTGTGATTCTAGATGAATAAAGGGATCAATATCAGTATCTGGGCAACTACCCACCTACCCCTCCACTAACCCAACAACAGTCTATTGATAACAAGTTAGGGTTAATGTTGGGTTAGGGGAGGGGTAGGTGGGCTGTTGCCCAGATACTGATATTGATCCGAATAAAGGGAGTAAGCTTCAAAAGAGACTATGTTGCTGCGTCGGTGGGGGAAAGGGGGGGGGGGTTAGGGGGGGTATTAGAAGATAATTTGGATCTATTAACCCTTTAACTCCCATGAAGAACCAAGACAGAATTTCTCCCTACAATATCGATGCAATATCAACCAGATAAGTGATGAGAATAAAGAAAAATATCAATTTGGGGATAACTAGTTGATTTAATACTAAATTCTCTGAACGAACATTATAAGAATAGTACGGTTGACAGAAAGGAGAATTACAAATTTGATCTGGGAGTTAAAGGGTTAACTGAGTTGATAATGTGAATTGGCTACCATAAAGACGTAAATCTCGTTTCGAATCAGAGCGAAGGGCTAACGCTCGAAACGTCAGCGTAGAAAAACTCTCGCTGTGATTACAGTGAACATAAAACGCTCAAATTAGTTTGTATGTTTGGTCATTTAGGTTGTCACGATTATCGTTTGCGCCTTCATCCTGACTGTACACAGCATGTTTCAACCATACAGGAAGAAACAAGTTAATGTGGTGGAATCGCTGTACCTTTATATCCTGTGTGTGATCGCCATTATGCAGATCTTACAGGAGTCCGATTATATCTCTGATATTGTTTGTTCCTTCCTGATGATAATTACCACAATGCATGCCGGGGGATTGACTTGTTATAAAGCTGTAGGGTTCTTCGAGAGGAGATTCAAGTGTTTATGTCCAAAACCGTGTCCCAGCCAACGCAATTACGGTTCAATGGGGGAGACAGCTATCGACAGATCTATTGATGAAGCTCAGAGACGGCGCAAGGACATTTTTGACACGATATTTGATAAATCTGAAGATGATAACGGGAATTGATATGGCTGGAATTATTATCAAAATTTAAGTTTTTCCGGATTGAGTTATGAAAATAACATGAACCGTGCAGATCTGGAACAGGATTATATTTTAAAAAACTGGTACGATGGATAAATCTTGAATTAGTTCTAAAAGTTTAGTGGGACTTTAACTCCGAGGTGTAAGGGAGGAATTTTCCCGAATGACATCAACGCAACTGATTCTTACAGACAGAGGAGAGGCTCCTGTTCTTCATTGGCAGCCCACTGAAGATTCGAGGATCATATCTTCTTTTAACATCCCTAAGAGTGACAAGGTTCTAATTTCTCCTTACAATATGACCCCTGAATAAAAGGTTTAAGTCATGAGGATAAAGGAAATGATCAGCAACAAAAGAAGCTTCTGATGGTTTTACAAATTCTCCTTGTTAGAACCAAGGAAATGTATAGAGAACAGTATGGAGAATATGCATAATGATGTGAGGGTGTAAAGGGTTAACCTTTGACCCCTAAGAGTGAGTAGCTATTGAAGAACTCTCTCTAGATATTTTTTTACACGGTTACGTTCAAATCAATGTTGATGGATACTTTTCAACGCTCATACCGTTCGACCACATGGCATATGAAGTCATCAAAAAGTTTTTCCGTTCTCTTTGTTTTAAGTAGTTTGTTAAACATAGTCATGGGGGATCAATATCAGTATCTGGGCAACAGCGCACCTACCCCTCCCCTAACCCAACATTCGCCCTAACTTGTTATCAATTGACTGTTGTTGGGTTAGGGGAGGGGTAGGTGGGTAGTTGCCAAGATACTGATACTGATCCGACATGGTTAGGGTATTATTCCTTTAACCCCTTGACCCCTAAAAGTGACCAGCATCAAATTTCTCATTACATTATCACCACAGAATCACACATTACGGTCATAAGAATAAAGGAAATGATCACCAACTTAAGAAGCCCTTGATTGTTAAACCAATTCTCCTTACCAGCACGTAAGGAAACGTAAAGAACAGTATGGAGAATATGTATACTGATGTTAGGGTGTAAAGGGTTTATTATCATCCGGAGTTTTAAGTAAAGGTCAAAGTATATTACATAACTTAATTCGTGTAAGTGTCAGAGCTGAGAATTAATATTTCGATCACGGGGGGTTAAAATTGAGCGTGTGAGAAATACTTTACCCTGAAGAGGAGGTAGTTACTCGTTTTTAGATGCGAGTGAATAAAATACAACTTATGCTTTTATTCAAGTTAACTTCTAACGCTAAGTAAATTGAGATGAGATGCCTGATTGATATTCAGTGTCGCCCAGTGACATTGTGTCAATGGATCTAGTGGGATCATCGATCTTGGACCGTTACTATTCTTTCGTATCGTTTGACGTTGTGGATCGTTCTCACACTCTAGAACTTGACCAAAACCCATTGCATTCTGTAACATCTTTGACATCTACATCTACATCTATGCTATGAAAGCCTCATATCGTACTTTATCCATAAAATTTACCCAGCTTCATTACTTTAGTACATTTGAAATGTCGAAAAGAACTGAAAGTATTACAGAAAATTAGTGCAACAGCCCTAAGGGCAAATATTTTAATTCTTTGGAACAGTTTTTACTTCACTTACTCGAGGGTCTTAATAAGGCTAACTAGAGTAATCGCCAACGGTCAAAACAAAATCCATGAAACCCTCATTTCAGGCGTCAGTTACAAACGGGGAATATAAATCTCCACCCATGAAAAGTTGAGAATCACATTCTGGTTAGCCTTTCAAATTAGGGACCATCATTATTTGTTTCCTGGGAGGGAGGGGTCGGACGATTTTTTAGGGAGATCACATGGTTTTCAAGGGGAGTAAAGAGAAAATCAGTCGTTGCGAATAGAAGAGAAAGGGAGGACTATAAAAAATTGACTGACAATTCACTGCCATCATATGAACATTTCAGAGCCTCATGGAAGGGGATTGGGGATCAGGTAAATTTTTATTCTGACACAACCAAAATCCTCCGACCCAATTTCCCCCCTCCCCACCCCCAGGGGATGGATAATGACCGTTCCCTTAGGTAACGTGAAGATTATCTTCTGATTTATCAAATATCGTGTCAGCTCGGTCCTCCTGATTAGTGCGCAAACATTAGACAACCCTTGCAAGGTCCATAAACTTTCTTTATGCGTCTTTAATCTGAATCTAGGAGGAAACAAAAGAAGGATAATGCATGAAATGCATTGCTTGGTTACATACAACCCTAGTTGGGATCACAAAAATATGTACTCAGTTGCTTTTCAACACTAATACTGTTCGCCTATGTAACAAACGCAGTCTTCAAAACCTTCCTTTCTTTTTGTTTGAAGTAGTTTACTAATCATAGACTTGGGTAATATATCCTTCTATTAAGAACTTGTTATCAAAATCGCCAAGTTCCCAATTGTTGTTGACGAAAGACAGCACTAGAGCGCGCTGAGACAAAAACACGGGGTTTTGAACAGATGGTAAGTTAACGACATAAAGTCATTACGCTGAAGTTTCTCTCTAAATTGGAGAGCCAGAGAATTACGTGACAAAATACATGACACGCGGAGAAGGGGGGGGGGGCAGGTTTCAACCTGCTCAACCTGAGTTGGAAAGAAAGCTTGCTAAAAGTTTATAATTTGTTCTTCAAAATCTACCACTGACCATGCTCTGCGCCTTCAGAGGGAGAGTTAAATATCGTGTCCATAATGTTCCTCTGTCTTTCTCTCTCTGCGTCCAAACTGTTCTGATCGATCTCTGTGTCCTCCAGCTGGTCATAGTCTCTGTGTCTTGTATTTGATTCAAGTCCCCTTCTTGCACAAGCGATCTCGAAACGCTTACGAAAGAATCGCACACCCTTATAAACAGTTACTACAAGTGCATGAAGTGCCACCGTGAACACTAAACCTAAGGACACGCCGTACCTAGCCATTTCATCTTCAACAATTTGCATAATAGCTAGAGTGGCCAGAACCAGTAAATAGACAGACTCTGTAAAGTTAACACGAGGTTTCAAGTAAGGTTGAAAGTTACTGTGGACGGCCAAGATCAAGACGCACATCAAAATCATAAGAATCTGGGAAGAAAAATGTAGAGAAATACGGATTTAAGATTAATTATTAATTCATATAATTAATTAATTAATTATTATTTTATAATTAATAATAAATTAATAATTAATTAATATTATCAATTAATCAATTTTCTTAATACGGATCAATTCCAGTATCAGAGCAACTTCGCATCAACCCCTCCCCTAACTCATCAACAAGTCCGCTGAAAACAAATTAAGGCTAATGTTGGGTTAGGGGAGGGGAAGGGTAGGAGCGCAGTTGCTCAGATGCTGACAATGATCCAGAAAAACTCATCACTCAGTTAAGTGTTACAATTAAAGAAACCATAGCAAGACAGAATATCATCGTCCACGACCATTTATGTGATGAGAAGGTAGAACATCAATTAGCTTGGGGATTGTTAGTTATCCAGTACCAAACAATCTGAACTAAAATAAAAAGAATTGTTTAGCACACAATATTATAAGGAGAATTACTAGTGAGATTTTGGGAGCGAAAGGTTTAAGAACATGGAATTACTTTTAAAATAAATCTTCTTTCGAGATATCGTTCATTTTCCATAGCCCTACCTTTTTTGTTTGCCAGTTTGGGACGAACGCGTAAGTACCAACCACGAGAACTCTTCGACACAAATCCACTGACCACCACCAACGGCGCTCAGGGCGCAGACCGCTTGTCAGTGTATTCAGGTATTGAGGATCCACCCTCCAATACCCATTGGTCAGAAGAAAAACCATGATCGGTGGGGGGATCACAAGGAACACAAGCACGAGGATAGCGAGGATTGCCATTGGCAAATGGTCATCAGAGAAACATTCCATGGTTCCATCATAGAAGAATACGTGACTGTCACCAACTTTTGGACAAAACAAGATCAGAAACGACGTCTCGACACAATAGTTGTAGATGAACACAACAAGAAGCCAAAAAGATTTGAGCATCGAACGTTGGCGAAATTTAAACCTGAGGCAATAGTTAATGCTCAATAGATAAGCAAACAGGAATATCAACAGAGCCAGAAAAGGAACCAAGTACCCAAAGGCAATTGAGTACAGATTATTAATTTCTCCTACAATACATGTCTTCGTCAGATAGACTAACGGCCCTCCAAAGTTGAATAAATCCGCTAAAAGGAAGATGTGACTCCCAAATTGGCTGGTGGGGTCGAATATGCAAGGGAGAACTTGGAAGAAGTACAGAGGTCCTCTTAACTCGCTAGATATACCGGGATTGAGCCAAATGATGAGAACACACAAGGCCATGACAAGAGGTATAACCACGCCCAATACCCATCCTGGATTGGGACAATCGACGCACTCGTTCCATCTATAAAAATAGAATGCAAGGTAGTTAACCGTAATAATGCTGCCGAAACCCAGTTTACATCAAACTGAGTTACCAATGATCCTAGAGAATTTGAAACTTCGGATCAATTTTTAACTTGGATGTCAAAATCAATAAGAGTTTGCGATGATTTTGCTCTGCGCGCTGAGCGCCTAATTTAAAAAATTTGCGATACTTTCTCAACCAATCAGATGCAAAGCTGAAATAAATCGCGACATGGTCGCTTGCCTTTCTTCCACTTTTAAATCCAGTTACGTGTCTTTCTGAGGTAAAAGTGGCCCCTTGCGAGATTTCAGGTGGTTTTCTTTGGCCGTTGGCCTTCTGCAACTCAACTATGGTCTGGTCTGGAAATATACCTCGTGGGAGAACATTTGCTCAGAAAACTTTACCTTAACCCCACGCTAGTATTTCCAGAGCATTTACCACACAGCCACCCTTCGCGGTTCTTTGTGCATTGAGCAATACTGTTGGCTGGATCGAATAAACATCCAGGTAGTTCGCCGACATGTGTACACTTACAATACTTGTATGGACAGTAGTAGGTAACCAGGGTACCATTTTTAGTAACATTCGCCCAGTATCCCTCTTTCAAATAAACAGTATGTCCATTCTCGCATCTGAAGTTAACGGAAAAAATAAACAAACAAACGAAAAATGGAATACTCGGTTTTGAAGTTATACACTCTCTAAGTCGGTCAGAGAGGAAGTAAGTCAGGTGATCAGTCAGTCAGCCAGCCAGTCAGTCGTCGGTCCGTCTGTCAGTCACTAGATCAGTCGATAAGTCAGTAGGTTCTCATTCAGTCAGCCGGTCATTTAGTCAGTTGGTTGGTCGGTTCATCGGTCTGCCGGTCGTCACTTAGTCGTCAGTCGTTAATCAGTCGGGTTTTTTAAGTCAGCCTGTCAGTCGTCGGTCGGTCAGTCGGTTACTGGTCAGTCAGCCTTTGGTCGGAAGGTTGATCGGTTTGTCGGTTCGTTAGTCTACCGGTTGGTCAGTTAATCGTCAGTCGTTAATCAGTCGGTCGGTCAGTCAGTTGGGGAGATGGTGGGTAGATCACAAGCAAAACCATAATACAATTAACGAACGTAGTACATCATAGCAAAAAAAACCTGCTGACCTTATTTTCGGCTTTTCACTTTTAGTTCTCACCTCGAAATGCCAGGAAGTTTCCTATTACATTCGCACGCTTTAGTGTCCTTGTTGAAATTAAATCCAGGCGGACACGTTTGAAGCTCCATTTCAAAGGAATATCCATTTGGTAAGGTAGAAAAGATATCCACAAACTGAATCCTTCGCCTATTCTTTTCCCCTCTGCTTTGTGCTTCGTTGTAAACTGTCTCAGGGGCATTGAACGAAAACGATACAGTACTTGATTTGTTAGGCGAGAGCACGTACAGTACATTACTGAGCATCAATTTTGATGTGTTGTCAGAGCTGCCTTCTTCAGCCACAAAAGCAGTCGTATACACACTGTGTCCAAGTTCATCAACTCCTTGCAGATTCAAAGGAAACTTTTGACCTGGAGCGAGCTGATAGGGAGATCAAAAGAAAACAAGACCTAGTTTGTTGGGCTATTTACGAAAATTTCATTGGTTTGGTAACACTAAATTGGACATCGAAGAATGCAGGGTAAGTAACAAGCAGGCATGTAGGGGAGAGGGGAAGGGACGCAAGTAAGGAAGGAGCGGGCTAGAAGGGGTGGATGGGTGTGGCTAGATAGATGAATGAATGGAAAGACGAAAAGACAAAGAAACAGTTATAGCATAGACAAAACAATTAACTCAGTAACCTCCGATGAGAAACATGACGTAAAGTAAAGCTTACGAGCTAAAAGGGTCATCCTGTAAGAATTTATTTGGGTTCCAAATATGGCATGAAGCAAGCTACTATTCCCTGAAAGGGATTCTAGTCGATAGAGGGGTGTCTCAACCCCCCCCCCCCATCCCTTGCCCACTTTCAGCACTTCGCTGACAGTTTCCCCTCGCCCCTCGTCCATTCATACTCCTGGGTGAAAGAGAGAACAAGATGTCTTGCCAGAGTTTACAGCACAAACCATGGATTATACCTTCACAGTAGAATTATCTCCTAAAGTCGAATGGTAATTTTTTGTGTCTGTGGCAATATCATACTCAGTTCCACTGAAGACGTGTGGGACACCGTCGAAAACAAGCGAGTTATTTCTGTACAAAATATTACTAGACCAGCGGAGAGCTTTCTGCGGATCGTGGTACGGAGCCTCTTCAATCCACACACATCTTTGAAGAGAGGAGATATAAATAGCTGCTCCTTTTATCCTGCTGCTATTCTCGATAAAGGATACGTTGGTCTAAAAGGAAAGAGGTACAAAACAGACTCAACTAAATTTAGAATGTGATATACACTTGAATGACAAACAATTCATGGTTTAAAGAGCTTACCTTCCATTTTGACGGGGGCAGGTGATAGTCACTATAAGACAGGAAACAGTTAGGATTAAACTCGTGTATAAACTCGCTCATGATGTTTTCCCATACAAGTATCGCGCCACCGATTCCATTGGCTTTGTTTCCTAAGAATATGAGTTCACTTCCGGGGTAAAGTATCATTTGACTAGATTGCAGGAACAACGCTCCTCCATGGGACCCCGTGTTGTTAGCAAAAACCAGCTGTCCCTCCACATGTAAAACACAATCCTGAAAACTTCCTGCGCCTCCACCATAGTTGCGCTGAAAAATGTTGCTTCCCTGAAACCTTACGTTCACCCTTTGACTTGTGAACGGACTAGTACGTGCAGTACTCGACATACTGTGATTCTCAAACTTGCAGTTTATAAACTCGGGGGTAACATCCATAGTGCTTCCATACGGAAGCGCAGTGGTGAAGCGAATCGCTGTACTGGCATCGCCCTTATTGTCACTAAACACCACATTATCAAACCTCAATACGGAGTCGTTCGGTTTGTCATCATAGTTCATGAGAAAAACATTAACCCCTGCTCCTCTCCTCGCCTTATTTTCTTTCACGGTGCAGTTTCTGATGACACTTGTGATGCTAGACGCATTGTCCCACTGGGAGAATATCAGCCCCCCTCCGGTTTGTCCGGCTCTGTTTCTCACAAAATGCGAGCCAATTATCGACAAGTTGTTTTTCGACGCCGAGTTAGAGTCGGCAAAGTAGAATCCCCCTCCATACGTTGCCGAGTTGTTCGAAAACTTAGAGTCTTCTATCACAGCACGACAGTGTTCAGTCTTCTTCAAGAACACAACTAGAAGACCCCCACCTCCTGCAGTGAAGTGCGAGACATTTGATGAAGGTGCAATGTACGATGCTGAATCATTCGTCACGGCCGAGTTGAAGGTGAAAGTTGAATTTGTTATTACCACAGAAAGAGAAACTGAAGTTCGAAACAGAAATCCTGCTGCACCACCGGCCGAGGTAAACCCTTCTTTAAACTTCTCGCTGGAATTGCGTCCATTTGAAGTGTTATTTTGGAAAATACAACTTTCTATAGTAACCTCGCTATCAAAGGCGTTTATCCCAGCCTGTTTGTTATGTTCAAATACACAATTCCTGAAGTTTATTTTAACAGAATTCCATATGAGGACAGTGGCGGCGAAGCGAGGGCCACATTGTTGAAATTTGAGGTTTTCTATGCTAATATTTCTTGTCTTGTCTTGTCTGATTTGAGTAACTCGAGATCCGATATCAAATCCAGCAGAGACATCTGTGCATCTAATAATGGATCCATTTGCGTGACTTGATTGTAGAACAATACCTCTCCTTGGGTTGGTTTGACTGATGTTGATCCGTTTGTCCAAAGAGTAAATGTGATCTTCGATCCGAAAAATAAAGAGTGTTTGATTGTGGTTCTCTTCATCCTCCATAGCATTTAAAGCAAATCCGACCGTTTTACAAGGTCCCGAGGCGCTCGAAAGTAGACAAGATTTGTTATCATGTCCGGTGGCGGTTGAAACTCGGATCTCCAAAGCACCCGACCATTCCACAACAATCAAAATGTAAATGACCATAACACAGCCGGCGACTAAGTCACTGAATCGCATTGTCGCTCAGTAACGTAGAGAGAGATGCGAGATTTACCCCCGACTATCTTTACTCAATCTGTCTACATAGATCGATTGGTATTCAATTAAAGACACAAATGTCACGTAATCGTGGCCTTCGCGAGGGTATCACGCGGTTTTCGCATGACTGCTCTCACTTGGGGAGGTTACCAAGCGCAAACGACTGAGACTACCGCGAACACGCCATTTAGGATGGGGTGGATACAGGACACGGGGGCCGGGGAAGGATCACGAACACCACTGTCATTGCTAAATGGAAATCTTAGAAACATTTCACCGAGCCATCAAAAAAAAAAAAAAGAACACGTTATTACTGCCAATGTTAACTCAGAAGAGGATCATGAACGATGTCTCGACGAGCTGACTAAATAAGGAACACGAGTAGGAGCCAAAATGACCTCAGAGGAACTTCGGCGGAAATTCAACTTGAGACAGAAATTAACGCTTTCGAAATAAGCCAACAAGTAAAAGGAAAGAGCGACCTCTGAAAACGGTTGCAAGATGATCAATTCCTGAAATGAGGTACGTATCAAAAAAAGACAACAATCGAGGACTTAAGTTAAAGGTGATTCGCTGCATAAATGGAATAATTAAGTCACCCAATAGAGAAAGCTTGGACAAGTTAAGGTCATATATGAAGGGAACGTTTTGGAAAAAAAACAAAGGTCCTCGGAACTCGCTCGCATGTTTATTCTAAGTATCTAAACGGACACTTAAAAAAAGACCACTAAAATATTAAGTTGAAGTTGATCAAACCAACAACCCCTTTTGACTCACTGTTTAGTTAGGATACCTCGTGGACAACGAGTTGGAAGGAAGACGGTTTGCAAGGAATAGAGCAAAGGGATATCCCCATATATGATCATTATTTTCTCATGATGACATTAATATTTAAGTCAACAATAAAAACGGACCTCACGAGCTAAGACGGAGTATAGCATTTCATAAGGGCGTTTATTCGATGCCTGATACACTCGTCTGCAAAATTTAACCAAGAAGCAGCATTTTCAATCTTTTTTAAAGAGGAATACAAGGGAACGAGAGGGGAGGGGGGAAAGGATGTATGAGGGGGTAATAATGCATCTTGAAAACCATGTACCTTCAGTCAGGGGAAAGACCCGAGAGTGTGGCTGCGAGGAACTAGGCCGTCGGAGAATCGCGCATTTAGAGGAAAAAACTAAAGGGGTAAATTTCCTAAGAAACTGTGGTGCTGCATCGGTGAGGGAGTATAACAAGATAATTTGGTTTTATCAATTGAGTTGATAATGTAAATTGGCCGTAAAGAGTGAAGTGAAAAATCCTAACGGTGGCCTATTTGCATCATCAACTCAGTTGATAAAACCATATCATCTAATTACAATTACATAGTTTGGTCCACACGATAGCATAGTCTGCCAAGACTTTCAAAGAAAGTTAAAAAAATTATAATAAGCCGGTGCATGAATTGTTATTTCGCAAAAGGGTTTGAGCAGGGAGGAGTTTACATTAAAAAAATGAATAAAGATAAAACGATAAAAGAGTTACGATAGACGCATGCATCCGCGCTAGACTAAAATTATGTGTATTTTTGAGAAACGCTACATGTAGAAACCAAATAATGTTCGGGATTTGACCGAAAAAAATTGATAATCTGGCGTCAATTATGTTTCCTTGTTTCCGGTATCGTTCTTGGGTCGTTTCATAACGCTATTGGCGATATTCAGTTCCTCCGCTTTTTCCAACTTATATCTTCTCGTATGTTAATCGAAAGGGTTGTTATAATCTTTATCAGGTTCCAGCCTAAATTTGTTGGTAATATAATCAAGTCGCAGCACTGAGCTACATTGTGCCCACTTTCTACATCAGATCTGACAAAAAATCAATTTGACAACCCAATAACAACATAAAACTTGACATTTATTACAACATGTATCTTCCCAGAACATGCAGGCCGAAAATTATCGACAAATATTTCCGCGGACAATTTTAAACGCCATCAATTAATTGTAATCTTTTTAATTAAATTAAATAAAGACAAATAACATTTGGCTATGTCATGCATCGAACCAACAATAACAATGATGACAAAAATATTCAGAAGCACATCACTGAAGTTCCTTACGGCACAACAAACACAGACCAGCTGGTTTGGGGGAGAAACAGAAGCTATCTACATAACAATCGTGAGCGCATAGCCTTCGAATCTTAAAATAAATCTAAGATCTGCACCAGATATTTAAGTGAAAAACCAAGATGTTAAACCTAATATAGACAAATTAACACCGAAACTCGTATTATCAGATATGAAACTCTGCCTTCCAGCTGCTACACATTCTCTTGCCCTTTAACCCTTAAAATAGTGACTGGCATCTAACATTTCTTTACAATATCATCCCTAAACCATATTAAGGTCACGAGATTGAAGGAGATGATCCCTTATAACAGCTTTTGATTGTTAAACAAATTTTCCTCGTCGGCACCTTGCTAAATGCATAGAGAACAGTATGGACAATATGTATATCAATGAGAAGGTGTGAAGGGTTGAATATTTGCAAATTTGGATAACTTGTTTGCAAGATAAAGTGCAAGAAACCTTTGGGAATTAGAGCATAAAGAATTACATAAACCTTTTCAAAAAGCCGGGAGTAACTGAAAGGTAGTTTTTCCTTTAAATATCAAATTAATAGCCACCACGAAAATTGTGAGAAGATAGTGAAATATCAACAAGGGGATAAGACACGTAAGGAAGACAGTGGGGGAATTGGTGTCAAGTCTTTAACTCCCACAAGTGATCAACATATAACTTCTCCCTAAAATATCCATATATCATCCAGCAAACAGGTAATGACAATACTCAAACTTGTCAGGTACAAGTTGTTATCTTGATCTAAGATAAAACTCTCGCAACTAATTAATAGGGAAATGTGCAGCAGCTATTGGGGAGAATTGCCAGCCAGATCTTAAGAGTTAAAGGGTTAAGCTTGTGGGAATATTAGGTTTAAGTTTTGTCACAAATACAGTATATTGGGCTATTTTACCGTGAAATAAATAATTCATGCTACTAGTGGCAATTCAAAACTTCTACTCAGTCTTACTTCATAACCATGACTAGCAGACACAAAAAGTAGTTCAAAACACTATGCGTGCACAATTGTTAAACACTGTGGCAGCAGTGAGATAGAGAGACTTCTATACCACCCCTTAATTCCTCACTTAGCTACTACATGTAAGTTAGTGAGCTAACATTAATTTCTTAAAGTAAATCTGTAATAATTAATTGATTCCTACTTCGACTTGTCTCACTGGGAGGTTCCTTCCCCAAAACCATGAGAATTTTAAAATTAATTCAGAACATTTGTTTACCATCCAAAAAATTTACATGCACACATAAATCCAGATGTAAAAGTTTGCCACATGTAACATTTCCAACCTTTTAACTCCCAGAATTGATTAGCATCTAGCTTCTCTTTACAATGCCATGCATTAACCAGCAACCAGGTAAAGAGAAAATTGAAACTTATCAAGAAGTTATCTTTATATAACATTAAATTCTCCTAACTTATAAAGAAGGAAATGTGCAAAAGCTAGAGGGGAGAATTAACTACCAGATCTTGGGAGTTTAAGGGTTAAATGCATTTGATTTGTCACTCAAAGGTTCTTAGAGATAATGATCTTACATTAAGTATAGTTACATACGCCTAAGCATTATCCCATTTGACAAGTACTATTAACTTAATCAACTTAAATATTAATTTAATGTTAATATTATTACTGTTACTTTGAAAACTTGGTCAACACTTATGTGTACTGCATCATTATCCATTGAACTGGCAAGATAGAAGAATAACTTCAATTTTTAACATTTACACAAGTTTGTTGTTTGCCTTGCAATAAAAATACTAGTCACAAACATCACAAATTATTACACTAAGTCTCAGATGCATTCTTACACAAAAGCTGTTGTTAGATGAAGTTGTTAGTTCAAATTGTAGGCAAGATTCATTAAATGTCTAAAACACCAGACTAATACTTGATATTATTTAGAAAAATTAAACTGTGCACATCTTGAAACTTGTTTTCCACATACAAAATAAATAAATATCTATATGTCTGGACACTGAAAACGAGAAAAATGGCTGAAGAGATGGCAAGAAATAAAAAACAATCTGAAAATGAGGGCAAAATAAGAAACTTTATGGCAAAAATTCTCAGGAAAACCTGGGGTAATTCAGAATTTGGCAAGATTTAGTTTTGTCGTACATGACAAGTTACTTTTACAAAGATATGCACATGCAAAAGCTGCATGGGTTGACCAACTGTTATGGCTACTCCAGATGAAATTTCAAGTAAGTTTATGTTGAGTTGATAGTACTATCATTTCTGACTTACACTGTGCATGCTTTATCAATATTATTATAGAAGAGTGGGCTCATAATTGGGGAAAAAAATTCTGGACAAGTTACCACTTAAACCATCCTTTTCAGCCACTTGTCAAGTTTTCAAGAATGGAAATTGAATTCTTTAAAATTTAAGCATTAGTATACCAGAATATTACAACTGAATACTGATTACAAACATTTTACACAGCTATTGACAAATTGAGACTTGAACAACATTGATCAATTGGCAATTTCTCACAAAATTTTACACAGAAGACAAGAAAGCAGCACACAATAAAATTCAGGATTTATGGAGGAAAACTATAATTGTAGCATGATAGACAAGGACATTCTACCCACCACTAGAACAAGAAATTCGCAGAGATCACATGAAAGAAATTGCAAATTGATCAAAGGGCTTGTCTTTCATTTTACACTGTAGCTTAAACTGAATTCAAATCTATATTAATTTAATACTGTTAAGCATTAATTTTGTTACTACAACCTTATACAAAACTATAAAACATTTAACTTCCTAAAATTTCTTCCTCTGATAATTAAAATATATATATATTGCCAAATGCAATAAAATAACATCCTAAAACATTAAACTATCAATTTGTCTGGAAAAACACTACAGGATCTGTCATCTTCAGGAGAGATTGAAATATTAGCACTTTGGTTTTCATTTTAAAAAGAAAACCATGCCAGAATTTTCAGTACTTACTTTGATAAACCATAAGAAAAGACTCAGGAGATTACTTGATTGCTTTACTTGGTGCATATTTTTTTCACATATCTGTCCAGTGTAACTTATCCAATTTTAACTTACTGTAACAATAGAAGTTCTGGGTACACATAAGTGTGCTAGATTTTTAGACTGGCAAGCACAAAATCAATGCAAAGACTACCCCAATGAATCATTATCAGCAAAGGAAAAAATACAAGATATTTAGAGAGAACTAATTAGGTTTCAGTTAAATCATTCCTGTTTTTTTTTCCCTTCCCACAAGTTTAATATTTGAAAGAGAGTAAACTTAGCTATTATGGCAGATTACGTGTACATCAAAAGGGAATTAAAAGACTTTTCCAATGTCGTTATGCATAAGTCAACTCTTCCACTGTTCAAAGTATCTGTCCAGCAGAAACTGTTCAAAACAATTAAATCTTGCCACACCACAGACCTGCCGTTGGTGGTACCATACTAAGCCTCGCACTGGCATCATTCAAGTTAACACTATTAGAGTTTCAAAAATTTGTTATACATTCTTGTTAGGGTTTATATATCTGTTATCAAGGTTTCTGCTTCACACTATTTATACATTGTATATTATTGTACACAACATTATACAGATCAGTTAAAAATGAAGTATGTGAAAGAGAAAAGAGAGTGAATTGATGTCATTTACATATAAAAAGTTTAGCTATCAGATGTAGGTACTATAACATAGAGCTAAGAGAAATATTGATCATTGGGGTAAAGGTATCTTTGCATAGCTAACAGAGAAATGTAAATACGCTTTATAGGTGGTAGACAACTATGCACCAATAAGGTTGACTTGATTCCAGCAGGTCTTTTCAACACAGGACAATTAAATGAAAGCCTTCCAATGACACTGCCACATTGCAGCACTTGACATGACAAATGTTAGTCACTGACAACAAGGACGCACATGATAGCAACACAAGCACACGTCCAATTATTACATGAACTTAAATTGATCAATTCGGTTTGACACAAAAGTCAGGCACCTCCCAGCATTATCACTGACATTCATACATTTGTGGGAAGTTCATCACTAAATGAGAACACTGTCCCCCCATTGAAACATCCATTAGCTATTCACACAGACTTGTACGGGAACAAGGACAATGACGGACATGGACTTAGGACACTGTTACTTGATCTGAGCAAGGACTACACAGCCCTCTATTCTTATACCACCTGAAAAATAAATGTACACTTTCAAAAAAAAATTCCAATGAAAAATTTTGTAGTAAACAAGGCCATCTATTTCATTTCATTTACAATAAGAGATTGCAATCCTATTTAGTGTACATTGTCTCTTTTTTCAAAGAGCTTACACTACATGTACATGCATGTCATTCTTAGGTTCATGAACTTTTTCTGTGCGATATACATGAAGTTTGTTCCCCTTAGAAAGTCTAACTAACAGTTTACTCATTCTATGGAGTTAACGAATCATCCAAGAACTACAAGTGCATGTACAAATAAAATATTCAATGTAATGGGTGACTGTGTTATTTAAGTCTGCCATATTTGAAAGAGATCAGTGGTTTCATTACACTCACCCTGACTGCCGCAGCATCTCCTCAAACTCCATAGTTGGTGGATAGGCGCTCTCGCAGAGCTGCAGGAAACTGACTGGAAAATCGTTTCCAGTTTTCCTCACCAACCTGGTTTTTAAAGCCATGAAGGATCTACAAATCAAGGTGATAGTGGAGAAAAGTTAAAGGCAAAGCACATGGCAAAACAAGCCACCCTGAAAAATCCAAAGGGAACTCACCTTAAGGAACATATCCTTTAGGTCTGGTCCAGGGTTGACCCATGATGCTACAGCATCACAAAAGAATATGAAATCCTAAAACAGAAAAAAATTTGCTTCATAAAAAGATATAAAGGTACTATTGTAGCAGCCCAATTCAACACAATGCAAGTACAGATAAGATAAGATGTATAATGCCCTCACCTGAACAACTCCACCAGGGTTAATACCAATCATGTTACAGATACCTCTGAAGGCAGAGTCTTTTTCCTCATTGTCTCGTATATTCCGCAATGAAGTACACCTGAAAAATGACAGTATAGAAGATCAACAGTGCATGACTACTTACACAAAATATCATTTGGATATGTAACACAGGAAAGTTTCACTCCTTTGTAATTTGTTTGGAGAGTTTCATTCCTATGTAACCTTGGAACTGCTTTTTTTTCAACTTTATTTACAAAGACATGAAAACCTTCCCAGAGGAGATTCAAAGTAGTTGTCTTCACATGACCAGTCTTAAGAAAATCATATATAATATCACTTGATTCTATAGACTAATAGCTGTTATTATCTTTGTGGCAAAAAAATTGAAAAATACTAGATCATTTAGAAACCTAGAAAGAAACGTTCACAATCTATCTATGGTACTGTTTTCACTTGGCTTTGAAATACTCTTGCCAAAAGGCACTCTAAACCTAGTGGTTTGTTATAGAATAAACATATCTATCAATACTACAAGACTTTGGAAGAGGGACAAAACCATTTAAAACAAAATGGCACATTTATCGAACAGGCTGCTAGTTAAACTTGTTAATGTTCAATTAATGCAATGTACATAGACCACAACAAAGAGTACAACTGCATCATACTAAATCTTGCAGTACATACATGTACAAACACCGCACATAAAATTTATGACTGAGAACATTCAAATTCCACAAAAAAAAACAAACAAACAAACACAAAAACAACATGTAAATAAAAAGAAACACCAATACACACCACTTCTGAATAAACTGCGGTAACAAAGGTGCCACCTCTTGCGGACAAACTAAACCCAGACGACCGATTGTGATTGCTAAAAACACAATCATTAACAGGAAAAGAAACAAATTCATGCCATCAGAACAACGCTACACAAACATCAATGCAGTGGCTGCATTATTAGCTTAGTGAATCAATGACTCTGTGAGTGTTCCAAGAAAAAAAGATTGTATTGTGACACACATTTTGCAACATACACCTGTATAGACAACAGATTAATAGCCACTTAAAGGACAAATGATGACAGTAAAACACCAAGGAGCTTTCTCGAAAAGCTGCTTTTACATGTCATTCATGCATTGTACAGTGTGTGCATAATCTTCCAGGAACATGTATGGTTAACAACAACTAACAGTTGTATGAACTCCACAGGGAAACACAAATTTATTTTAACACCAAAGGTTAAATACAACTTTAATTGTCAATAAAATACAAAAAATGCACAGTTTGGTGTTAGTGTACAGGGCTACAGACAACCCACCCACCATTAGTTGGGCACTTCTTTATAATAATGTTCCATGTATTAGCTCACTTGAGCTGAAGGGCTTATGTTAAGAAAGAAGTGAAGATGAGGAGGAGATGGAAAGACCAGAGCTAAGCACCAAGAAATTAACTATTACCCCTTTCATTCCCTGGATCTTGATATTGTCATATATTCTTTTATAGTTATTTTATATCTAAGAATTTGTTGTTAAGTTACACAACGTCCTTTAGATAACAGTTTTTCCTCCACTTCTCGTCACCCCCTCTGTTGGAAAATGACTTAATATTGTCAGAAGAAATTCATTTTTGGTCACTTCTGGGAGTGAAGGGTTAAACCCGACAATTTAAGTTACTAAGACTCTGCAATAGGAACAATAATAACCTGTGTTTTCTTGCAGTGTCTTTGGAGTATGAGGTCTGTTAATGATGGTAATGAGTTGCTGTAGAACCAAGTTGATATACTGCTTCATATCTGATCCTATCAAAAAAGAAAATGAAGATTCAGGTGCTTATAGTGACAAAGGAAACGATGACTTCATGAATGGATAGAGGAAAATGGTTGGGGAAGAAAAGGAGAGCAATTCAGATATAAGAAAAAAAACAGAAAGTCATGGGATAGAGCAAATGGAAAAAAGGAAGGAGGAATAGATGAGCAAACAACACTCAAGTGCAGTATATACAGGCAGAAAAATGAAAAAATGAACATGGAAGTAAACAACAGATAATTCAGTATACATGCAAATACCAGTCAAAAATATGTGTATCTTACCAAGCTGCACAGATATTTCTCCAATAGCCCAGGTAGCATTGTTACAAACTGAGATAAATTCTGGATTGAGATTCTGGCCTAAGATCGGTAGGAAGTCACCTACAATATGACAACATTATCAAGTTTAAGATGACAAAGACCAGCTTTTGCCTTGACATATCAATAATAAATACAAATAAAAAGAAGAAGTGGAGAAAATGCCGAAGGTATGACCATATTGAAAAAAGATACAGGTATACGTACCAATGCAGGGTTTGACATGTTGGAAGCAAGCTTTTGTCAAGTCCCCCAGCAGTGCAAAAGAACTTTGTCTCACTTCAGGCATTTTGTCCTAGAGAAAGAAACAGTAAAACTCTTAAGACCATTCAAACTACACAGTGTACAATGTGTAGAAAGAACCCCAAGCAAAGAATTTTCAGTTCGCTTTCAATGAAAACACGTACTGCAACTTTTTCTACGTCAATGAAAACCTTAGGCATTTACGTACACCCTGTACATCGACATGTTCATTCATTGACATACCTGCATACACTGGAAAAGAAGGGTCATTGTGTTGCTCCTAATTATAAACTGTTCAATTTGCCCCTCCAGTCCCTCAGCCAATCCACTCAGAAGATCTAGGGCAACAATCATGAAATCCTTGTCTGGAGGTTCAAACTGCTCTGGATGAGTTTGAGAAGCCTGCAGAAAACAGTTACATTCAGGACAATGGCAGGATATGGTAATCTATTTTTGTTCTTAAGTTCTACAAAGATACCTACCACACTTTGAGTTAAAGTTTGTTCCACTAATGACACACATCTCTGAAAGACAGGTTCAGCGTATGGAAAAAAGCCAGAACGTAAGGCTGTGGCTACAGAGGACAAACACTCTAACAGTGGAAAAAGGTCTTTGTCCTCATCTTTCAGCTGGTTCCACTTCTGAATAAGAGGTGGCATCAACATATTGATAAACTCAGGCTTGTTGAGGTGGTGACCCACTGAGTCAGCTAGTGTCCCAATAGCATCATACAGTATAAGAAGGTTTTTGTGCTACAAAACAAAAGAAGAAAGGTTTAACATTACTGCATTTTTCATGAAAAAAAAAAGAGACTGTTAAATCAGAAGTAAAGGGAGGCCTAGTAAAAAAAAAAAAAAAACAAAGAAGATGAAACACCTTTCAATTTAATTATTGTTCCTGAGGATACATGGACACTTTGTGAAAGTATTGTACTCTACAATCACATTTAAAATAACAAAACAACAACAACTTGTTTGGTCCTCCACTTCTTAATGCCATATAACTCAATTAAAAGCCTACTAATAATCACTGAAATACTGCTTTATATTTTTTTCCTTTTCTTTTCTTGGGGGAAGAGGGAGGGAGGGGGTTAGCTTCAGCTGCAACAAACCTGATACTTGTTGAAAGCAAAGACCAGTGTCTCTAGAATGAAGCTAAGATATGGAACAAGTTCAGTGCAAGCTTCTTCCTCCAGTGTGGCAAAGGCACTACGAAAAAGTCAGATCACAACTAAATTATACTGTAAATATGCACAGTGAATGAAAAAAAGAAAAATAGTAACACTTTTGCACATCAGTGCTCATGGACACTTAGCCATCAACTGAGTATATAGAATTCCACATCAGTTGTGTTTGGAAAAAGAGAGGAAATGCAAGTGTCAGCATAAAAATATCTTAGATATTCTTGGAACAGCTCCTTTCCAGTGGTCTGAGACAGCAGATCTTGAGAAAACCAAATGACTATTATTTCATAACTTTGTATGTGTGATATAAGAGTTCAGTTTTGGGAATGCACAGGATATCACTAATATCAACTGACTTGGCTTTTATTGTTCAAATATTATCAAACTGTTTTGGTGCACCATGCATGACAAGGCTATGCCTATTATTACCTAACAGCAAGTGCATGTCCTACATGTATGTAGCACAGTTTCAAAAGACAAGAACTATTCTAAATACTATAAAGCTCTTGTTGAGGAGCATTGTCTCAAAAGTTTTCTTAAAAATGCAATGCCAATGAGGACAATATGACAATTAGAAAGAATGGTGGTACCTGCACGCTGCCTCCTGAACCCTCTTGTTACTATCCAAGATCCGTTTAAGGAGCTAAAGTTGAAGAATTTTGCAGAATAATTAGAGCTACAAAAAATGCAACCATGCAGTGCCCTATTAGCAGAAATACTTCACTATTGTCACTGAAATCAAAATGTAGCACCTACATACCTCTGTCATGAGACGTTGAAGGTATGCTTCATGAGGCTGACTGACAACCCAGTGTGCATAACGACTCAGGGTCCAGCACGTGATAGAGCGCACCAGTGCCTAAACAAAGCCAGATCAACAGGTAATGTATACATTGCAATTTATGTTCCTTGGTACCAGTGCATGATAATTTAATTCTCACTCACCCTTTTCTCAGAAAGCGAGTTTATCAGGAAAGGAATTAGTTCTGGCAGGTGAGGAGAGATACCAGTTATACAACCTATAGAATAAACAGAATCTTTTATCAGCATGCACAGTTTCTATCAGCGTATTTTCATGTAACAGCTTCAAGAAACAAATAAAGAAACAGGAAATTTAGATCTTGAGAATGAACAGGTGAAAAGAGTGCTACTGTAAAATATTTCATGTAATGGTCTAACAGCTCATAATGCATTCAGTTGTAACATATTGTTAATCACATCAAGTAACCTTCTGCAATGGCTCCCAAAACAAGGATTCCAGACTCTTTAGCTTCCCAGTCTGGATGGAAGAGTGTTTCCTTCAAGATTGGAAGAAGAACTGGTAAAAGATCATCACGGAACACATTGGCAAGAACATCCAAGGCAGCTGCAGAGCATTTCCCTAAAAAAAAAAAATCGAAAAAATATTTATTTATGTGTTATTCACCAATGAAAAAAACATACACAACAACACACTGTAGGTGTTATCAATTCCAAACCACTTACGCAAGTTCCAGTCTGAGAGGGTATCATCATCCATATCATCATCATCTCCATCACTGTCCCCCTGGAAAAAAACAATGTAGTGCAACTTAAGAAAAATGAATAGAGAAAGGATGGTCTTTCATTGCCAATACTCTGGGTTAGTTGGCTCTTGAAAGAGATAAGGACTTAATTTAGAGTTTGAAAGCTTGAACATAAAACCTTCTTGATGAGATTATTGTCCAAATTAGTACATCTACTGAGGCAGTGCTAGGGTGCTGGTCTTGTTTTCTGGTGGTCCTAGGTTCAAGCTACTCACTGGATTTGGTTTTGGTTGTCCCAAACTCCACACTTCCCTTTGTATATAGCCAACTGATCCACCTCCTGCCAGTTAGGGTTCTTAAACACTTTGTTTATGCTTATTTACAATGTTTACTTTCAATTTGTTTGAATTTGAGGGCCACAAGTCCATCAGATTGTAACTGTTTAGTGTTACCCTCAGTAAATTAAGTGTTATTACTATCATTATCATTATTATTATTATTTCAGGAAGAGAGTGCTCCACATTGACCACGATCTTACATCAATTTCTCCATCTGCTTCATGCTGCTGACTGTGAGTCTTGGACTTATGAAATCTTGGTCTGATGTCCTGCTCACTGTCTGGAACAGACTCGTCATCTTCATTATCAGCCTGAAGAAGGTAATAAAATGAACAGATGTCTATAGATTCCTCATTTAGTACATCAAATGAACAGATAAGGAAGTACATGAGGGCAAATAAATCACGCAAACAAAAACCACTCACCTTCAGAAGAATCAGGTCAATCTCTGAATACCTCATACCATTTACCAATATTGGTACCAGCCTGCAATTTGACAAGAGCACAGTTCTTAAAGCAAATTTATTTCACTAAAAATCATGGACAAATCATCGTCAATTTCTCTAAGTTTCTCACTTCAAGCTTTCTATAAACACGAGGTGTGTGAAAACCTCCACCTCTGCACAATACAATTGAACCTTGGGTCACACCAGGGAGGTACATGAATCAGAGAAAATCATAAGTACAGTTAAGGATAGGCAATGGCAACACACCCCTCAAATACTAAGAGTATCAATTGCGAGACAAAAATGTTTCACTGTTGGGACTAAAATGAAATACTTAAACATAATTGGTTATCAGCTGCCCAATTTGGGCACTAACAGCACAGGTCACATGTCATTCCTGTGAGAGCATTTGTATGTACTGTTACATAGACTACCAGGTTGCAAAAAAAATATGTTAAAATGCTTGTTGATGTACCTATGAAGGTGTGGGCTGAGAGCCTCTTTACAGATAGGTTGCTCTGCCAGTGTCAGCCAAAACTCACAAGCTTCAAGTGATACATTCTCATCTTTGTCTTGTGTCCTCATCAGCATGTACTATAAAAATGTACATATAAAAAGTATTTCACCCCACATTACATCTGTCTCTTGTCAGCTAAGATACAATATATACTCCTTAAGGACATCAAACTTACTTTTAGAGTAATTATATTTATCAAATACTGACCTCTACAATGTTATTCATATGTGGAATTAATTGGTCTGCTCTGACTTCCAAAAGCATAACAAGGGCTCTGCACACATTCTTTCTTACTTCTGGGTCTTCATCTCCCGCAAGGGCAAACAGATTCTATAGAAACAAAAGATTTTTCATAGATAAATACTTTTGTATCAGCAATGGTGGTAAATCCATTTCATTTATACATACAAGTGAAGCTTTCTATGTAAATTCTTAAAGGGATTTACTCAGCCTATAATGTACATCAGTAGATCAACCTGACCATATAAATATTATGATCAGAATTACTCAACAGTACCTAAAATCAAAAGACAGGTTCCAGTATTTGATGTTTCAAGAACTTATTTTTTTTAAGAATAATTGTCTTAACAGAGAGATTCATTTGTTTGCACGTCTTTCAGATACAACACAAATGCATGTCTATGGTAAATAATTATTATACAAACATACATACATATACTTAATTTAAGCTCGAAATTCAGTGTAGCTGCCAAGCTAATATCTTTGAGAAAAAAGCTAAAATGAAATAAAAATATGCTATCTTACAATTTCAATATTATTTATAAACTGTATAAAACTAAAAGCTAAGAGGGAAAACTAAGAGGGAAACATAACTTGTAGATCTACTGTGGAAAAGCTACATGACCACACATGAATATTTGTAAAACTATATTCAATGTAAAACTGTGACAGTCCTACCTCAATAAATGTGCCTATGTGAACCATAAGGGCCTGTGTTCGTGTAACAATAAACTGATTTACACAAGCAATAGCATGAGACCTACAAGGAAATTGAAAAAGAATATTAGCTTTTCCCTGTAAAGCTTGGTAGATGACAGCTATATGTATAGCAAACATAAATGTCTTTTTACCTTATTTTTGGGCTTGCATGGCGGAAGAATTGCAAAAACTTTGGGATCAGTACAATGAGGGGTCTATTAAGGGCATCACTGTCAAGTTGCTCAGCAGAGTCCTCACAGATCTTTTGCAGAGCTCCAAAAGCTCCCTGCAAAAAAAAAATTAACAGAGAATTAACCACTTATCTATCTGACCATTGTGCATGAACCCATGCTTTCTTCCAATATTCATTTATATTTTATTTGCCATTATATATTACTGCTAGATATAACAATTGATGAAGAAACAAAAAAAGATCATTGGCAAGGATACCTAATAAAAACCATTACAGCTTGTAACCTCACACTCCCTCACATGTAGTTAAAGATAGGAGTTCAACCCCCTTTAAGAACTGGAATAGTGAAGGCTAAACTCAGAGTCAGAAAATTCTCTGACAAATTTCCATAATCCGAACTACTTCTTTCTTGTTTCACAATTTCACAAGGGATAATTCTTTGTTACTTTACAATTTTTCATTGCTGCCATTTCCTTAACAATAATAGGTCAACCTTATCCACCCTTCTATTTTAACATGATTAGGAGATAACACCTGGGTATTGTTTAGCCAAAAGGGTCCCTGAATGTAACTCAAACATTATTCTTGTTATCTGATTTTTCTAATGTCTGAATCTTTGATAAGCAGATTGTAGCATTACAGCCTTTAATGAAATGTAACAAAGAATAACATGACTAGAAATATGGTACTAAAACTGGTATAGTTTCCAATAAAGTATGAACATCTCAAACTCACACATGTGGGTTTTTTAAAATTTAATTTGTGGTTAAAAAAAATTCAAGAATAACTGTGTGTGCAACCCAACCACCCAGCCTGCAGGGTATAGCAAAACTCATTGAGATCTTGTGCATTCAAATGTGATTCTGCTGTGTGAAATTTATGGTATGAAAGGAAAAAATTGCACATATAACTGCCATAATCTGCAAATAGGCTAAGTGGCTGAGTCATGATTAGCAAGTTACAACCTCCCAGAGTTAAAAAATTAACAGGTACTTGCAATTACTACTATACAATGCACACTGCAGGTGTATATTTAATAGATTAAAAATCCAAACACTTGTATTACATAAGCCTGTCAATACTAAAAATAATTTGAAATAATAAATCAAAATAAATTAGCGATGATATCACAGATAATCTGTCACTACCCGATATGTTATTAACACTCCTCTGCTAAAATGACACCTAAAAAATTTGATTCATCGATAAAAAAGTTCAAAAATATACACATACACTATATAAGTTTCTAAAAATTTAGCACTGGAAATTTGCCAGCTCTAGATCTTATGGAGAATCAATGCTCACCTCACAGACATTATAATCCTCGCTGTCTAACAACTGGCACAACGTTGGCAATAGTTGAGGCCAGTTTGTCAGATCGCCTTTCGCCGCTATAGTTGTGATCAAGATACCAATCGTAGCTCGTATGAGAGGTGAAGGATCCCCAATGGCCTCGAGGCATTCTGACTTGATAAATTCTTTCACTTGGTCAGGGAAAGTGTGATAATGAGATTTAACGTTGTTCTTGAGAATCAAACCCGAAAGTGAACGAGTTGGTTCATCTGAAATAAAAAAGAGATATAATGAAGGTTTCACAAATTGATTTGAAACTTAGATTGGCTAGAAAATTACTGAGATTTAGATTAATCGAGCGGCAACCGGAACTGAGCTGAAAAACACATCTAGCTTACATCCCGTGAAACACACTAACCTTCGCTCTTCAACTTCGTAAGAACGAATATCAGGTAATTGTTGAAATCAGGGAATTGATTCAGAGACTCAAGTTTCTGAAAAAGAGATATGTTAAGGAATACAAGAAAAATATAACGACGTTAACACAACCGGAGAGCACGTGTGACGCGCCAACTTTCAACTGTGTTACGTCCTATATCTCGTCTAATTCCGCATGAAAACCAAAGCAAACACTATATATGGTACAGTAAAGGATACTTGTTGAACTGCTCTTTGTACTTCAGTATTTGGGCTTTGACTCTCCTTCAAAAGCTGTATAATTTGCTGTAAACCGTCCTGATCTGGTTGCCACGCCATTTTGCTTTTTCGCACCGGCTCCAACCCCTGCACTTCTCGTCGGACTCCCCAAACCGTCGGTTGTCTTCGGTATCGCTCGGCTGTTGTCGGTCTCACAGTCTTAAAATAAAGCTCGGTCTCTTTCGTAAAAAGTCTTACAAGGCAAAATTTCAATCGCTTTATGGATTAGCAATCGTCAACTGAAAGCAGGCAAAATAATTTAACTCATAAGTATTACCAAAATCCCAGTGCTGCCTCGAAAATTATTGCAAGGAAACTGGTGACGAGAATTTAGGAAAACACGGAAGAACTTCCGGTTTAGCAGTTGTGAATATTTTTTTCCCTACCAGTTCGCTTTTAAACAGGAAAACAATCCAGCTAAATGGAATGTAGTGGTTACGCTCAAAGGAGATCAGATGCAAGGAAAAAAAGGTATGATATGATGTATCGTGGCCTGGGTAATTTTCTGGAGTTCATTGTTGAAAAGGAATTTATGGACTTAAAGGGAAGTATTTGAAGGTTCTTCGAGCTCATATCGGTGGCTAGTAATCGCAGCTGATGAGGACGGTGTTGTAACCTCGCATTTCATTTCAAGTACTTTAATTGCTTTGAATCCGTTGGTGTCGGTACTTTCATTTTTCGGAATATTTAGCCTTTACATCGAGGAGGTTGAAAGCCGATCGCTTCGTAACCAGAGCGTACAAAGAACATCTGAGCGGCAGTTTATACCTTTTACGGCGATGATTCAATGTCTGCCCGCGCCCCATACCACCCCTTCTCCTTCCCCTTCTCTAAGCCTGCGTGTGGACCACTGCTATTTCTGAAAAGAGATGAGTTATGATGAAGTCTGCAAGCAAGTTACCTTGACTTTGTTGAAGTCCTAAATGTTATAACTTTCCTAAATGTTATAAAGTCCTAAATGTAATAACATTTGGTTCTAAATGTTACAAAGTCCTATATGTAATAACATTTGGTTCTAAACGTACTAAGCCTTCAATGCAATCGTCTAACTGCGCTAGTACATTGTTGTTACTGCGGACATTCACATTGAGATGTTTAAGTAACAGCTGTTGCATCAAAGAATCCTCTGACCAATATTCATAGCATATTGCGGGCTCGCTGATATCAATCAGCGTCTTTTTATTTACCTTGGCTCCACTAAACCCTTCCCCCCTCCCCCTCCCACACTCACTCCCATTCCCCCCAATAGAGGAAAGGGCTCGAGATTGAAATGTCACAGAAATAAGAGCTGTAAAATTTTTTTCTCTCTGTTCACCATCAGCTTGTTGACTTATGTTAATAAAAAATACGTGTCGATGTCGTAGGTGCGGGGCAACCAACGACAACCGCCGAGGAAGAATCACAGGGGAAACTTGCGACTTCGTGGCAGTTCCAAAGGATCTCATGGGTTTTGTGATTGATATCAATCAGCGTCTTTTTATTTACCTTGGCTCCACTAAACCCTTCCCCCCTCCCCCTCCCACACTCACTCCCATTCCCCCCAATAGAGGAAAGGGCTCGAGATTGAAATGTCACAGAAATAAGAGCTGTAAAATTTTTTTCTCTCTGTTCACCATCAGCTTGTTGACTTATGTTAATAAAAAATACGTGTCGATGTCGTAGGTGCGGGGCAACCAACGACAACCGCCGAGGAAGAATCACAGGGGAAACTTGCGACTTCGTGGCAGTTCCAAAGGATCTCATGGGTTTTGTGATTGGCAAGAAGGGAAGTTCGATAAAGTTAATAGAGACAGAATCAGGATCAAGGATCACTTCAGGCAGCGATCAGGGAGGCTTTTCAGTAAGCGGCAATGAAGAGCAACGCGCTCGCGCAAAGCAACTCATCCATCAAAAAATGGTCAGTAAATTTAAAAAATTAATTACTACAAAGAGGACTATTGTTTTGAATAACGCAATTCAGATTGTTATCTTGCATAGAAAAACATGACTGCGTTCAACATGAAACCACCCCTTAACCCCTTAGAAGTGATTAGCATCTTATTTCTCCCTCCATTATCACCCCTATGGCTGAATGAGAATAAAGGAAATGATCGCCAACTGGATAAGCTCTTGCTTGTTGAACAAATTATCCCCGTCGGTAAAAATGGAAAATTATAGAGAAGAGTATTGTGAAAGTGCATAATTATGTTAAGAGTGTCAAGGGTTGAGGCCGAATTCATGTATTCATGTTGAGATCTCATTGGCTATTTTGGCCACTTTGTTCTATCGCTACCCACAGTAATTTGGTCAACAGTTTTAGTTTTACCACATACACTCTTCGAGGCCCAACGTAACATGCTCTTTTTTAAAATTTTTATTCCAAAGGAAGAAGCCCAAACTAAAAGTGGAAGGAAGGGATATCCCAGACAACTTGTGAAAATTCCGAGTGAATTCGAGATGCACGTGAAAGGAAAGGGAGGAGACAATCTTCGTAACATTTGCACAGTGACTGGGGCACAAGTATTTCCTCGAGGGAATAAGCTCTTTGAACTGAAAGGAACAGAGAAAGAAGTAAAGCATGCTGAGTTACTGATGAAGGGAAGGGTGGTATGTACCTATTAATCTATTTCGCACAAGAAATTGTTACACCTTAGTAACAGAACAACTATGCAAATATGGTTCATCAGCAAAGCAACAAACAGAAAGACAGGCCCAACGACCAGAATGTATCGTAGATGGAATCAAAGACGGTCTTCCCCTAGGAAGCACTATAATTTCTTGGTTGACTTAAGAGTTTGCTGTATTAAAAACACGTAGTGATAAAAGACAATAGGGAGCTTAAGCACAAACATCAGTTTTGAGACGCAGACGGGAGCAGGAGGTTAAAAGTTTCCATTGCTCGTGCACGCCACACCTTTTTGGTCAGCACAATTTGGTTTTTAATACTAAAACGACGATATAACAGTCAATACAATGGCGTCAAAGTGCACTAGAATAAATTTTGTTCTTCGGCTTCCGGTTCCCGTCCGCGTCTCAAAGAAATCTGTGATTCAGTTTTCTATTCTCTATAGCCTGCTAACAAATGTTGAAGGTTACTCCTGTTGCCCTTGAACTTTTATTATGAGAAGATGTGTGTAAAAACCTTGCTTACACCTGAAGCTCTTGAATTCCACGGAAATTGCGTACAACACCTTTAGCCCCATTTTCTCAGCTTGGTCCTCACTGCGCATGTCAAATCAAATGATTGATCTAGCATTAAGGAACTAGAGCACAAACGATTTTAGAAGCAATTTTTTTTTTCCTTTTTCATGCACAGGTCTCAGCGAGGATCAAAACAGATAAGATTTGCTGTTACGTTGACGACAGGAATCTACCGAAGGATTGTGAACTAAAGCTCGTGCCACTTGAAGACGAAGACCGCATGGTGTTACCAGGATCACATTCACAGTATCGGCTGAAACCGTCGGAGGAATACGAATTGGTTTGTTAGTATTTCTGTTGGTATTTTTGTCAGGACACGCATGAAGTACTGCAGAGTGTATTTCCGATTCTTTTTGCTTCTTTTTGAAACTGAGCTGAACATATTAAGTTCCAAAGAAGACTCAGACACTGTAGTAGCCTAACAATAAAAATATATCATCTAACAGTGCAATAACTTATGGCGGGAGATATTTGATTCATTGATCCACAGTCATAAAATTAATTTCGGATCGAAGTCAGTATCGAAGCAAATGCGTACCTACCCCTCCACTAATCCAATATTAACCCTAACTTGTCACTAGTTGACTGTTGATGGGTCAAGGGAGGGGTAAGAGCGCAGTTGCTCAGATGCTGACATTGATCCTGAATTTCTGAGTTTTCATTAATTTTTTCCAGTTGATCGCTATCTTTTCAGTCTCGTGGAGCATGTAGTCGAGGCAAAGCAGTTCCAAGCTATCAAAACGACCTCATAGCAAATGCACTTGAGTGTCTAAACAAGATCAAACGTGGAATTGAGTCAAACAAATTTCACGAAGCCGACATGTGGTGTCACGTTGGGACCGTTATCATCCGAGAGCCTGATGAAGGTGAGAACTAAATGACAAAACAGAATAAGTAAGACTTAATTTAAGTATCCATTTTCATGACAGTATCAGCTGTGATCAGTGTACACGTATAGTAAACCAAGACGCTGTATGACGAGACACGTGACGTGTTGTAAACGAACCATAGAGTGCAATACATCGAGCGTTCCTCTTGCGACTGACTGCTTATCCAAACAACCCCTTTCCTCCGTTAACACACAAGTCAGTTTCTCATTCAGACCCTGACTCATCCCCAGTCTTCTTTTGAGTTAGATAAGAGGCCGCAACGTCGCTTGAGTTAGTACCAGTACGACAAAGTGGAGGTTTCCCCTCATGCACCCCAACGTGCCTCCCTCGTTATTAAAAGTAGAGAGGCGATTAGAAACGAGAAAGACAGGCCTATAGGAAATTCGTGGGAAGATCAATGAAGCAAAGGAAAACATTGGTCACAAGCTCAGATTTTTTGGAAAATTTACCACGCCTCTTTGTTGTCTGTAACTCTTTGTTTTACGTGATCTTAAGTAACCACTAACGAAATATTAACAGCGGATGTTGGAGAAACCTGGGATATTCAGGAGGCGGTTGACAAGCTCAAGAAAAGGGATTGGCGCCTTGCGTTCAAGGAAGGTGTGCTAATCAGCAAACACTTGTTACAGGAGACGTTTGGTTCACCAAAGACTGACGAGGATTACACGTCAAGATACGATCTAACTTTCATTACACCTCAAGGCAGATCACTAAGATGCAAGGTAAGTTGACTGGAAGAACGAGTTGTCCCAAGCTGTATCGGGTACGTTATGCAATTTAATTTTCTGCTCTAAATGTGGCTCTTCTTTGATAAACTTGTAATTTAGATTGCTTGAACCTTACGGGCGCCTTGACTTGAGGTAAGGTCCACCTCGCAGGTAAGGCGTCACTGGACAACGCAATGGTCTAACAGAGGCAAATAAAACTCCCTTAACAATGGCAGATTGAAATTGTTAAGCCACTTGATGAAAACAGCCCTTCTTGCTCCTGTTAGGTGTGGGTTGCTAACCAAGATGTGCAAGCAAAACTCGAAGAAATTCCAATTCCATTCAGTGACATCAAACATGTTGTGGAAGAACTTCGTTTCGATGATGAATTGACAAGATCACGATGTCGAGGATGGTTGGTTCTGCCATCGAAAAAATATCTCCAGGCCGATATAATTTTTCCCGGCTGCCAAGTCGATTGCAGACTCATGATAAGACCTAAAACAAGTGAGTTTTCTGATTTCTTTGTCCTCTTGATGGTTTGTTAATTCGTTTGGTTAACTATTCATCTCGACCGCAAAAGGGACAATTTAAAGAAACTTTTGACACAGGAAAAGTCGACAAATGATAACTACATTTTTGTCTCCAACCCCAATAAACATTTGTTAGATCAAGAAGGTCACGGGACGGAAGCTGCCTCTTCCGTCCAATTTCAACGAATAAGTTTCTCGATGGAGTGCCATAAGCTCGATCCATTTTTGAAAAAAAAAAAATTTTTTTAGTTACAGCCATTGAATTACATAACACCGGAGATGAAGAGGTGCAAGCAAAGGTGTTAGCTGATTTTCTGTCCAGGAAGTTAACATTTACAGTACCTGATGGATTGCATGTGCCTAAAGAAGAGCTACCGGCGGGATTTTTATTCAACCATATGCGCTGCTCCCGTCGAACATTGTATGAACCACGGGAGGGGTTCACTTTGATCATTTCTGAAGAAAGCACTTGGTGTAGTGACGTCAGAGGGGAACAGAACAGAGAAACAGTAAGAACTAGTTATAGAAATATTCCTTGCTTGATGTTCAATATTGTCATAAGGAAACCATAGGGTCGAAATCGCCAATGCTCAGAGCCCGGAATGCATTGATGTTTCTGTTCCTCGGGAACATCAAGTGGCCCCTTTTCCCATAAACCCTTTCACTCCCAAGGTCTCATTAGTAATCATCCTCAGGGACCGGTCATTCTTCATCGCTTGAAAGGGGGGGGGTTGGGAGATTTTGGTTTAGCCGCAAGAAAACTTGCCTGTTTTCCCATAATACTCTGTAATATTCTTCTGATCGTCCTCCTCGGCCGTTATAAGCGATCAATTCTCTATAGTCCCCTTTCTATACTTTGTTGAAAAATCATGTGAAACCTCTCCCACAAAAAATCCACTAACTCCTCCCCCCCCCTCTTAACCAGGCGATAAACAATGGCTAGTCCCTTACTGTTATACAATTCTTAAAATCTTAAAATCCTCTAATTGATATTTTCTTTATTCTCATCGCTTGTCTGCATGATATTGTATAGATTTTGTGAGGTGAAATTCTGTCTTGGTCACTTATGGGAGTTAACTCTTTAACTCCCATGAGTGACCAAGAGAACTTATCCTCACAACATCAGTACAGTATCAAGCAGAGAAAAGTGATGAGAATAAAGCAGAATATAGTTTAGGGGACCTTAAGTTGATCTAATACTTAATTCTTCCAAGTAATATCAAAAGATTGTATGGCAAATAGTAAGAAGAATTACTAGTTAGATCGTGGGAGTGAAAGGGTTCAAGGGTTAAACATATTCAAATCCAAGAAGTGTCCATTTCTGCTTAACAATGATGACTTAGAATTAAGAATTTCCTTGAGTAGTTGTAAGATATTTTGATACGCTTTTGTCGTTTCACGTATTTGCTTGCTTTTAGACTGATCTCCACCTTGGCCGGGAAGAGTGGGACCGAGCTCTCAGTGGTAAAGATTGGGAACCGGAAATGATCACCTCCAAACTGCCCGAGTTTCTCCAGTTTGTCTATCAGGTTCAAGATTTTCTAACAACGAGTAACTGCAATAGCAGAGGATGAGCTTTGGGAAAGGTGTAAGAACTTCCAGCCTTAAGAGCTCTAAAGTTCTCTTTCAGCTCAGTTATATGCTACTTTCTATATCAACTTTTTAAAGGAGAAAAAAAGTACGGATAAATGACAAGTCTTGGTTATGCTCACGGTGGAGCAGAAGAAGTTTTAACCTTAGTTAAACGATTTTTTATCGAGCGAATCCAGTCATGAAACTTCGAGAGCAAATCATTCCATAACTTTTTGCCCGCGGGACGGCGTTCATTGTGTCCATCACAACGAATTGCAAATTCATCCCTTTCTTTTTCAAATTTTGAATTTTTGATACGTTTATCTGCTTATTTCCTTATGTTTTTTTGTTTTTGGGGGGAGTTTTAGCTTTTTCAAAAAAGTCAAAAATTAATAAACAAAACTTTGTTTCAATACTTAGTTGTTACAATAGTTGCTCTTTGTCCTTTCCGTAAAGCAGCTTAAACCTGTTTTGTCTTCGAACTGTTGGATGCGAAAGGAATTCTACCAAAGACGAACTATTTCTTCTTAAAAAGGTTTGGGGATATATAGGGGATACCAGGAGTGCTGTAACCAAACCTTTTAAGAGTATTCTTTAACGTTCAACTGAAAAATCCTTGATATATTTTTGCACAAGTCCTAAGAATCTCCATGACATAACGCAATTAACATTGTATACGAGCCTGCTTAGACACATGGGAGGAGAATCAGCCATTTCACGCAAAGTGCGACAAAATAAGCAAATATAAACCCGCCCTCCCCCTCCTTCGCCTATGGAAAAATCCGAGATAAGAGAATGGCGTACCGTCGTAGGTAAAGAGGATATCATTAAAAATGTTTGGATTCTTGACCCTCAAGTAAACTTTCGAATTAATGATTTTGATTTTGTCTTAAATCAAAACTGCATGACTCAAGCATTAACACCTTTCATCGCGATAGCAGCCAAATCCAACCCGTAAAAATTCCTTTGTAGGACGTCTTAAGAAAGGGTGTAATTTGCATCTTTACTAACAATAGTCAATTGTTTAAGGAAATGTCTATCGTCAGTTTTTAAATGAAAGAGGGCGAGCAATTCAACATTTTTCAAAATGATAGGTCACGAGTATTAGATTTCTCAGGTTAGGAATCATTACGGTTAATTTTAGAAAACAAAACAACGATCTTGAGGCGTCCGCAGTTAATGTCGTCGGGAAATCCGTTGGGTAAATTTTTTTTTTTTTTGCGCCGATGGACGGGAAAATGAGGTTGGTGTTCGTCTTTTGAATTTAATACTTGGTTTGAACATTGACAAATATACATTTAGAGGTTTGAAGAGAAGTTCTATAAAATTTACTTTTAAAATCACATTTTTGTTTCATGTACCATGTTCGGTGCATGAAAGCGAATGACTGACTATCCATGACAAAGCAGGAAAACTTAACGACCAGTAACACCGCCGGCGCACTTGTTCCGAATCGCACAAAGTGATCAAATAAACGGCATCTCATGCTTACACTTGTACACCTCTTCTCTATAATGATTGCATGTTCATGGCAAAAATATTTAATCAGCCTAGCCTCTAAGGCACCCATGTTTTTTGTCGCTGTTTGTTCTAAAATGATAAGGTTGCTCTCTGATTTTTCATCCTTGCCTATGATAGAACATTGTGAGTTTTGTTCAAGAACATAAAGTTGCCATTTCAGCGCATGTCAAATATGCATTTGAGTTTAATATTCAAAATATTGCATATGCAGCGCAAAACACAGCATAATTCCGGTAAAAAATCTCTTTGACTCCCATCAACAAATCCTCTGTGGCTGAACTGTTTATGTGAGTTAAATTGAGAATTTGTAATCTCTTGTAAGTGGGCTTTGAACCGATTATTGTTTGCTAACGCAAATATCTTCAAACTACAGTTCCTTCTCCTGTGCACAGTTCACTGCCTAGTAGATATAAGGAGACTCGGGAGGTGAGGGGGTGTAGAATCCCTTGAACAAAATAGTGACAGGCAGGGGAGAGAGGGCTTCTGTAAGTTTCTAGGGACACTCCAGGTTCTGACTGAGATCCTTGTAAACAGAATGTGCAAGAGAAATTTTGGTGGATTTCATTGCCGTCGCAATCGTCACCCTTTTTTTTCTTTTCGTACTTTATGGACTCACAGTTGAGTCATATGCCTTTAATTTCCGAATGTAAAAACAAATGTGCACAGAGCTTTGCTTTGAACACAGTGCCCGAGACAGAGGCTATCAGGATTGGACTGGACTCGGAAACTTTGATCTAACATACCTTTTCACAGTCTACACATTCTTAAAAAAATTTAACCGCAATTTTTTCTGACAAGGAGTTTAAAATCTAAGTTAGTGCGCCAGACTTTTAAACCTCACCATTGATACATCAAAATTGAAAAAGAAAAACTCTGTGTGAGACAAGATGATCGTGATAACTGATAGGACTAAATTAGGCAAAGACAAAAAGATATTAACGAAGAGCATTCTTTTCAAAAACAAAACAATATCTGCTTGCATTCACGTTAACAATTTTTCCGACAATAAACTGAATTGATGCGCTCTTTGTATCTGTCTTCTTACACTACTGGACACTCAATTTGCGAACGAAAAGCGTGCATTTATGAAACGGGCAAATAACACGATATTTGACCTCGTGCGCGGTAAATATCGATGAAGGCCACCTTGAAGTCTTTAAAATCACTGCCTTTCCCGAAAGTAACGAAGTGGAACACGAAATCCACTGACATGGAATACAGGTGCGGAGAGGTTGATTGATGTCCTGTCAGTAATATTGGATTATTGCCTCATCACTGACACATAAACAAATTTTAGCTTGAGGAGAATATTAAATTCGGAAACATCTTTAAGATAAGACCTATTTATGTATAACTAAATTCTTCTTATTTCTCAGTAAAAGACACTTTATATTCCCGATTCAAATTTGCAAATGTAACTTAAACATCCAGATTTTTGGTCAAATCTGATCGAGAAAATTTAAGGATCACAGGTCAATTTTCAGATTGCTTGTTGCTCTCACATGGTTTCCCCAAATTTGTCTAATTTGGCGTTATCTGCACAAGGCTGACAAATTTTGTCAAAATGTGATGAGTCTATCGTATCAAATTCAGGAATTTTGTTTTTAATCAATGTCGTGTCATTCTACTTCGTGGCATTGGGAGGCAGAGCTTTCTGTTTGAGTTAATAACCGACCTCCAATGTCAGATTTAAATCGAAGGGAAAAAATCAGACGGGCGAGATAAATCAAACTACCTAGGAGTGAAGGTAAACAAAGGAATATTGACCTCAGCATCATATAATATCTCTCTTTTGGGTGCTTTTACAATTTCTCCCAATTGATCTTAGTTGCATTGATTAAAGGTGATTTTATTCGGTAGTGAACAGGAGCTTCTATCGTTAGCTAAGTTACCGTCATTAAAGGAATTGCATTGAAGCATAATTGAATCCTAACGTAGTTTAGCTCATGCATTTGCCGGACAAAGCATCTTAAAGTTTCTCGGGTTTATTCTTTAATAATGATTCATAAGTAATATTAAGATTCACTCGCGTATGAAAATGAATTATCAGTCTAGTGATAACTCTCTCTGACCAAAGTGGCTGAAACGTTTTTTGAAGAAACTTAAGCCTAAAGCTTGTTGCGTTGTTCCACTGAGATAAACTTTGGTCTCTTGATGATTTTAAGTGTGCAGTCCACAATTTGTGGGTGTCAAATCTTTCATAGGATATCGTATCTCTTGATCTAGTGGGTTGCAAGGTCAATTCAATATAGATAATAATCGTAATGAGATCATAAGAACAGGTCGTCAAAAGTCTGAGGGGGCCTAGGACAGCCACCTGAGTTGATCAGCTGAAGTCACGATTACACACGCTGACCCGTTATCAACCCCTGACTAAAATTTTATCGCCTAAAAACCCGAAAGGAGGATCACATCATTGAGACGTCCGTGGCTTTGTGCAGTCAGCTGCCGAAATTGACAGTAAAAATCATCATCAGAAATGATAAATCGACATCATTTTCAAATCTGTCAATGAGGGATTTGTTGAATATTTCCACTTCCTCCTTTCAGTGAGCCGAAGTAATGTAGTCTCACTTACTGGTTTCCCCTCCACTATATACTGAGAGAAAAAGTATCTCGTGACTTTTGCTTCAAAAGTCAACAGAGGATCACATACACGCAGTGGAAAAATTATTCTCATAACGTTTTGTCCTGTAATCTGCACTCAGTAAAATATCAATTGTTGAACACATGCAAAAAAAAATGCTAACTCAAGATACTAGTAGAGTCAAATGATAGGATGCCCTTCACAAATCATATTATTGAAATAGTGTATGCTTCGTTACTGGGCCTATTCGTTCCTATCATTTCAGTCCAAATTTTAGGCTTGATAATTTCTGAATCATCATGGGTTTCTAGATAATGGCACATGCACGTTTCAAAAATTTTGTCATAAAAAGGGATTCTTTTTCGATGACACCTTCAGTTTGGAAGAAGAAGATATTATTCATGGACTGAAAATTAGTTCATTTTGAAAGTTCCACGCTAATAACTCAGGATGATTTAAAAAGATTGGAATGAATAAATATAAACGCTATGCTTGGTTGCTCTAATCACGTCGAACCTTGTTGTACGTTGATAAATGCCTAACTCTGACATGCCATTATCATACGCAGAAGTGCTCTGCAAAAGAGATGACAAGACACAGCAAAATTATCAAGAAAATCCAGGCAGAAAGTAATGACACTTATTTCATTCATCACAGCACGATGTCTACGGCATCATCAGAGTTTGTTATCAGCTGGTTTCATCTTTCTTTGTTTTATAAAAGATCTATCCCAAAACACACAAAATGCTGAACCGTTACCTTATCTTTATTACAACACCCCTCGGTTGATGAAAATCTTAGAATTTTAAGGCAGGTGTCTCACTTTGCTCTCAAAATACAGCAGGATAAACCATCTTTGAAAAAGTTCAGTTGAAGGAAGTACTGGTCGTTAACATCACAGATCAAGTCCCTTGTAGGAGGTAAACAGACGTAATGATGTATCTATCTTTTAAGAATGCTTCTCAAGTATAATCTTCCTAAAATGTGTTTGGAATGTGATGTTCAACAGCAAGAAATGCTCAAGATCGTTCTGTTTGTTAGTTAATCCTCGGGTATTAAAAAAAGAGGCACTGCAGTGTACAACCCGTATGAAGTTGAAACCATCACAATCGACTCGGGTAAAGTTTTATCGAAACGTGATTAGTGTTTGCGCAATT